AATCGAGCTCCGTCTGTGTAAATCTAACTGCCTGCGCGCTGAGCAGGCATGTGTGTGGACATGAGTTTCGACAAACACACTGGGGCTTGTGGGTTCTGACAGCCCCCATGCTGCGAAGGCATGTGTGTCGCTAGATTCAGATCTTTCCAGTATTCAAAGTATCGATATTACTGGCTACCCTATACCTTCATTTGAGTTACACTTTCTGTGTCATGGCAGCCATATCACAAACTGTAGACCTTGATGTTGCTCAAATATGCAGGGACTTCCTCAAATCAAAATGAGAAAGGAAGAAACAAAAAAAGAATAAAGAGACAAACTGAAAAACCTATGTTGTTAAATGGTACACTTCAACATTCCTCATGTAAATGCTCACTGAAACAGCATTAAAGAGGATGAACTCCATGTCACTTAATTGAACAAAGTAGGAAATACATAGAAGGCAACCATAGGGATATTAATAAACAAAATTAAGCTTGCGCGCCATAGAACAAATGACACTCATGCCAGGAACCTGCCCTGCTTGTGCAGTGTGATGATCTATCATAAGCAACAGCGCAATGAGAGAAAAGAGAAACTGTAACAACCCTTGACAGACGACCTTAGATGGAACTATAGAGCACTCGTGATACTGTCCTGTGTGTGGATTCCGCATGATTCATTAGATGCATCTTGCTTTTGAGTTCGACACCGCAAATATTGCATTTGATCGTCTTGCCTTCTGGCCAAGGAGGGTTCAGATGCTTCCGACGAAGATGTCTGCTCAGAGATCCCAGCATATTATATACCTGTGTCCGCTCCGTCACTGGGAGTCTGGTGTCTCCAACGCAGAGGAAGCAAATCTTCAGTCTTTGGCGAGGTGAGCCAACCCGGACAGATGCAATTGCCTGGCGGAGAGCGATTGTATCCTCGTCCTCCTGTGAGCACTCTTGCCTCTTCGCATGGGGTGCGACGGCATCGGTTGTGGGACGCTTTCAGGACGGGCCAGGCTGTGTTGGGGCGCCCTCCATCACATCACAGAATGCAATTACTGCATTGATTGCTGCAATCCAACGCTGATATTCAGCTTCGATCATGGCACCCGGAATGGTCAGGATGGTGTTGATCAGCATCATATGCTGTGGTGTCATATACCCTGTTTGCTGCAACGCCCCGATCACCTCCTCATCTACCATCTTTCCAGAGAGCTGCCGTTCGCTGTCGATCACTGGTTGCTTGTTTTTATACCGCTCCAGGTTCTCCCGCACCAGGCGGTTGCATTGCCGCTGCTTCTCATTCCGCAGCTCACAGAGGGCCCGTTGATATTTCTGATCCACGCGGTCGTACTTATCCTGATACCGTTCCAGGTTCTGTCGCAGCAGTTCCTGTTGTTTCTCGTTTCGCTGTTCACAGAGGGCCTGTTCGTATCTTCCCTCTGCATGTTTGTATTTATCACTGCACCAATCCCGAGCCTGCTTACGCTTCTGAACCAGCTCCTGCAAGGCACACACACAAGGGAGCTCATTGATAGAACTGGAGTCTTCTGCAGACAGCTTATAGGGTCGCCAGGGATCGATCGACCGGCTCATGGAGCATGCGAAACGCATCAATCGTTTCTCTTGTGGCAGCCCCTAGATAATTGCCTGTGCATCGACATGGATGCCCACGCTATAGTGCTGAACAAAGGTGCTGATGCTGGCATGCTGCAACATCATGTTCTGGAGCTCATCTGTCACGTCCGCTGTTTAACCAGACATCCCTGTCAGCAACACTTGCCAAGATGGAAAGAGATAGCGGAGGGGGGAGGGGAGGGGGGAATGGGAAGGGCGATGGAGCTTACAGCTGTCATTGAATGCCTTGGCTGCTCTGTATCGAAGGCAGCACGGCTTCGTGACTTGTTCAAAGCCTGTGATTTCACCTTCCTGTTTCATCCGGTATCGGACGGTCGCCGACGACAGTTGCTGATCAAGAGCAATCCGAACCCCATCTGCTTCCTGAATCGCCTGGCAGAACACAAATTGATCCAATATTTCATCCTTCAACTTCAATTCCTGCTGGTTAAGCCCATCTAAAATGCCGAGGCTGTACAAGTTCTCTGGGCAGTTCACGACTGGGCCGTCCATGGATATATTCTTGAAGGCTCCGATCCGGAATAACATGCCTAGGAGGAAGACATGGGGGCTGAGGACCAAGGTCGGGTCATAGATGATCTCAGGGATCGGGAAAGTATTCCTGTTCAGTACAGTCAGCCCAGGGTTTGCACAGGAGACCTCCCCTTCTTTTCTCAATACTGCTCAGAAGAGCAAGATAGTGAACGAATAGATATTTAGCCGACTCATAGGGGGCAGCAAGGAGACCATTGCAAAAATATCAGAAACGACAAAAAAAAGGAAGAGAAGGAGGAGGAGGGTAACTCACAGCTCCTTCTTGCCCAGGAACGTCTTTGTAAACTCCAGTGTCAGGTAAATGAACAGTCGAGGACGCTCTCCATCTGGATCACAGATCAGGTTCAACCGGAGGTGCCGATAGCGAAGGTCCAACAGCGCCTACAGACGGCTACCAGTAATGGCTGCCAGCTGGCAAAAGAGCAGCAGCTTAATCTGGAGCCAGCTGCAGGTAAATGTCATCTCAGTAGTTGCAAGAAGAACTTGGGCAAACTCTGCCACATCTTTGATATATATGACTGCTTTCGGTCAGTGCTCGAGGAGGAGATTCTTTTCTGCTGCAACAATCGCAAGCACCTACAGATCATCAGCCAGGGCCTAGTGTGTCAGGAGACAGAAACTGTTACTCACATCCTCCACCTGTACGATAGTCACCTTGTCGAGCCCGTGCCCGACTTCGCGCTTGTAGACTAGATGCCAACACTTCCAGAAGGTCTCCAAGGAGCTCTTATACTTGATTCCAGGAGTCCTGTGTCCATTCTTGCCCCGTCGTTGGTCGCAACGCCAGCTGAAAAGCCTTTAAGGTATCGGACAGTCTCCTCAGGCTCAGAGAGCGAGTGGAAGCACTCTACCGGATCACGACTCTGGAATCGACAGAATCTGGCCGGACACAAGGTAGACAATGTTAGCTTCAATGAAGCATGATGCTGAGGTTGTGCTTCTTACCGGTCCCAATAGTCCCTCGTCTCCTCCAGCTTCTTCCGAGTCTTGGAGGTTGCTGTCAGAGCTGAGAGACATCCAGACGGTCTGCTTCCGCAAGGTAATACTCTGGGGGATGCTGCTCTTCATCGTTGAAGAGGGCGTCATCATCTGAATCATCGTCTGAATCGTCCTCCGAATCGCCATCCGAATCGTCACTGTCTGGCTCCATATCACTGCCGGAGGTACCTTCAGAAGGGTCGTTCGAGAAGATGTCTGGGAGGTCAGCACTGGCATCGCTCTTGTCATCGGAGAGAGTGACATGCTCATCGGACTCAAAGCGACGAGGCATAATCGTCATGAAGCCTTTCAATGCCAGGGTGCTGAAGGGGAAGGACAAAGAGTGAATGCACCACGAGAGCAAGTGAGACAAGAAACAAAAGTCTCAAAAGATAAGGCAAATTCTGTCCGACTAGTTATATGGGGGGAAGGCTGTGTGGATAAGTGACAAGAAGTGTGTATCCAGCAATCAGGGACTGGAGGAAGAGGATCCTTCGTTCCTCCAGAGCTGGGACAAGCACTCTTAAATAGGGGGAGGCGTAGTGCTCAAAAGAGGCACGCAGAATCGCAGCGAATGATTGTGTTGAGGAGGGAAGCCAGTTCTGGCTCCCCTCCCCTCAGAAAATGTGGTCATCGCTGGGGCAGCGCTGCGGCAGGCAATGGCAGGGTGAGTGTGAGGTGAGTAGATGAAATGGATGAACGGGTCCCGAGGGAGCAGCCGCGCGCGAGCAAGCGCGGGCTGGGCCAGGCACTAAGGGGCAGCCAATGGGTCACGTGATGGGGTGAGGGTGCGTGGCAGGAAGAGGGAATGGGCGTGGTGGGAACGGGCGGTTAGAGTGACGCGAAAAATGGCGTCGAATGTCGCCGTTTCCGGCAGCTGGCTAACCGTCTCATTGATTTATGAAGTTGCGGTGTGAATGCTGATGAAAAACTAACCAAAAAAATGAAGCTCTTAGTTGTATTTTTTAACCTCTAGATAAGGCCTCTAGGCCTTATAGTCTAAAAAGCTAAAATAATAGACTTAAAAAAAATTTTTAAATAAGTACTCGACGAGATGGCAAGCAGGGCTCCAGAATCTGCTTTACTGCCTGCCAGCTTGGGAGGTGATGTTACTGGAAGCAATTCGAGGGTGACAGTTGGGCTGGCTATTATCTTGCTGCTTGTAGATTGTTTACTGAAACCCCGGGGTGTGTGAATGTGACTTCTCCTCAGGTCCTGGGGATTCTGCGTCGTACCAACCATACAGGCGGGAGAACAATTCGGCTTCCATTCTTTGTGCTGCTTGGGGCCCTTGACGAATTTCGCCCATCATGTCCGTTCCAGGCGGGAAATCGAATTCAAATGAGGCTTCACCAGCACCACGCATATTGCATAGAACTGCCTGTTCAAAATGCCAACGCAAAAGGGCATCAATGACCCTTTGCGGATGGCCAGGCTGCCGACAGGTAGGATGCAGGACATTATTATGGTATTTCCATGCGTTTGGTCGAAAACTTTGGACCCTATAGCCATCATTTGGATTGACCGCAATGGAATAGTCATCCCATAACTTATGAATGTCTGAGCGAAGTAGAAGACCGTTTTGAGGAGAATTGACACCTGGTGGGTGGTTATGTGTCATGAAGTGCGCATATCCGTGATCAACGAAAATTTGGTCAAGTGCAAGCGGAAAGATATGAGCAACCTCGAAGCCAGCCCATCTATTATCAACAGCTTCATAGTTCTCATCGCCAGTAATGACACATCGTCTGTCACGTTGTCTGACTTGATCACGGAACGCAGTTTCTCTATTTGTACTTGACAACGATAGGGTGCGGGGATAAAAGTGTTCATCATTGATATGGATCTGTTCTCCTGGTGTTATTGGAGACAGGATGTAACGGCCATGTTGAAGGACTTGATTGGTAGCAGCTAAGGGAATAGCTGAGCCATACCGGCATGTATGGAAACCACCTCTTGCTGTAAATATCACATTGAGCATCTCAAGGAACTGAGTCTTAGTAAGGTTATTTGCAGCACACAGTCCTGCCTGGATATTACCAGGAGCTGAAGCAAACTCAATCCAAACATTTCGAGAGCCTGAACGATTGGGCGCCATTCTAGTGACCTAAAATGTGACTTTATACGTTAGGTAAAGGCGTTCTTTTCCCTGGAACCAGAGCTATTTTGGATATGGTGGCTCACATTAGAGGGTCAGAGGGGTAAGAACAGAGGTCAGATGAGAATGCCTCGAACAAACCCGCAAATTCGCAGGGTTTAGCTTCAAAATATAGGAAGAAGCGACTCAGTCACAGGCTTGGGGACCCAATCAGACAATCTTGCACTTTCATTCTGTCTCTCCAATCTACAAGATCGAGTAGTAGTGAGAGCTGATAGTGATTGTGTTCCTATGGTAATACTGAATTCAATGCAAGACGCAGGAACGATCGATACAAGAAGTTAGATTTGCCGAATCAGTGTGAAAGGCCAAACTCTTTGCAATGCCAGCATCCTAGGACTAGGATGCTGTGGCCTGTGTATGCATCTTTTATTTTTGATTTTGATGTTTTTATCCTTGTTACTTAACTTTTTATCAAGATATATTTCACGATGGCATCATCGGCCGAAAGTGATCACGTGGGGTCGATCCATTAAAGAAAAGCGGGAAAGACGGCACTTAACCTATTTTAGGTAATCACATGACCATCAAACCTGAAACGGTAACCTCTCACTTACAGTATACTGCAACTCCCAGGAAAAAAAAAATAACTGGCATATTGGCTAGATAGCAAGCCCATATCACACTCATGCAAGTCTTGAAGATTCTCTCGTGCATGAACAGCCACAGCGCTGTCGGAGGTGAAGGTGAGACGACTAGTGTCTGATGTTGCCTATTACTCCTTTCTTCAAGCCAAGGCGTGGAATCAGGAGTTTGTTAAAGTGTCGCCGGCAAAAAAAAATTAATTGGGCGGAGGATCGTTAGAATTCCCTTTTTCCTGGTGTCAGAAGGCTGCGGCTCGCTGCGGTCAGACCACCGCTTAGTCGGTTTGAAGGTCTCACCTTTGTTTAAGAACTTCAACTCCTTGAAAGGAGCGTATCAGGCACGAGCGATAAAGAAAATATAGAATGTGAGGCATAGGTCGATACTCATAGTTTCGCCAGCTATTACCCAACTATGAGATACAGATGTATCATATTAATAGTTTCAGGTTTGCTCTGCTCGAGGCAATACAAAATATATTCGTATAGCTAATGCCTTTTTTTTCATCATGTTCACATGCTAAATGTATAGCCATGCCGAAGGGAATTCATTGAGCCCTCGCGCTGCACGCACTCGTCAAAATGGAAGCTATCGGCCAACTCATCCAGCTTTTCTCGTCCATCCCCTCGAACAGCGCCGCAAACTCGTCCGCGAAAGACGCCGCCAAAAACGTCTGGAACACAGCCCGTAACATAACACATGCTGCTCCGTCGCCAAGGGCGTCAAATACGTCGCCTTTGCTGCCGGACTGGACTGACGGTATCAATCCACCGGACGAGCGGTTTGAGCACCGCATCCACCTCTGCTGACGGTCGGGTTCCCCATACATCTAGCCACAGCAGCTTCTGCTTCTTCTTCTTCTTCTTCTTCTTCTTCTTCTTCTTCTTCTTCAGGAGAAAAGGCTGGATAATAGTCCGGTTCCACTTGCTGTCCGGACTGGTGTGGATCATCCCCTGCAGCCCACAATGTCCTTGTACAGTACAGTACAGCCAGATGGACCAGTGGATCTGGTCCTTGTCGTAGATGCGCAGCTGCTCTCCGAGAAGGTTGTATCGCTCCTGGTTGATGGTCTCAGCGGCGGGTCTGCGTAGACAGGACCGAATTCGCCGTTCCAGACCGGCGTGCCGTGCTCCTTCATGAAAGTCGCCTTGCGGAGATATTGCCGTTCAAAGACCTCCTCCTGCTCCGCTGTGCCTTCCACTCCATAGCAAACGTATTCCCGTCAAGGAACAAAATATGATCCAGATCAACCCGTCTGATCGCCTTTTTCGATGCGCTCGTAAAAGGCAGGCAGTCGCACATGATCCAGGTCGCAGGGCTCGTTGAGAGGATTGTATCCGGCCACCCACCAGGGGTTTCCCCTATACCGAGCGGCAATCTGCTGCCATAGCCACACTGTGCGGTCCTGGTGATCTTTGTAGTCCCAGAGTGCAGCATATTTGGTAGGGTTATCCGAATGCCAGTCGGGGTCCTGGCCTCCAGGGACGGTGTGCATGTCCAGAATAGTATATAATTTCTCTTTTGCACACTATCCAGAGCAGCAATAAGTCAGATTCGCTCCACAAAAGAAAGGTTCATTATCGTCCTTGGCCAGGCTGGCGACAAACCAAATCAATAACCCGGTCCAAATGCTTGAACCCAGATTCCTTCAGTACCTTCGGATTCATATCATCTTCGAAATGGCGGTAGTTAAAAAAAAAACGGAATCCGGATGCAATTCAGGCCCAGTCCCGCAAAGAACTTTGCATCCGCCTCGGTGAAGAAGTTACTCGAGCCCATCTGTCGAGGAAGAATTCGTATCGTTCCGGACCGAGGGCTTTAACGCATTGCGGCGCGATGCTCGGATTCGTACGAGGCCGGTGAAGCCGGTGATGAAATTCACCATGCTGTATACAACAGATTCTAGGATTAGCAATTTGATAACCAAGACGATATCGATATCGTCTTATGCACAACACAATGATATAGTAGTAGAGAGAATAATGGGATTTTTTTTTACTTCAGCCATCCTCCAATCGCCGCCCCGCGAAGGATGACAGTGTCGCCATCCCCGTCGACAATCTTGTCACCTTTCACCTTCAGAATCCCTGAAGTCATGCTGTCTTCCTCTGTCGCTGTTGATGCAGAAGGAGCAATGAAATCACTGTCACTGGTAAACTGCGTCCCAAGTTAAAATACTGAGGTACTTATCAGCCTTGGAAATTCGAGGAGAAGAAGAGCAACCATGCCTAAATAAATAAATGTCTTCCCTTGCCCCTCCACAACGACAAATGCTCCATTTTATCCAGACAGCTTGGCGATGCTGCCATTGCGGACCCCGCAGCGATACAATTGGCGGGGAAAATTCCCCGTCAAGTCAAGAAAAAGGTACCTAAATAGGTAATAATAATAATACTCCGGGCGGTGCTCATCAACAAATCTGAAGTTTGGAAGGGAAGCTGCAGGACCACTTGCGTCCATGTGAGAGTTAAATTTAGGCTAATGTGTTGTTGGTCGTGCTGTTGGAGAAGTCAGCTCCAATACGTACCGAGTAATAGTCGCAAGTGAGAACGGTATCCCGTGATCTATCTAGTAGTTGGACTTGTATTTACTGTCCACAACCGTGCTCGAGGCTGAATAGCTACGTGCAGAACAGCAGTAAATAGAGACAGTCCACGTTCATAACTGAAACAGCAGTTTTACACAGACAGTACATCCACCGTCAAATACAATGCGTTGGGGTATCTGCCACACATGACCCGAAAAATGCGAACACATCGCAATAGCCGCGAAACGCCTCATGATGCTAGCTCGTCATGTCAGTCACCATAAACCCGCTCGTCCGGACGGAAATCAAACGATGGATAAAGCAACAAATGCCCGATCATCGACTTCTACCAATCCTGCCCGCGGTCTCTCATCAGAATCTCGATCGCCTCGTCTTCCGGAACAGGGTTGTCGTTCAATTCCTTCACACACTCGGTCAAGCCTTCCGCCGCTTCATCCACCTGTTCGGCTGTCCATCCCGTGCAAGCCATCACCACACGACGGTAGTTCTCCCCCAGCACAACGTTCCGAGACTTGAGACGCTCCACCTCCTCCAAAACCTCGCGGTTGTGCTCCTGATAACACTTGAGGCGCGATTCCAAGACGGCCACCGACGGCAAGGCGGAGAGGAACGCAGTCTGCTCGGATGTCATTCCAGCCGAAGGGTCGAATGACTCGGGGAAGAGGTTGTCAAATTCCGTCACATCAACCCCAGAATCCTTGTCAGCGTCGCCGATGACAGCCAGTTTTGATTCGTCAAAAGACTCTCCATGCATCCCCTTCAGCGTGGCCAGCAGCTCTTCAGAATCTCGCTCTAGATTCTTGATCCTCCTGTCCAGCTCCGCGCGCTCGGCCTTCTTCCGCTTCAACTCGTCAAGTTGGTTCTGCTCGATCTGCCTGGCTCTCGCACTTTCACGGATCTTCGCGTGCCAGTGATCAAATTCCGCCTGCTTCTTGCTCAACTCGGATGTTAGATCCCTGTCAATCCCTCCGAGAGTTTCCTCCACCAGAGCTCCTATCTGCGACAGGGTTGCTAGTCTATCGTCAGTAACAATCAGTCACTAAGGAGAGAACGCTTCTCTTACCGTCTAGGATCTCCTTCTTCGTTTTAGCGAGTTGGTCGATGAATGAATCTTTCTTCCCGTTCTGCTGTGGCTGAGAGCTTTCATTCACCATGTCAACACCCACACCGTAGTCGGCGGGACGAAGACCAGTATGGTTAGGAATGTATGGATCGGCTCCAAGCTCAAGGAGCTGAGGGACAAGCACCGACCGCGCACGTCCAGCCAAATTCAGCGCCGTGTCACCCTGGTCGTCTCGCAGGTTGACAATCTCGGAAATGAATTTGCCCAATCCAATGATTTCATACTTTGGTCCTTCCCCGTTGCCATTCACACCATTGGGGAGACTGGCGGGGGTGCCTCCATGACGAACAATAAACTCCAACAGCGACTCCAGGTAGTGCTTCGCCGACACATGCCCTCCACCGCCGGTCGCGGCCATGACTGCAATATGGTGAAGTATACTACGCCCGCTATTGTCAACCATGTCGATGGTTGGGGCCAGCACTTGCAACAGCTTTGGGAAACTCCGGTAGTCGAGATTATTCCTCGTCCCCACAGCCTTCTGAAGAGCCGTCTCACCGGCCAGATTCACACGAAAAATACTGACACCTCTCTCAACAAGGGCATAAACCAAGGGCAACCGTGCGAGCATCGCTGCCCAGTGCAAAGCGCTGTTGCGATATTCGTCCAACGGAATCTCAAGATCTTCACCGGACAACTGCACAAGCGCAGGGTGATTCGAGAAGTCCTTGGTGCGTTTATCGAGGAATAGCGTCATGATCAACTTCATCTTCTGGAATCTTTCCGGAGTAGTGGCCGGAGGAAGCGGCTCGAGACCGCGCTTTGTTCCATCCACGGCAGACACCGGCCCCTCAATGTGCTGATAGAAGGAGTCATTTGGCTCGGTTGGCGGTGGTTCGGAGAGCGTACTGTCTGCCCCGAAAGAACGTCCTTGATTCGAAGAAGATCGGACCCGTTTGCGCGGCGGCTCCGCGGAGTCTTCCTGATCAAGTCCAGAAGGATCGTGACCAGTGAGGTGACCACTATTTAGAGCATGGCTTGCAAACCCACTATCCGACGTCATGCTGTGCGTGCTCTGGCTGTTTGGGAGGCCGTTTGAGAGGCCGTGAGATTCCTGGCTGCTCATCTGATGAGATGGCTTTCTCATCCCGCTGGACTGCCGGCCGTCGGCGCCTCTTGCTGAAGGGGAATCAAAGCGGGCCTTGCTGATCGCATTCACGGCACTGGCGGCGGTGCGAGAGATGTTTTGGAAGAAAGTGCCCTGGGGAGGTTGGCCAACGCCTCTGGATTCGGCATTGTACAGGCGCTTTCGCTGAAGAGCCATGGCTTGCTCCTTTGTAGGGGTCTCGAGTGAGCCCTGTCCCGAATTGCCAGACCCGTCGTTATCGTATTCGAGGAGTGGTCTGAGCAAGTCTTCAACGTGATATTCCCGACACAGCTCTACACCTCTTTGGAAGTTCACCCAGGTGCCCTGGTACTTGCCGTAGCCTCCCTGAACTTTCTCGTGTTCGCCAGCAGCGATCTCCTTCTCCAGCGTCTTGGTGCGTCTGGCCTTGACGACACCAGCGACTTTCAGAATCTGGGTCGCATTCAACCAGGAATCAGAAATGCGTTTCATGACTGCGATCCCGTTGACTTCCATTTCATAGACTGAGACATTTGAATACACCGCCTAGGAGAAAAGAAGTTAACATCTGAGTTGTTCAGACTGATGACGAATGCCTACTTTGTAGATCTGAGGCTCCTGATATGGCACCATTGCCCCGTAGCCGTTCGCATCCTCATAACCCCCGAAGCTGGATCGGGAAATTGAGTTGTGGGGGAGGCCATTAGGCATACTGAAGGACATAGAATGTTGCGAACTCCGCGGGGGAGTGGCAGCCGGGGTGGACGCGACCGACTGGGAGGCATTGAAGGAACCCATGTGGGATTGAGAGGTGGGCAACCCATTGGCAGACCCAATGCTGCTCTGGGAGTATGACATGGTGATGCTGGGGTGCTGGTTGTGATGGCTGTTGGAAGCCATCGCGCCAGCGGATGCACGCAGGGAGGATGGTCAAGAGGCGTTGATGCGAGATCTGGAGGTGGTGAAACGCACATTGTCAGCAGCAGGCGCAGATAGGCAAAGGAACTAGATCCACAGCACGAAGATCGCAGCCAAGGGGGGTTGGGCTCACAGAGCATGCACCTGGAAAGCGTGGAAGAAAGGGCGGCACAGTGGCGCGTAGCGTAGCCCACGGATCGCGAAAAGGACACGGGTGGTCACGACGGTGGCTCAGCACGATGCTGCAGGCTGCCCACGCTCGGAGAAATTCGCAGCAGACAAGAAGCGGGTAAAGTATGATTCGCAGAGATAGAAGGGGTCGTGGAAATGGGGCAGAACAGCCAGAAACAGCCGGAGTTGGCGACAGGCAGGCGTGAGGCTTGGAGGATGCGTGTTGAGTCGCGGGGGTTTGCTCGCGTTCTGCTTGGCGCGCCCAACTATTGCCTGTTTGGGAGCCTGGCCCGTGCAGCAAGCCCGACACTGCAACTTCGATCTCGACGTTATCAGATCGATTCAGAGAAAGCTGCTCTCGCTGACATCTAGGACCCTCCATGCCCCGTCACATCCTCGTTCCGCCCGAACAATGGCGACACCTGCTCCGAGCCCTGCTGCGCGAATGCTCCTATCTCCCCGATCCCATTGCTCGCAAATACATGCACGATCATGTGATGCTCCGCTATCGCGACTACGCTGACAAGCACCGCGAGTATCTTGACAAGTGCCGCAAGTACACGGAAAAGTACCATCGGCCCCCGTCGTTCCCTCCGCCCAAAGCCCTCAGCATTCTACGGCAGGCCCGTCTGCGGAGGGCGGCAAAGCAGACACTCTCGCTGCTGGTGCGAGCGAATGAAGGATACCCCAGGCCCCTGGAGAGAGTCTTGCTCCTGTCATACGGCCGGATTGGGAGACGGAGGCATCGACTACTGGAAGCCCTGCTGGATTCAGAAGAGGTGCCCTCAAACACGGATGCGGTGGCGGAGGCAGTCAAGAAACCGCGGATATGGGACGACGGATGGAAACCTCCCAGGATCTTGGTGGAGCTTCTGAAAGCGCAAAACCACGCTGCCATTGTTGCTCAGTCCAACGTACGAAATCAGGTCAAGACCTTCGAACCCAAAATACCGGCAGAGAACAGCTGGGGAAGGCCGGTGCCGTTGTGCCGTCGTCGGAATATCAGGAGGAAGTGGTACACAGCGGCGCTGAACAGTGCTCTTCCCCCGATCCCAGAGGACGAGCTGAAGTTATTACAAGGCTTGGTGTCTGGAACACACTCCTGGGCGCCGGTGCGACGGAGAAAGGCACCGGCCCAGCCGGCTCCCTCGCAGACATCGTCGCTTGATGCGAGGTTTCTGGCCGAGGGACCGAAGAAGGGTCTTACTTTCAGGAATTTCACCGACGGCCGGCCGCACAAGATAACGCGGCGGTTGATGGAGAGGCTCTGGGACCGGATCCACTGTCTCATCCCCCGGTTTACGATGAATCCGGCGCGCAAGAAACCGACGTTTGAATTCCCATTGCCTCGGTATCGCCGCGAGGCGGCCCTCTCTGTGGACGAGCAGAAGGTGCCTGATTTGTTTGGCGGCCTTGACGAGCAGGGACGGAAGCCCAAAACGGAGCCAAAGGAAGTACAACCGAATGTAACATAAAAGCGTTAGAATATAGATTTCAATGTACAGTACGGAGTAATTCTGGGTGACGGTGGAAAGCGTATGGACAGGTCGTGGTGTTTGAAGCCAATTTCGTGGCATTTCCGTATTCTAAAATTTCAATGAATGATAATCTCTATTGATTCTTCGAAAAACGTCGGCGCAAACGATAAAGATGATCAATTTAATTAACTAGACGAAAGAGCTGGACAACTAGACTAAGCGACCATGGTTCACAGTGATGGAAGAAGATGAGAATCTAGGGAGAATCTAGAAGACAGATTATTAGTATGTCCCAATCATTGAGGTCCACCGGCCTCCATGTCCTTGTCTCTGCGTCCTGTCTCGTATAACCGTTTGCAAACTTCGTGGGTGAGATGGCCTTTTTTTCCCCAAACTCCCAGAATCTGAAACAAAAACCAAGACCGCTAGAGGTTATCTTCCAACGTGGTTGCCTAGTCATTTCACACTGACAAGAAATGTTCTCGCTCTATTCCTTGATCACTTTTCTCCTTCATTTTGAGGGGACATGTTGGCAGTCACTGCCTGAGGCTAGGTAGACTGCCTGACCTGCCCATGTGACCCGCAGACATCAAAGGCTGCCTCTGCCTCTCAGATAGAGAAACCAAGCATCTTCATGCCGCCTCACTCCCCTGACTGCTGAGAGGATTTTTTTTTTCGATTGAAGGCCTTATTCGTTAACCAGTTAGTATGGCTACTTCACCACCATCCGAACCGTCACAGCCAAGATACCACCCAAGATAAAAAGCTCTTGACTGTCGAAATATGTCATCTGTGGAAGCGAGTCCACGAGACAGTCCGGAAGAGACTGAGGAGCAGATGCTTGCCAGAGGCTGCCTAAGAGACTGGAAAAGCCTTAATCTGGAGCTCTTTGAGCCAGTTTAGATGTCTGGGGAAGAATATCCTGGGGAACTACCGGATGAGATCAAAGAGATTCTAGGAGACAATTTCCGTGAGTATCGCATGAGCCATACTATAGAGTATCATCTGACCCAGTTCAATAGGAGGCATTGAAATGCTTGGCCTTCAAGAACAATCTTCTGGCTGTGCGGATATGACGACCTTATCGAGATGATTGATGATCCAGGGTACACCTTGGAAGACGAAATGGTCATTATTCCTCCTGGTGTTCACCCAGGCGCTTTCCTCGTCGATAGATACCATGATGAGCAAAAAAATTCCCAGTCACATTGTTCTTGAACGCTTGGGCTACGAATCAGCCAAGCCACCTCTACCTAGAATCTGGGCTACTACGTTCATCATGCCCTCGCAAGTTACGACCAATGTCTCACAGTACCATATTGCTGACCTTTATCCTCTGAGTCAGTCGCAATGTTTTCCTGACACTGTGAGGTGTGTTAAGATCGAAAACAACAACAACACCACCACCGACAAGTTTTACGCAGCTGCAAGAAACGCATTTGGAGATGGCCTCATTGACAGCCCTAACCTCATTTTCCGAGGCTTGTCGCTTACTGCGCTAGAACTGTCGATGACATATTTCATTCCAGTGATAGACACAAAGTCCATTGACAAGGATTCTGCACCAGGGATCTATGCCACAGACAGTTTTGCGATGGCCAAAAGCTATGCGCAATCTAACGGTGCTATTATGGTGTTCAAGGATACGGACTACTACCGTGATATGACGGTGTGGAGGCCTGACCAAGACGAATGGAAGCACCTGACTGCCGCATGGCTGCTCCGACTTCCGCTAAACGATGTCTCTGTTTCATCGAAATACAAAACGGCAGACACCATCATTGGACCAGCGTCGAAAACTCGCGGAGGACAAAAGGCTTTCCAGAACAAGGCTCGGAGAACCAGATGGTGTTTGTTAGCTACAAGGGATGTGAACGCTTAGCGCAGTCACTGGTGGCAATCATTTATGTGGCTGACTAGCTGTCTGTGATTCCGATATGTTGTTAAAAAAAAAGAAGAAAAAATATAGGTAGCAAAACAGTAAATAATATTTTACTTTCTTCGCAGTGAAGCCAGCGCTCTTTCCCACTTGTTAACCCTTTCTTCAGCGGGACAATGTTGACGGATAGCATTTCCAATCCCTGCGGGTTGGGAATCCGCTGGAATCACGTGATTCTCGAATAAGCTCTTCTGGATCTGTGGAAAGTGGTGGAGACCGTAACCCTCGTACCAGCCATCTCATCTAGACGGGGCGATCTGGCGATGGTTTTTTGCTGGCTGTGTAAGGGTGGATCAATGCAATCGACAAACCATACTCCGTCCTTCCTTTTGTCCTCGGGAGTATATTTTTTTTTGCAGGATCCGGTTCGGTCCAAGTTCCAACTGCACCAAGTACCTAGTTGCTGATGCCGAAAACCTGACTGAAAAACTGACTGCATCCCGAGATCGGACGGTTAAAAAGGCCGTTCTTTTTTTTTGCAGTTGCTCCACCATCCTTCCTTCGGTCAACCCATCACACCGGCAGGTTGAAAAAGGAAAATCTTTTCACAGCAATGCGTCGACTTCTCCATCCACACTCGGTATTATTGTGATTTCGTAATGCCGACCACGGCCAGCCAGTGGCATCGCAGTCAGGCAGGAAGCGATTGCCCAATGTCAAGCTGGCATTCGAGCATGGCCAAGACGCTGCATGCAATCCAATCGGTCAATCTCCGAACGCTTTTCTCCACGCGAGTCGACGGCTGAACGGAGAATTTCAGTCATGTGACCGGAGGAGCCGATGACGTGCAGCGATTCGCTGGGACGAGTCGATGACTAAACGCGCCCGCGATCGGCGGCGTCTAAGCCGGGGTGTGGGCAGGCCGGGGAAGCGCACGGCAGAATGCAATCTGGAGTCTGCACGGAGAGCTCGTATTATTAATATTCGTCTTTTGCAGAGATAGGATTCTGTAGAAATAGGACGAGTCAAACGTAAGCCTCAAGTCCAAAGAGTAGTTTGCTGGCCTTGTTCAGCAGCTCGTCGAATTCCACCTTCCTGTCTTGGCTCCCCAGATTCTCCCCGCATTTTCGACCGTGCTTGGCTGGGCCTTAGCTGCGGCCACAACGTGCTCGTGCTGATGAAAATTTCCGACATGACCCGGCATGGAACAGACGATGAGCTTTTTTCTCTGTGCGCATGGCTGACAGCCCGTTCCTTGCCCATACTAAGGCAGTTGCCACCTGCGCAGCTGCAGAGCCTGGAGCGGGCAGCCGCTGCGTCGTCGGTGGTGCCTTCCGTCCCCCACCAACCAGCGACGCGGCTAATCGCTTCCCAGCTTCTCGCCCGAGCGCTTTGTCGCTTTGTCTTCAGCGGGGGTTGCAGTCGAGCTAACAGAACGCCCTTCTCAGACTAGTCCGCGTCAGAGCTCTGTCGTCCAGCTATTTATTATTTCTCCGTGCTTCCCTGTCTCTCGCCTCCCCAGCTCCTGTCTCGTCCCTGCGGCACCACTTGCCTGATCCTCCGCTGCCTGTCTCACCCTCTGCTGGCCAAGGATTGATTCGGGAGCTGCACTGCGCTGCAACATGGCCGACTCGCACGAGGGAAAGCCTCACGCCGTCGAGGTCAGCTCTCCGGCCCCAGAAGAGCATACCAGCATCGGCCGCTACCTCGTCACGCGCGTCACCTCGCTGGTGCCGCCCATGAACCGCGCCCCCAACCCCATCAAGGCCCTGATGCTGCTCAATCGCCAGAACTGGCTCTTCTTCCTGGTAGGCTGTCCGCCGTCCTTGCTGCCCTCCGCCTGCTGACCTGTTCCAGATCGCCTTCCTCGGCTGGACATGGGACTCGTTCGATTTCTTCTCCGTCTCCATCTCTGTCACCAGCCTGGCCAAGTACTTTGGCAAGTCCAACTCCGACATCACCTGGGGCATCACCCTCGTGCTGATGCTCCGCTCCGTCGGGGCCATCATCTTTGGTATCGCGTCGGATCGCTACGGTCGAAAATGGCCGTTCGTGGTCAATAACATCCTGTTCATCGTCCTGGAGCTGGGCACCGGCTTCGCGCAGACCTACCAAGGCTTCCTGGCCTGCCGCGCCCTGTTTGGAATCGCCATGGGCGGTTTGTACGGCAACGTTGCTGCCACCGCCCTGGAGGACTGTCCCGAAGAAGCCCGTGGAATCGTGTCCGGCATGCTGCAGCAAGGCTATGCCTTTGGATATCTGTTGGTCACGGCCTTTGCCCGTGGTCTGGTCGACACCACCCCGCATGGCTGGCGACCCCTCTTCTGGTTCGGTGCTTGCCCGCCCGTGCTGTTCATCATCTTCCGTCTCTGTCTGCCCGAGACCAAGGCGTATCAGAGCCGCGAAAGGGTGCGGAAGGGATTGACCGGCGGCGTCACCTCGACATTCCTGTCCGAAGGCAAAGTGGCCGTCAAGCATCATTGGCTTCTGCTGATCTATCTGGTCCTCCTGATGACGGGCTTTAACTTCATGGTGAGTAGCATCATTTGTCTTTCGGGTCTTGCGACGTAAACTAACGGGTTTCTCTCAGTCCCATGGCTCTCAGGATCTGTACCCAACCCTCCTCCAGGCGCAATTCAACTTCTCTTCCAATGCCGTGACGGTAACGCAGGTCGTTGCGAATTTGGGCGCCATGGCTGGTGGCACGCTCTGCGGGTGGGCGAGCCAGATCTTTGGCCGACGCTTTTCGATCATTGCCATCTGCATTGTCGGCGGCGCTCTGCTGTACCCCTACACGTTCGTGACCTCGACCTCGGTCATGGCGGCGGCCTTCTTCGAACAGTTCTGTGTCCAGGGCGCCTGGGGGGTCATTCCCATCCATCTGATGGAACTGGCTCCGGGTCCGATCCGGACATTCGTCGTCGGTACCGCGTACCAGCTCGGCAATCTCGTCTCCTCCGCCAGCTCCACCATTGAATCGACCATTGGCGAGCGCTTTCCGCTGCCGCCTACCAAGTCCGTGCCGCACCGGTACGAGTACGGCAAGGTCATCTGCATCTTCATGGGCTGTGTGTACGCATATACGATCATCGTCACCTTCATTGGACCGGAACGACTGGGGAGGGAGTTTGATGCCCAGCATGACAGCGATTTGGCCGAGGTGGCCCAGAAAAGGACGGCACACGCAGATGACATCGACCCGGAAAAGGCGACTAGCACGCAGCAAGCATGAGAAACGAAGTAATTTCTGCGGAGCGATTACTATGCTTGCGACTCTAGTTTGGAACGATTCTACGCTGTAATGCCATTCAACGGATGTGGATAAAATTCGCTGTTCGGATTACTCTTGCAATAAGGTTATGAGTTTGGATACTGAAATCTGAAATGGATCTATCTGGTGGGATTTTGTGGTGACTCGGGCAGGGGCCTGTCACAACGCATCATACATAGTTCGGGGGAGGGGGGCGCATATGATCTCCCGTTTTGCTTGTATTTTCTTTTTTTTTCTTTTGTTCATAGCTTTATAGTCGACCTCCTGTAGCGAAAGGAGGACACGAAAATGAAGATACCCATGGAGACACCACTTGCTATCGTAAACACGTGCCAACTACGGTTCTGCTACTATGTATAGAATTTTGATGGGTAGTTCACAGCCTGGAATACTCTGTAATCACAGGCTGATCGAATTGAGAGCATGATCGCTTCGATGACGTCCATGCTGCCATCCTACGGGAGCAAGGATGAGACCTGGCCTATCATATCGATGGATCTGCGGGGAAGAAGACATGATCACATACCTACAGACATGACATGTACTTAACAGGATTAATTAATAATCAACTGTATGGGAAAGCTCTGCAGATAATTGTCCTCCTGATAGATAGGTGGGGGTTTATGTCGAAATTATTAACGCATATTTTATTAATTGTCCTAGACTTTACTAGAACTAACACTTTATGCAAATGAGTAATCCCCCATTCCCACTTATGTAGCTTTATCAAAGTCGTAGTACGGTAAAAGCGTTCAAGTTATGCTGTTGTAACTGGCTCCTACTTTTTTTTTCTGCTAAAAATAATTATTTACACATACATAAGGAAGGTACACACGGCGAGAATTAGGGCAAAATTTATGGAAAGGAATAATAAAATGGTTAGGAAAGACTGTACATTGATAGATTCATGCTCAATCGATATGCTAATCAATATCCTTCGATAGACTAATCGATTAAATTATTGATATGCTGATACTTCGCTGAATCTCCAGCTAGCGCGGTCACCTGACCTGCGTCCGCTCCCCTTCCGGCGTGCAGCATGAGGTCAATTGCAGTAATCGAAGTGCTGCACACGCATCGACACCACCGCGAGCGCCGTCCAGGTGCAAAGACTCGCCTCTGGCCATTGAGTCCCTGTCGTTGACCGTCGCCAGCCCGGCTCTCCGCGCATAGCAGCTGCTCGTGCGCCGTCGCTCGGTGGACTGTTGGGGAAAGGCGCCCTCCAGGAGAAGCTTCTGCCAGCCGCCAATCGCCGCGTCTCCTTCTCCCTGCACTGGCACCCCGACTGTCCTGCTCCCAGCTTCACCTTCACCTTCGCCGTCGACCTCGACCTTTCGCGGCGCCCCCTTGCTTCCTCGCTCGCTCGCTCGCTCCCTTCGCATTCCGGCTGCGGCCCTCTCCCCCAGCATCCCCTCAGTTCGACCGTGGTGCCGTGCTGGATGACTGCTCTCCCCGCCGCTTCAAATGCACAGGCGCTCGTCCGGCTTCTCGGTCCAGGACGAGGCTGAAGATCCCTTGGTCTCGCGCGTCTCGACGGATGATGGCCATGGAGCCAGCGCCCCCGTCGTCTCCGAAGCATTGCGGTCGCCCGTAACCGCGCCCGCCGGCTGCGTCGACCTGCGCCCCGATCCCCATTCCTCCACGCCGCGATCAAGGAATTCCAGCGCCTTCAGGACCCCGTCGTCGTCGTCCTCCTCCTCGCATGCTCCCTCCTCCTTATCCTCCTCCTCCTTCTCCTCCTCCGCGACAAAATCCTCGGCCGCCATGATGCCATTGGGGTCTCGGCAGCTCTCCCTCGAGGGCTCGCCAGAGACCCTGCGCGGTCGACAATCCCGCTTCCGCAGCCCGTGGTCGTGCTCGCTGCTGACCCTGTCCGTCGCCCTGTCCGGCCTGGGCTTGCTGCTCTTCATCCTGCACGCCTTTATCCACCGCCCGGTCGGTGCCGATGGCTGTGACGTCCCCGTCATGAGTCCGACGTACATCCGCATGGTCGAGTTCGACGCCGAGCACACGCGGTTCGCCAGCAAATACAATCTCTTTCTCTACCGGGAAGAGGGTGTCGATCCCTACACGCAAGACAATATCGGGGTATGTCTCGCTGCACTGTAATGCTCCTGCTCTGTCCATGCTGCTAACGCCTTATCCAGCTCAATGGTGCGCCAGTCCTTTTCCTTCCCGGAAACGCCGGGAGCTACAAGCAGGTCCGATCCTTGGCCGCAGAAGCCTCGAGGTATTATCGGGAGGTGGTGCAGCATGATCAGGAACGCCTGAAGGCCGGAACGCGCAGTTTGGATTTCTTCATGATCGACTTTAATGAGGACATGGCGGCGTTCCATGGCCAGACACTCTTGGACCAGGCAGAGTACGTCAACGAAGCATTGGCCTATATTCTGTCGCTGTACCACGACCCGCGCCGGTCACGACGAGACCCCAACCTTCCCGACCCGAGCTCGGTGATCTTGATCGGACACTCGATGGGCGGCATTGTCGCGCGCACGGCGTTGACCATGTCCAACTACCAAGCCAATTCGGTCAATACCATCATCACCATGTCCGCGCCGCACGCCAAGCCTCCCGTCTCCTTTGACTCGGACGTCGTGCACACCTACAAGCAGATCAACGACTACTGGCGAGCGGCCTACTCGCAGGAGTGGGCCAACAACAATCCCCTGTGGCATGTCACCCTGATTTCCATTGCGGGCGGAGCACGAGATACCATCGTCGCATCCGACTATGCCAGTCTCGCGTCGCTCGTTCCGGAGACGCACGGCTTCACCGTCTTTACGTCGACCATCCCGGACGTTTGGATCGGCATGGACCACCTCTCGATCACCTGGTGCGATCAGTTCCGCAAGACGATCATCAAGTCCCTCTTCGACATTGTGGACGTGCGGCGCCCCAGTCAGACGCGGCCTCGAGCGGAACGGATGCGCATTTTCAAGAAATGGTATCTTACGGGCTTGGAGCCTGTCGCGGAGAGAACGCTTCCTCACAAAGGTACGGAGGATGTCGACCCCAGAGAAGAATATATAATGCTAACTATCCTAAGAACCCAATACTCTCCTCACTCTGGAAGCAAACACGAACAAGATCCTGGCCCAAGGTGAAAGACTGGTTCTGCGCGGACTCGGCAATCATAAGGAGCCTGAGGCGTATCTTCTTCCCATTCCCCCCCAGGGCGTGCCGGGAAAGAAGTTCACTCTCCTTACCGACCAGCCGTTCGATCAATCCAATGGCAATGGCAATCTGGAGGTCCTTTTCTGCAGCGTCTTCCCTCTGCAGGCCGGCCACACCACTGCTCTATTCTCCATGAACATGGACCTCTCCCGAGGCGGCTCGGGTTCGACCCGTCTGGCATGCAAGAACGCCGCCGAAGACGGCATCCATCTCCCCGCATCGACCCCCTCGTCCAAGCACCCATTCGACCGGGTTCGTCCCTTCTCGTACCTCCAGTACGATCTGGAGGATCTTGCGGAGCACCAATTCGTGGCTGTGGTGGACAAGGCTGACTCGCCCAGCGGCGGATGGGTCATTGCCGAGTTCTCCGACAGCTCGGACGCGGTGATTCCCACTCGAGTCGGCTTGGGTCGTCTTCTCAGCGCGGGCCTCCATATGAAACTGCCGGCCAACCGTCCCATGCTCACCGAAGTGAAAATCCCTTCGCTGCATTCCAGCTTGCTTGCGTACAAGCTGTCGGTGCGGACCAAAGGATGCCAGGAACATCCGGCGCTCTTCGCGCCGCTCTTGCGGCAGTCGATGCCCGAGCCTCATGAATCGAAATTCTTCGTCAATGTCAAGGACGTCAATGTGAACCTGCACGGGGTCGCTCCGTTCATGCCGCCGCCGCTCCGGGAGCAAGCCACGTACGGCGGTGTATCGTTCCAACTGTGGTCCGATCCAACGTGCGGCTCCGGGGTGGATCTGTCGTTGACGGTGGATATCCCCAACAGTCTCGGAGAGCTGGTGATGCGGTATCGAACGGTTTTCGCGGCGTTCCCTCTTCTGGTCATTGCGCTCGTTCTGCGCAAGCAGTTCAAGGTGTACGACGAGACGGGCTACTTCATCCCGTTCATGGAAGGGCTGAATCTGTGCCTGCGGTCGTCGTTCCCATTGTTGCTGCTGGCCTTGTCGCTGTTCGCGTCGTCGCTTGCGTCGTCGAGACGACTCCCACCGAGCGATGACCCGTTCCACTGGCGGACCAATGCCACGGAGACGGTGATTGATTTCACGAAAAACGATCTGTTGCTGGGCGCGCAAGACGCCTTTTTCTGGTTCCTGGTCCCTCTGTTCGGTCTGATTAGTGTCGGGGTGTGCGTCCTGGTCAACTATGCCAGTCTGACCATCCTGTCCATCTTTTCCTTTTGCTACGGGCTGTTCCGGACCAAGACGGGCTACATTCGACGCGACGAGAAGGGGTGGGTTACTTCGCTGGCTCTAACCAGTTCGTTGCTGACGTTTCACAGGAACCCGCCAGTATTTTCGATCCCGACGCCGAGACGACGGATCATCAACACTGCTATTCTGCTGCTCCTCGTCGCGACGGTCATCCCGTATCAGTTTGCATATTTGGTTGCGTGTATCGTGCAGATTGCGACTTGTGTGCGGGCGCAGTGGCATGTCAAGGAGACGGTACGATCCTTCTTTCTTCTTTCCTTCCTTCCTTCCTTCTTTCTTTCATTCTTTTTACTAACGTCAAGCAGAGACTGGCGGCGCATTCAAGCTTCTTCAACTATGCGCACTCGATCCTCTCCCTCATGCTGTGGGTGCTTCCGATTAATATTCTGGTGCTGGCGGTCTGGGTGCACAACCTGACGGTGCACTGGTTGACGCCTTTTTCGTCACATCACAATGTGTTATCTATAATGCCATTTCTCCTTCTTGTCGAGACCATGACGAGCGGTCTGATGATTCCGAGAGTCCATTCACGGTAAGTTGGCCGAACCTGCGGGCGGGAACCTCTGGCCGGGGACGGGACAGCGCTGACGACTGCAGATTTAAACATGTCACGTACATCCTTCTCTTCTTCCTCGCCGCGTATTCTGCCATCTACGGCGTGTCGTACGCCTACCTTCTGCACCATCTCGCTAATATCCTTGCGGCCTGGCTAGTGGGCATCTACCTCAGCAGTGGGGGTTTTTCGTTGCGCCGTCTGTTGAGGATCTTGGAGGGAGACGATGGCAATGGCTCGGAGAGTAGCGAGCGCCAGAAGAAGAAGCCATAGAAAGCCATAGCCTTTGATTTGTACAGCATTATTAGTTTTATAGTTGAGCATGGAACGGCGATTGATTTTCTTTCTTCCATTGTTTCACTTCATTCTTACTGTGTCCTTTTTGTCCTTTTTTGTGTCCTTTTTAAGGATATGCATTTTATTGCCTTTTCTTTTTTTTTTGTTATGTTACCTTTCTCGATATACATGTTAGCGGTTTGGAGTTTATATAGGTACATTACATGGTACATTGTTTCAATGCCCGGAATCGCCATACATACATAGGTCTAGACATGTTTCTATGTTCTTTTCCGTTGGCAGCGAGTGAGGGTGCATCTGATAGAGTGGTGAATGTAGAGCGAGCTGGAATTAATAAGCTGGCAGCCATTGGACTGATCTATAGATGGGCTGGTAGGAACGTAACGAAGGTATCAAGCAAGAACTAGCATCCAAAAACAAAAGAAAGAAAGAGAGACGTCATCTGCAGTATAAATCAAATCAAATCTTCTACAGAGTATAACCAATATCCTTATCGAAAGAGACAGATTCAATTTTAATCAAGCCAGCGTCACCTTCTCCCCAAACCACCTCTTCCCCCCCGTCTTGATAACCTCCTCAAAAATCCACTCTCCGACATCCGCCCGATCAACCGTGTACCCGAGAGCAGGTTTCCTGGCCGTGCCAACCCTGAGCTTCTGCCGGCCCTTCTTTTTACCGGCGGTGCTTTTTCCATCACCAGTCAACAGCGTCGGCCTCACGATGACCGTCCCAGCAAACAGGTCTCGATTCGCATCAATAACGGCCTCCATCTTCCTCTTGTCCTTGTGCGGCTCTGCCAGGAGCGTGTGGTACATAGCCCGCATGAGGAAGGGCACGTCGGGAGGCTCGTTGTCGTCGGTGAGGCCTGTCGTGGAGATGCACGCCAGAACAGGCTTGTCCTGGTCGTGGTTGTTGAGCTTTCTCTCAGAGTAGATTTCTTGCAAAGCAGATACCAGTGCTGAAGCAGTCTTCTCTGTGATATGCGGATTGTCGAGCTTCACCGTGGGCACGAACAAGCACTTCCTCATGTCCATATTCAGTGACGGCGTCCCGCCGATTCCAGAGACGATGATGTCGACAAGACTGCCACCCTCATTACTTCCAGATAATAATATCGTCTTCTTGATAGAAGCAACATCCATCGCATCCCCCCTAACAATCCGCAACTGCGACGCGAGAATCTCCTCCGTGATGCCGTCTTGCTGCAGCAGTAGACTTGTTAACTTGCTTGGTGTTCGTGCCAGGGCGATTGCATGGTAGCCGGCTTTCAAGGTGTGTGCAAGACAGGCGTTTGTGCAGCCGCCGGTGGCGCCGAGGAAGGCTATTGTTTTTGGTGACATTTCGTTGGTTTTTGGTTGGTTTTTGGTTGAAGATTGTTTGGTTTGAATGGGTTTGAATGGGCTTTATTTCGAGTGTTGCGATGTTCGATGCGCGGGAGAATTAATTGTTTGCTTGGCAGATATCGAGGATACTCAAGCCAAAAAAAAAAGAAGGCAGTTGTATAAATAGAGATAGATATAGAGGTAGAAATAGGGAATAAACAAAGAATCGGGACTTGTTTGTTGCAAAAAGATATTTGTTAAGTTGTTAAGCTTGTGCTTGATCAAGCAAAGCAATGTTGTTCTGTTTCTTGTTCTGATTCTGTGTCTTGTTCTGGTGGTGATGATTCCATCCCTTTTATATTTATATATATTCTATATCTATATCCTCTATCAAGGCGGGCATTGTCCTTCCATTGGAAGTCGCTACAGTACATATTTCTCCCATCCCGATGGCCGTCGGGGATATGACACAGAGTGGTCGGCTCCCGGGTTTTCTATATGGAGCACGGAGTACGGAGCGTAGAGTACGCTGGCACCAATTCAATTCAGCTCAACTCAATTCACTCCAATCATATGAATATTACTATTATTATTACTATTAGACAGACAGCAAGAATATACTCCGTATGGGAGGAATGGAACAATTCTTTCCAAATCGGGTATAGTACTCTTTTCTAGCGGAGGAATATCCCTCCGCGTCGGAGGAACAGAATTTGCGCTGCTGAGTGTGAGGGAGGTGATTGGTTGGGGACGGGGTAAAGGAAACTTGTCTGTCAGCTGTCTATAGGTACACTAATAGGTATAGGTACTTAGTGCCTTGGAGTCTGTCTGTAGGTACCTATTATTAGGGAGTGTCTAATATAGGTAATGGCTTGGCGTTGATTTCTAGAGCATACTCTGTACTCCGTAGGGCTATATTGGTAGGTAGGGTTACTAGGGTAGGTAGCCTGGATAGAATGTAATACACGATATTGTCAAACAAACTGGGGCACAAAAGAAAACCTAGGTTATCTAGTGAACCCCTAGTACGATTGATAGCTGCCGGTTGACAGATATATATACCATTCGGCAATCATGATTCCTGCTGGTGGATTATTGATAAACTGTCTGTACTGTACAGCACGAGTAGCCAGAATTGACTAGCTTATACTGTTGATGTTACCTAGGTACCCATATGCTTAGTTCTGTATGGTCAACGTACTGGACAAGGAACAACTTCCAGATCTCTCTCCAACACGGCATATTGGATATATGCCATATCTTGTACTTTTCATCCCCTTCGTCTCTTGTGTGTTAATATAAAAAAAGGACTGCTGCTGGCTAGTATTTTCCATCTTTCCTATGACCTGTCCAATCAAGTTGAAAAACAAAACAAAAGCAAAAAAAAAAGAAAGAAAAGAAAAAGAAGAGAAATTTCATTCACGCCGTCGATGATGACAGCTTGCTTGACATAATCCAGCTGTATAATAATACTTCGTTACATATCTCCCCTGTCTTGTATGTACTGTATGTACAGTACAGCTGTCACACATTATTTATTTATTTATTAAGGATTGTTTGATCGAATTCACTCTTCCCACAAATAAACAAAAATAAACCAAATAAGCTACTGCTGCAAGGCTGTTTCCAGATTTTCTCTGTTCTAATTCATTGTTAGTTATAATATAAAAGGCTCTTTGGCGTGTGTCATATTGTGTCAGCTTCCTAAGTTCAGGCAAGAAATCTTTTTATTACAGCAAGTGATAGATAGGAGATACATTGTATATGGCCTGATTGCAATCAGATTCCTTATACATTTTGAGGCAGCACAGAAGATGGATACATCTCTGTGAGCCACAGTGCCTAGCTGTATGGTTGCAGCAAGCTTAATTCTAGCAGTCTTCAAAGCCCACTGTAATAAGATACAGCTCTGATTTTGGCAAAGTCCCTCTCTTTCACACCAGCCCCCTAGAGGCATTTACAGCTGACTTTCAACCAATCCTGTTGCTGGAATTATTGTGTTATGTGTGGTTAATACTTGTTCATACCTTGGAATCTGTCAACCCTATTCATACAAGCGTCTATGCCCAGAGCACACTCCATCTATATTGCAACAGTTTCAAAAAGTAGAAGATCAGCCATCTAGGCAACTCTCACCTAACCCCTATATTTCAGGACAACTTATCCAGAACTGGCTATCCAAGGGCATATTATAAGAATTGACCAAGAAATGCTCAGCAGCACCCTCAGACAATAGAGGGCAAGGAATGGAATTGGCAGCCACTCAGCTAGCTGATGACGTTTACCCATTGCATACTGGGTTGTTTGGAGATATTAGGTTCCTCTCCTGACATGGTAGTCTAGATCTGTTACCTAGACCTAAGATGTATCCGCACGGGATCCCTGGGGTTTTGAACTACCGTCAATCGACAGTGTATCGACCGTATGAAAAAAAAAAAGTCAGACATCTTAAAAAAATATAACCTTGGATTGTTTCTTGAGGAAAAACTTAGATACTTCCATACACCCATAGCGAATCCTAAATAGCACGGAATAACAGAGCAAGAAAATATCCATGTCGTTTCTACTCGATATGCATACACTGTCACAAGCAAAATATCACTCAACATTGAGTACAGTCATCCCATGATAGTCTCCAACTTCCGCTCCAGCATGACATCCAACCAAAACACCTCCAAGCCCGAGTCCGCTCTCTCCCAAGTCTCGCGCACAATGTCCGAAATCCTCTGAATGGGAAGCTTTGGCAGAATCTGCATCAACTCGGAGAGCCTCGTGCTGATCCAGCGCCTGGCCTGGGCTATCTCCACGTCCAGCGCATTCAGGCTCGTTAACGCGTTTGCTGCAACGCCAATGAGGGATCCCATGGAGAACACGAGATCGCTTGCAATACTTGCAAGGAGGACAAGCTGCATGCACCGCGTGCCGGATGTTGTGGGCAGCTGATCGAGAAGGGATACGATGTGCAAGGCTAATGAATGGCGCCCGTCTCGGACGGTAGGTGAAGTGGAATTAAATGTTATCTGGAAGAGACGATAGAATAGGTCAGGTACATCATTTTCCGATGAGAGACTAAGTCGAAACCGCTGGGCCAAGATATCAGGGAAGATGTGATAAATCTGCAACAGCGCAACGCAGCGGTACGCTTCTGCCAATGTGACAAAACGGGATGGCGGAGTGTTCTCGTCCCCCGCTGCGACTAATAGTCCAGAATATGATGATAATAAATCCAGTGAGAGCAATTCCTCTTCGAGTTGTTCGGCCTTGAGCCTAAGCTCCATCTCATTGACGAGATGGCGAGATCAAGCGTAGAGAAATCCAGGTGGAATGTGATGTCCGTGTAGCCCGAATCAGTCTCGCTGTCCTGTAGAATACACCCAGCACCTTCGACAGAGAACCCGTCCAGGGATGAGAAAGCAATTGGCCATTGACAAAGTAGAGGGGAAGATCTGGCTCAGGTCCAGCTGTGTTCTCCACGTCGATCGACAGCGGCGCGTCCTCTGCCACAAAGGCCACCAACATGTTCCAGTAAAGGAGACACTGTTTAAAGAAAGGATACTGTTTCGCGAGGACAGAATCCTGACCCTGGCATCTCTGCTGCTGGCCAGCGATATGGTCTCTTGCAGCTTTGAGATGGCCAACCCCTAGGTCTCCCCCATTGTGCCAGGCTGTTGTCGACCCGATCATCAGCAGTGCAAAAAAGGTCTCGTCATTGTCATCCACCTGAGACGATTTTGCCTGAATCTCCTCCTGAAGACAGGCGAATGCCTGCTTCTGCATCTGAATCCCGACAGCCCGCATGCTCGGAAAGTCGTTGGCCAACGAGGCAGCCGCCATGCTCTGGATCGCAAAGTAGATCGCGGCGTTGCGACTCCAGAGACGACCGATAATGCTACGAAAGGGATTCAGGGCCGAATCAAAGGACGAAAATAGCTTGCAGGCGTAGTCGAAGTAGTACTGTACCAGGATAATGATGGGTTGCCTTGGGAAGGCTGAGTCTCCCATTATCGTGACAGAAAGGCATTGAAATAAACACAAATGTAGTGGCTATTGATGCTGGTAATTGTTTCCAGTCTAATTACTGCGGCCATGCAGGAACTGCGCTGAAGCAACGTCATCGAAGCAAAAAAGCACGAACGAGACATCGTTTTAATGATTGGTTAGGTGGAATTCAGGAACTACTTCCTGATTGTTACAATCCAGAATATGGAATCGCGTGTAATCTTTAAACACGACTCTCCATAGCCGCGGCTCGTTCGGGTCTGGTTCCAGATATTAGCTATGGACTCAAAGAAGTTAGGGGTAAAAGGAGTATTACACTTTCTCCGTGGGTTGTCGTGCCGACAATCTAATATGAGCCGGTCTTTGAGAAAGCCGCACTGAATCCACGAATAATATACACCATTCTGACGAAACCGTTTGCAGTGATCTGTAATTCTGTCGCCATCACGCAGTAACTCAATTCCCCACCCAGGTTCAACGATATGAAAGTCAACACGGCCCTGTTTGGTACCTGTCCATTCGCTACAGATCCCAACACCAGGCCCAACTTCATACCAATAACACCTGTAAAACTCATCTTGAAATGCTGCTTCTGGAGGTCGTGGCTGGCCTGATGGACCGATTCGTCGGCCGTCTCGAGTGCTGCATAGCATTAATGTTGAAAACCTTTGTATTACTTTCAAGCAAAAGTCCTTAAGATCTTGGTATTTTGCAAGCGGGAACGGGACAGGATCGACTCGGCCAAAGTAGTATTCGACAAACCTAGGCCAATGTTAGAGCGGGAACTATACCGTTAGATAGAAAAGAAAAGAAAAGGAGGAGAGACAGCAAAGAAGAAATGTATTTACCTAGCATGTAATGGTGAAGGAAAGACACAATTCAACTGACCGACCTTGTCCTCCTCAGTATGTACCCACCCATTTCGGAAACAAAGTTGGATTCCTCGGTTGTTATGATCGAATGTGATGCTGCCCTCCCGCAAAATATCAAGAAGCACACTGACAATGCTTGGATCAATAACTCCTTTTTGCATCTCCCTTGACGGTAGAGATCTACCAGCAGGAGAAACTGTAAGATGATTGAAGAGTTTGTGGTCATCTTCTAAGGCCTCCTGGATCTCATTCGGAGTAATCGCATATACGTTGAGGCGTTTCAGATGGGATCGGTGAAACTGCACTGCCAGTAAGACTCATTTCTTTATATCTGCCCAGGGTTTTGTTCACATACATTCCGGATATACGTTAGAATCGAGTCAATCATGCCAGGGTGGCCGTTTGTGAGTGAGAATATGTAATTTTGAACTTCTGTATTGAGTGTGAACTCAATATCTGAACGTTTGTAAAATCTGCCCAAGAAGTCCTGATACTCAGGTAAATCGTAGAAGAGACAGATGTCTGGAGCAGCTGGGTGACCGGATATAGTAAGGGAGACTCGTTGGCTAAAGTGAAGGATAGGTGGTGTTGTGGCTTCCGGGTAGTCAGGAGCGCCTGTTGTCGGACTACCGTAAGAACTGAAAAGGCAGAAACGTGGTCCTGCCAAACCCTGACTCTGAGATTTGATTAGGTTATACCATAGATCCGGATCGACATAGGTCTGCTGCGCTTCGTCTAAGATGAAGATGAAGTCACTTTTGAGAATATCACTCTGCCGCACCTCAGTATAGCCATAGTCATGACATTGCTCGGCCAGGAATTGTGCTGCAGACCTTTTATTATCCCACTTGGCTATGAGTATAACCTTTTCTGTCTGAGCCAAGAAGTCGCATAAGAGATTTGAGAGAACGGTCTTCCCTGACGCAGGGGTTCCCCGCACGTGCATTACTCTATGCTCGTCAAGAAGAGGAGCAAGTGTCCGTACAGTTCGATCTCGTGGGCATATTTCGGGATGTACTGCCGAGTATGATGACTGAGAGACCGAAGCTTGTTGGAGAAAATGAGTAGATGAAGCCGTACTCGCAAGACCATGTCCCAATGCTGTTGGAGGACGAAGTGATTCTGTGAATACGTGTCAGGATTCCAATGTACCAAAGATTCGCGAGAATAAAAGTGTTACCATTGTAATCATCGTGCACAGATAAAAAATGTCCACATTCCGTGCATGGTGAAGTTCTGTCCAGTATTCCAGTGGCTGAGATATATACCCCAGCCTCGCACTGACATTTGTACTTTGGGACCTACACTGTCCAAGCATCATTCTGACAGTGGGCCCCTCTCTGTGCTGAGACGAAGTGGGCTGTGGGATGAGGTTTGAAAACCGTCCAAGCCAGGTGAGCATAGTGAGTGGGGGAGTGCAAGTGAATTAGTTGAAATTCAGCAGAGTAAAGAATCAGGGGAAAAAACAGAGACAGGCAAATTCCACCTCGAATAGGAAGGAACAATTCATATCAGCTTCGATACGAAAAGTTACGCATATAGCTTATCGCACGGAATCGTAGATATTCAGCAATGCATACTAAACTTGGAAGTTTCCTTGTGACCTGGCATACGTTGATGAGTTCAAGCGAGGATAGTAAAGATTTGAAGAATCTGACCGACAGCCCTAGAATTGCTGGCTAGGAATCGCATAATAATATGTCGGAGAAGTGTGTCTTCCCTGATTAGATGTTACAATGTCCAAGACAGGTGGTAACGCAAGTGCAGGCGATATTTGCATGAGGAGAATCGTGGACATAGGAATGACATCTGAAGTTTGGTGATCTTAATAGTCACCGTCGTCACTACTTGATAAGACATCAAGGAAGGCGCCTACGCGATAACTAGTTATCTAACGCCTTACCTCGGAGACCCAGGGTCTTCCGTTCCGGGGCTAGCCCCTTAGGGCTTAGCGGTGCTGATTCAGCCAGCCCCCCCTCCTCCCCCCCTTCCCCAACCAAATCTGTTTTGGACAGAGTGGATCTTTGACATGCCTACTACTATACCATCCATGTCTGTTATCCATTGGTCGTAATTATCTTCAACCTAGAGGGTTTCTTTCTCAAGGGGGAACACATGATGAGCTTCAAATCCAGACTAAATGTCCTAGGCAGCTCTGATATTCATAGCTCTAGTGACCACACACTATCCTGCGCGCGGACCCTATCACGAAATCTCTCGACCGGAAATACTGTGACTGATTACACGTGCTACCTATGGTTTGTCACTCACGCGAATACGACCTAAATGAGTTGAGGCCCGCAGTCGATATCATACAAGGGAATACCTACCACTGCTATAGATATCATATTCTCCGAGCCGAATTAGATTGTTTGTCAGTCCGATGATCTAGCCAGAGCTTCGGTGTCTAACACTCCAATGATCCTCTACAACCAGAAGGATTTGGTCGAGGACTGTAAGAAAATTTGCCTGTGTCATAGAGCCATTTTGGTAATTCCTCCTAACATTTCTCCCGTGGAAGCTTCGTAGAAGTGAACGTTCCGCCAAGCAGCTCGGTCCATCGGCATGGTTCGCGTTCTGCTTGCGCAGGTCGTCCTCACCATATCCGGCGAGATCAAGTCATGAGATGCCCCTCAAGGGAAAGAGAGGGAAACGGTGGCAGACAAAGCAACTCAGAAGGACTACAATAGCCAGTCAAGACAATGTTGATATCTTTGATCAAAAATTCACATGCCAGTGGCCCCGTTGTTAGCACTAGGTATATTCCGCCAGTTTGGCCGCCGTCGATTGGCAGGAAAGAACGAGAGAGCAGAGGGGGAGGAAGAGAACAGAATGACTCGATGTTACGCCTTATTTTGAAAAGCGTGGCCCTAGGGCAGCCTTTCAAAAAGTGTAGAGGGCGGTATGCTGAAAGTGGCCTTCTGATGGTGCCATTTTTACTGACGCTGGAGGAGCACAATGGAAGCGCGAAGAAAGAGGGTTGGCGCTCAGGTGAGCATAAATGTCTAGTCGTCCTTCAGTCACATGACTGAATCTTAGGGCGGCGCGATCAGACCAGGAGAAGTCGAAACTGGGACCGTCAAGGCTCACACAAGCACTCTGCGGCCTTCCTCTGCCCCTGCGGGTCAGCTAGCTCTTTTCCGTCTCTATGCACATAGTTTAAACCAAAATGGAGATAGTGAAAATATTCAGCATAGCCAATAGAAACGGCCTTGACGTCAATGGTTCCCTTACTTTGAGCATCACTCCATTACTTTCACCAGAAGAATAACCTCCAGTAAAAATGCCTTGGATATTTGCTTCGCGCCACGCAATGTTAAAAAAGTTATGACCATTGCGCCTCTCAGGATTTTCCTCACAAGTTTGAGGATGTCATATCATCTTAGCTTCTTGGTGGACAAATAAGGGTGTAGTAAGCATCTAGACTTTGCGACCGCTCTCCAGTACCAGAAATTTGCTGCAAGCCAGAAATCGGCGATAAGCCAATTTGGCTCATATGTATGTTCTGCAGTGTTTTTCTGGTGCACAGCGAATTTCCGGCGTGTGCCAATGCTGTCCGCCATCTTATCCGCCATCCTACCAGCCATTTGGCCGCAGAGCGGTTTTTGGATTCACAGCAATTTTCCGGCGTGCAGCAATTTTTGGGCATAGAGCTTGTTTTCAGCCAGAAGCGAATTTTCGGTGTGCAACGATTCTTCGGCATGAGCGGGCCCTGGGCACACAGCGTGTGTTTGGCGGGCAGCCAATTTTGGGCGTGCAGCGATTTTTTCGGCGTACAGCAATATTTCGGCGTATAGCGCGCATTCGGTCAGCAGCGATCTCTGGGCATACAGCGTTTTCCTTGACTGCCTCCTAGCAGCAGACAGGGCAGTTTTTGCACAAGCCGGAGTTTCGGTGCAGAGCATATTTTTGGCGTCAGCCGATCAGTCCTTGACATTCCTAGTGGGAGACCGCCAAAAAAATCCTCATATAAAATATACAATGCTCCAATTTAATAAACTCTGTAGAGACAAATAATTATCACAAGCTGCCTTCTCACACTTGTCTTCCACGTAGACAGATTAATGATCCAGGAGAAACAAGCTCAGGGGGGCTTGACAAACCAAACCTTCAGGAAACAAGGCAAAGTGTTTGTCTTTCTACATGCCCATTACCTAATCAAATGTATTACACAAGTATGAACTGTGGTGCAAAGCATCACAAGTGACACCTAAGGCAGATTCGCATTGTTTGAGACTCACTAAGCGCGCCTGGCTGAGACGCCGCCCAAAATAGCTGGTGCTGGTGCTTCAAGTCTCTTACTTTTGACGAATGAGCTATGTATGCGTGATGATATCCCAAACGCGATGAGTCCTACATAATTTTCGTCTCTATTCGACGCTTGTTCTTTTTTTTTTTGCAAACTATGAATGGACCATGTCATACTGCCCATCTTTGGACTTAGGGGGCGAGGATTAAATAATGTACATACTAACAGATTACTCCTAGATATTACTCAAAAGTCTCTTCATTGCAAGTCCGAATATGACCTAAGTTATAACCATTTTTAAGAAAGAGCGTGAAGCGCCATCTGATTACGAGCGTTTAACCCGATATCTTCTTGAGGCTGAGTTCTGCACCAACGACACTAATCACACTAGTTCCGCTTTCTACGTGGTGTTCCTCAGTATGGCGAGCCATTAGTAACCCTAACCCTGATAATGTGTCTAATACCACTATAATGCCCTATTTCTTTATGTGCGAGAAGTATTTGATAGGAATTAAAATAAGGTACATGATCTTTGATGGAATTTCAGCTAGGTATAGAACAAATAATATATTTTCTTTTTCCGATATCTCTTGGGGCTGTGGTAGTTCATCACCAGGTAGTAGATACAAAGATAGAAAGGTCTTCAAAATAACATGCTCAGCATTTCACAGATTTCAAATTTTAGCCTGTTGAGCTCTGTCTTAGACATCCTGCCGTGGTATATTGGCCTCTTTTTCCTGACAAATGGTTTGATTTTGGCGTTGTTTGTGCCAGAGTCACCTCCATATCTTTCTCTGTCCAACCCCTTTAGTCTGTTCTTCGAGGCAGTAAGCCGCCACATTTAGTTTCCTTTCACTTTAAATGTCCCTGTCCGGCTCTTACGCTCTCTTAAGAAAGTTGGCAGACTCGAGCCTCTGGTAGAGATATCCGGATCTTGAGGAGAAATCGTTTCTAAGTTCTGGTTCTAACATCACGTGGAAATAAGCAAAGGCACTTTATGTTTCTTCTTTTGTTAATCTAGAAGACATAGCCAAAAGCTGCTTACTATGCCACAAAATGGGAGACAGTGTTGCAAACAAAGGCTTTTTGTGTGTTTAAGCTTGACGGGGATATCCTGGCGTTCAATCTGATGTTGTCGCAAGCTCTTGTTTCAATGCTACCCAAGTCATCCAATTCCACTTAATCCTTGGAGTGCGAAATCAATCTGATCTTTCATCTGGTCCGGAATTGACACCTTACCAAATAGTTGAAATAAGACTCCATTCAGATGTCGTTTCCAGACTTGGCAACGTCCAGTTCTGGCATGAATTCCTTCAGAAGTGATATAAATAGCTAGTTGATCATTATAAATGGAGAAGATCGTGAGACTTCCATATCTTAGTGGAAACGGCCTTATACACAATGTCAAAAGTCAGTGGTAAGGAAATTTCCCTCCTATGGAAAGAAACCACTCTGTGACGTTCATATCATAAAGTTTGCTGTGGAATCCGATAAATTCACTATTCTGGCAGTTAGGAAGACCCTGACAGAACTATTCATAATACGACGTCTGCTACGACATACTACGAGCTGTATTCTAGACGTCCGTATCTTACGACACCAGAATCTGCTGTATATCCGTAGTCCTTCCGATGCGAGAAAGAATGGTATGTGGTCTCGAAATATGTTTCCATCTCTGTTGCTCAAATCTTAGATTGTCCCATAATCCCTACCGAAGGCCAGGTGGCAGCCTTGTTTCAAAGGTGAGTTAAAATTGCCTGGGCTCGGCTTTTACGACTTGAGTCTGATCATTTCGGGTTATCGACGGAATGACATTCTTAGCGTCATACAACTTGGCCTACGTTTATCTGGATTATTTGAATATCTTGTTGACACAAACGGGCCAAGTCAAAATTGGTATGTGGTCTCTGTCTGTTGTCGGATTCTCATACTTACAGCCTGACGATCAGCACACTTTGATTGATGCCATCTATATTTTCTACCGAGTGATGGTGCCGTTCTCGGCTGCATAAAGGTAAAGATCATGCAAAAATGGACGGACGAACGGCTTAGTAGAGATGATATAGGTTAATAGGCAATGACCATGGAGGACTTTCTATTCCACTGTTTCTTAAAATGGTCATGGGATGGATTAGCTAATGTAAGATATATATATATACTGTTTATTAGTCGCACCACACTGACACTTCAGCAGCACGAATTCTTGACCTCTGCGCCGGAAAAGGAATCTCTTATTCGGTCGGTTGGCTTAATAATAAGCATCTAGCATCGCATGGGTCCACAAGGATATAGAATAAATCATAAGCCTTCTCAAACCCTCACAATGGGAAAGGAGAGTTTTCAAATCATAGAGAATATTTGCCGGATATCAACTGTTCCAGCTCCGAGGTCTAAGAGTTCTAAAATGGAAAATGAAAATCTGGTGAACCTCTTATCTCCGCAGAGTCAGCCATGGGTCATTAGGTTCCGTCTCCGGGTTCCTGGATCTTTCATAGTTCTGGCCCTGCATGTTTTCGGGCATTGGAAGTCCATTTGAGCTTTTAAGTCTGATTTTAGAATGTTTCACATAATGTGGAATTCTTCTGTGAGTGCAATTTCGACCTCTAACACTTCCATTTTGGGCCTTTATTGGCTTGTATTAACGTCTCAGCCTTTTAATTCATTATTTCTCAAGCTGTGAGATCTCCGGCTTACTTCTCTTTACGGTTATTAAAGCCCTGACTGCTGCTCTTATGCATATCTTTTCCAAATTTTCTTTCAGTACATATTTTACAGTCCACTTGCCGCACATTTTAATGGATATCATGAGGATATACACCTAGATGATAATAATAATAATAATAATAATATATTAGGAGAGCAACTAACCCCTGCCATATCTAGTATATCTTCATAGTCTAGTATTGTTTTATCTAGAATTTATGTAACGTCACGGCAATCTAAGTCATGGAATTGATAATCCTTCTCTCTGAGGTAGCTCCCTGCTATCTACATTTACATATACCTAGGCCATGTAGGTAATAGTATTTATGTCCTCTGTATAGATAAAGTACATATACTAAGAACAGATAAATAATAGTTGTAGAGAATTGCAGCAATGACTGATAATGATGGTAAGAATGAACTATACATATATCGTAATATACATTATTATATACAGCAAGTCTATCAATTCTCGACAGGTCCAACCTTCACATCCCCCCTCCTGCGCAGCTCCTCAAACTCCAACCGCGCCGCTTCCTCGCGCTCTCTCTTCTTCCGCTCCGACTCATACCGCTTCTTCGTGCCGAACCTCAGCTTGGTGATGATGTCCGCCGCCTGCCCCCTGGTCAGCTCCCCCGGTTTCAGATCCTGCTGGCGCAGACGCTTCTTGTTCAGGAAATCGAGCTGCGCCTGCGTGGCGGGCAACTTCCGCCAGGGCTGCAACGCCGCGATGGCGTACTCGTTGAAATGGCTGCTGGCGAACGTGTCGGCCGCGTGCACGGCTTGCTCCAGATCCGGGGCACGCGCAACCACCCGTGGCCGTGTATGCACTGGTCGCCCCGTCTCCTCGTCCTCGAATTTCTGCACTAATCGCACCACAAAGAGCCCTTCCGACTCGCTGCCGTCCCTGTCGATCGTCATCCAGCTGGTCTTCCCGGCCAGCACGTAGCGGTGCTCGTCGACTCGCACCCACGCGTTCTTGCTGAGCGACCGGATGTGCTGGTCGGATCTCCTGTCACTGAGCAGGTCGAATATGCTGTCGTACTTGGTAAACGTGACATTGACGTCTTCCTCCCCTAGCTCGGGGCTGCTATATGAAACGCCGGAGAGATATTCTGCTTTTTTATCCCTCATTGCTTCCAGATCCTTCACACTCGACTTGTTCAGAACCTCATCCGGGTCGAGTCCGAACAGCGTCGGTGTAGAAATGACTCCCGTCTTCAGTGTCGCGACCATGTCAATGATATGGCAGTTCTTCTTCCCGGGATAAAGTCGAAGGCCCCGTCCTATCATCTGGATCAACAGGCTCTTCGACCTTGTTGGCCGAGCAAGAAGCACGCAATCGACATTCGGGATGTCCGTTCCCTCAGTGAAGAGACCACAGTTGAGCAACACGGGGAATTCTTGGTTCTTGAATGCCTGCAGCTGCTCATTGCGCACATGAGTCGGCGTCGATGCCGTTATATACCGTGCGTCGATCCCATGCTCTCTGAACGTATCGGTAAGCCGCCTTACATGTTCAGTGTCTACACAAAAGACCAAGGTCGATCGGCGATCACTCGCATTTGCCAGCCACGCCCGCACAGTGATATTGTTCGTCGTTTGTGTATTGACGGCTTCTGATAGCTGTCCAATTGCAAAGTCACCGAATTTGTCCTTGCGGACGCGCGACAGATCGGCCTCGGACTTGACCGTGGTGAACACGGCATCCGCGAGCCACTTCTCCCCAATCATGTCAACATAGTCTTTGTGATAGACGATATGATCAATAGCGGCGCCCAGCTTCAGGCCGTCGAATCGGAAGAACGTCGCAGAAACCCCGACGAGGGTTGGAGAGTTCTCAGAAGCTTGGTTCAGGCCAAAATGCCCCAGTGCCTCGCGGTAAGACGGCGAAACGATATGATGCGCTTCGTCAACCAGAACGAGCTTGAACCTGTCGGGATCGAATTTCTTGATCCGATCTTTCGACAGCAAGGTCTGGATCGAAGCGATGGTTATGTCGGCCGCTCCAGACGCCTTGTTGTTGGCCATCTCGATTTCCACCATTTTATCCGGGTACGCGAGACGGCAGTGATGCGCCGCCTGCTCGACAAGCTCTTTTCGATGGACGATGATCAGCGACTGGTCTGCAGTGCCATTGCGCGGAGGAATGCGTCCGATTAGCTGTGTAAAGATAACCTGAACCGGCGATCGTTAGCAGTCAGCAAGACATAGTAGCTCCGTAGATGCGAACAAACCGTTTTTCCTGAGCCGGTGGCCAGGGACACACCAAGGCGCTTGTGGCCTTTGGCGATGTGATCGAGAACAGACTGAATACATTCTTCCTGGTATTGTCGAAGTCGGATTCCTGTTGACGGCTCACCGTCCGGTGACCGCGGTTGAGCGTAGGAGCTCGTAGAGCTTGTAGAAGTAAAGCGGCATGGTCGGAGGTGCAGCTGGACGCTTCTCCGGGCTTGAAAAAGCCTCCGAAAGCCCTGCGAGAGTGGTCGCAAGCCCCATCTTCGCGTCAAGACCTCCATGCGAGCGACATCGCGTCATGGCTTGTCGGACTTTCGATGGATCGACAGGCAAACGCGGCGGAGTGGAAGCAAACAGTGCAAACACGAATCTTATCGGACAGTAATAATTTCTCTGGAAAACGTTGATCAGCGAGATACGAGCTGCAGGGCCGATGAGCACAAGATAAGCTTCCTTGCTTTGAAAATCTTGCGGTTGCTGATTCATACTTTATGTGATTTTGTAATGTTCCATCAGCCAGTTTTGACATCTTTCGTGGTTCTGCCGCGGAAGACCTGCAGATCCAAGACTTTGATATGAGCACGACCAGTCTGTACGAGCCAGACGAAGACGACGAGGTATCAGATTCTGATGCGAGAAGTCCGCCTGAAAGATCTGGTTCGTCTCTTTCACGACTGAGGCAGTCTTCCTCACCGGAGCAGGATGAAGAAAATGACCCCTCTGCGACTCTCTCGAGGGCGTCTCAAACGGCCAGTTCCAGGCTCCGTGCAATCCGCCGAAAAGGGTTGACAGCTGCAGCAGCAGATGCATACCGTGCTATCCTCAGGGAAGCAGTCGACGATCTCTCGCCGCCAGCCTTTGAGTCGCTGGAATTCGAATACAATCCCCGCGTCTGCTACCAACTCGGGGTCGTCACGTGGAACATCTACGAAAGGGAGATGTTCTTCAATCTACTAGCGCGGAAGGGGAAGAATGCCATCCGCGAGATTGCAGATGCGATTCCGTCGAAATCTGAGTTAGAGGTCCAGGAATACCTCAAGCTTCTTCACAAAGGCTCGGAACTCCAGCAGCTCCATGAGCGGCACCACCGATCTACTACTTTACTTGACATCCCAGCTGCCGCAGAAATCAGCGACGAATGCTGTCTGGCCTTGGACGAGTTCTCGGAATATGTAGCCTTAAAGGAGCAAGAAGCCGACGACAAGGCCGGAACGAAAAAGCACGGAGATTTTTGGATCATCGATGGCGACAAAGCCAGACAAGTTGAACAACTGATGGCTTCACATGACAGTCCGCCGCCAGAATCAAGCATCTTTCTCACTGCGAGCTTACTAAACATCAAGAGGTGGATTCAACTGTCTGAGAGGTTCTTTATGAACTTCGGTGGTTCAAGATTCGAAGACAACTGGGTCAATATCGCCTTCAAAGACGAATCGCCATCGCTCACAGCCGATGCGTTTGCGGATTTCTACGCCCTTACGGTCAGCATCACCCGACGCATCGTCCAGTCAACGCTTTTCTTCGCCATGTCAAGGATCCGCAACGTCAGCTATCACAAGGTGAAGAATGTGAAGCCCCGAGACGTCAGAGCGGCCTTAGATGTCTTGAATATGAAGCACAACAGCTTTGATTTTTGGGTGGGCCTTGCGCGCCGATGCAATCTCGAGGTTGCCGATATCCGCCACAAGAAGGGGTGGAAGGCAGTTTACATGGGTTATGATGAGGTTGAGGATGCTCTGTCTGGACGGCGCCTTTTCTCAAAGTCTCGTGAACGGAGCGCCTCTCGTCAACGTATGAATCAGAATGATGAGAAGGAGGAGCATGATGACGAAGAGATCGACGAAGATGACGACGATCCCATTGACGATGAAGAGGATGAATATGTGGAAGAAGACGACGACGATGAATCATCACCACCGCCGTCCCCACGTTCAACTCACTCGCTAGCCAGCTCCGTGTTCGACGAGGAAGCTCACGCAGACGAAGAGGACATCTACACGGAGTATATTGACCAGCAAAGGAGTCGAGACGAGGAACTCCGCATCCGGGAACTCCTCCAGTGTCCCCTGATGGATACGTTTCCGCCGATAATCAAGACAGAAGACGACCACGCCGCTGCGCCGCCGAAGCCCGTCGCTGGGCGCAAGCGGAAAGAAGACCTCGTTGACTGGAGGGAGCGTACGCTTTACCGAAGCGAATGGGAAGAGTACGGGCGGAGCCTGAGCGCCATCAATGAAGAGCTGGCTGAGAATCGCAGGAAACGACGCCGCCTTGAGAATCCTACGCCGTTTACACGGTCATCGCGGCGTGAATTGAGGAGGAGCTCTGTGCAAGAACAAAGTCATAACGATGACGATGACGATGACGATGCCAATATGCTGGACACGAGCGACGGAGAACTCGGCGAGGAATCGCATTACGAGGAAGCTCCCGATTCTGAAGCTGAGGCTGACGTTGAGGTTGAGGCTGGATCTGAGGCTGAGATTGAAGCTGAAGCTGAAGCCGAAGCCGAAGCTGAAACTGAAATGGAAGCCGCTGATATGACCGAGTCTGAGGAACGTCCTGTCGTTGAGGTCAAAATGGAAGAGGATGCGCGTGAGCATGAAGACACTCATCTACCTCTATCATCAGGCCATGAAAGCAGCCCTCATGGTTCAGCAGCACAACAGGAGGACTCCGACGACGGCGGGTGAACCTTTTCCTTCGAAGAAGATTTACCTCCGAATCCACACCCAAAAAATTCGATTCTTGACAGATGTTTGTCACCATGATGTATCAATGTGTTTGTATTATAATTGCATGCATTGTACTTGATAACTAATACCTGTAATGGACATTCATATTACGGACAGAATTATCGAGGGACATTTAAATACACATGTGCATACATACTACCTACAACTGCTCCAGAAAATATGCTACAGAGCAAAGCGAAGCAGTAGAGGAGAATCCTCAGGTCAAAAAAAAAGGAAGTCAAAATAATTGGATTACTCATACCTAGATGAATAACACGCAAACATAATAATAAAACACATTTAGCTTCATAACTCCCCACGATTTGCGCCTGCCTGCCTGCCTGTGAGAAGAAATCACCATGGTAGATTCCTGGATCTAGCGACCGAGATATTCCGGCACTTCTTCTTTTTGTTTTCAAGGCCCCATGTCCACACTCACCCTTTTGCATATTTGTACAACACATGAATCGGAAATAAAAAAAGCACTTCGGAGGGACCTCGCATAGCTCAATAAAACCACAAAAACCCAGCAATAACAACCTACACCCTTCTCACTCCCTACAGCTCAAGGTTCCTGTAATCTGCACCAGGTTCTGCACTCAACGGTTGGACCCCATTTGCGTCAGCATTCAGAGGCTGGAACTGGAAGCGGTTATCAAGACCTGTGGTGGCAGCACCGGAGAGTAAACCGTTCATCTCCTCACCGGGGCCTTTCAGACTCGCCGCCTGCAACGCATCCTGCACTTCCTTGACCCTCTTCTTGAACGCCAATCGGTCGAGGAAGAGCTGCCGACGAGCCTGCTCCAGCTCTCGCCGCTCTGCCTCGATGATCTCTTCCATCTCATTAAACTGAGCCAGTTTGATTTCAAACTTCTGAAGAGTGACGTTAACGGCAGCGGAGACCAAGCGGGTCATCTCGCGCTCTTCGTGCGAGGCAAGCGCACCGGCACGAGCTGCGGCGGTGCCGAGAGCAACCGTCGCGAGCGACTCGCGCTTCTTGGACGTCCCACCCGTTGCCGCAGCTGCAGAGTCTCCCTCACGGGTACTATCGATATCCATCGAATCCTCGGCTTTCGTCGCTTCTCCTTCCTTTCCTTTCCCTTTGTCCTGGGATTTATCTCCGTCCCTGCCAATTTGACGCCGAAGTTCCTGTCGAATCTCTTCAACGGAACGTCCTGCTGCCGCCGCTGCCACCGCCGGCTCGGCCATCTGCGCCAGGAAGGCAACTACCGACAGGACCGGGTTCTCCAGCTGATTGACTGGCTCTCGTCCTCCAGGTGCCCGCCCATCGCTAGTGCGTGGGAGATCTTCGAGGTATTTGTCTTCAATCTCCAACTGGAGGAATTTCATAACACATTCTTCCTTTGTCCTGGTTCCAACATGTTTGGCAATCTGCTCCCAGTCGTCATCGAAGTTCTCCAACCCTTCAAGGAGCAGCACAAGCTCCGAATCCGACCATGGTGCGTCCTTGTCAGGAATGTTCGTGTGCTGCTTCTCCTCCAGCTTAATAAAGTCTGACGCGTTGTGGCTGGACGGCATCCTGCCTTGCAGGAAACAGTTGGGGCACAAGTCGTATTTCGTGTCTGGAGCATTAGGGTTAGACGAGACAGGAGCGGATTTTGCATAATGGAAGCGTAGACGAGTGCAATCAATGCCGCATGAAAAGCAGTTGAAGGTCTTCCGCGGCTCTTTAATCGCACTTTCCATCGCTTTCGTCGCAGCTTCTCCGTTCGTAGCAGCCGTTTCTCCATTCGTCTGTTTTTCTTTGTCTTCAGCCGGTGTGACCTCTTTTCCTTTGTCGTCGTAGATATTACGACGGATCTCGAGATTCAGGTCCTGTTTATTGGCAGGAGTTGCAGAAGCTGCCCGTTCGGTCGCTGCTAACGGCTTTCCCTGGGTTACGACAGTATTAGGTCCAGGTTGGAATGGGTGCAGTCCGCGAGGGGTATCGGCGATGACGCGGAAATGACCAGTAAAAGGAGGCCCGATGCTCGATGGGCGTGTTGCAGGGTCAACCTACGAAACAGGTCAGCGAGAACTCATCAGACAGGATTCAGCTGCACGTACTTGATAGTTGATCAAACCCCACTGCTCAAGGAAGGAGTGGACTCGCATAATAGCGCACACATCTCCAGCGAGATTGCGCCGGCAAGCAGTCACCGTTAGATACTCAAGCGGATTAAGGCGGTAAGTATTGATCATGAAATCTCGGTAATCTTTGTAGACTGCGGGGGTCTTGCTTCGGTTGCGACCGTTGAAAAACTCTGCCATCGCCTTCTTCTCGATGGGGTGAATGGAATGCATATCAAACCATGTCGAATAACTGGGGAGAATGATGGCATGGGTCTGATTAACGAGATGAGAGCGCGCGGAAGCCTCGAGTGACGACTTCGCCTGCGCCGACTGCTCATCAGCAGCACCATCCGCTGCTTGCTGTGAGCCCTCCGCATGCTCTTCTGCGGCACCATTCTCCTTCTTCCCATCGGTCTCCGTGCCGCCCATTTCCTCATCCTCGGGCTCTGCATTTTCCACCTGAGGTCTCGGGGATGCGGGAGCGTCCATGGGGTTATCTGAAACACCGGAATTCTCGCTCTTCTTTACAGGTGATCCCTGGCGCGACTGTGACGCTATAATAATATCCACCAATGTCAGCATGCACGCATGCACAGGGCTGGACAGCACCAGATCATCCAAGGGAGAACGCACCGGATGCATTGCCGGACTCACCAGGCACATCTTGAGCAGCTACAGGGGCCTGGCCATCATCGCCAGCTCCACTCATGACGACAGGCTTGTCATCCATACTGGCGCGTCAGGGTTGAGATGGATCTTTGGTCACGGACGATGGAAACAGGCGCCTTGTCCGTCTGCCGAGACAACGCTCCTTAGAGGACCAGGCGCGTGTGCACTCTAGAACGCGCCACGACTAGGGTTGCAATCTAGTTCACACCTGTGAGATACACAACCAAGCTCAAAGAAATGCTCTGGGACGGAAACTGGAGTTGGCGTGGTTGATGTTCTTGACGGTCGCGAACACGCACGGGTTGGATGCGATGCTTGTCCCCCGAAAACTCGCGCGGCGACTTTGGCGCTTGCCCGATCGGGTTGCTCGTTCGCCACAACGCCAAGCCCACCAGCCACAACACATCAGCAGTATTATGTAATCAATGCAGCAACGCAGCGCCTCAACGCGTCCAACGCGTGGTCGCGTCTAAGCGCCTAACTGATAACCCCCCAATTGATGATACAAGTCTCCACGTTTACCAGATGTAGCACTTGTCAGTGATGTCAATTAGGATCTATTCTTTTGATGGCAAATAATTCGCCTCCACAAGTGCCATCCTCTTTCGACCCGGCTTTGTATTTCCATTCAGAGCTCCCTGATACCGCGCCATCCGAGTCCTTCTCCGACGACATCGAGGCATTGTATCTACAACGTCTAGAGACGGCCCACGAGAATCGTCGCAAGGGAGTCGTGATCCAACATCGTGCTTGGAATCTCTCAGACGTCTTTCGGAGCGACGACGACGTCCAACCTGGTGTGCAAGTCCCTTGGGCATTGTACAGCCCGTAAGATGCATCTAACTTTAACCCTCTCTAGTTACTCCAACCAAGTCCCAGAATCTCCAACCAAACAAAACTCTTTCTATGCTCGGATCAGACTCCCTCATACCGTCGACGCCCCCAATTGCGACGATGCCGTTCATATCCTCTCCAGTTGCCTATCCCCCGAGCTCATCTCCCCCGACGGAGGTCCAGAAAAGAAAGCTTGAAGATCCCGCAACATCGAAGGAGCCAAAAAGGCAGAAAACAATTGGTGGATTTGTCGAGGATGATGATGATGACGATGACGAGCTCGAGGCCCTGCGGGATGCGCACTTGAAGAGCGAGTTTGCGCTTTTACAGGAAAACCCGCCCAGCCAACATGCAGCGGTTTCTAGTGCGCCCTCACCTTTACAACTTCTATCCTCCCAGGCCTCTGGCCCTGGCGTTAATTCGATGCCCTCGTCGTCCGATGTCCATCGTCACTCACGTCAGACGAGAGATACTGTCTGCATCAAGACATGCTCCGGGAAAGTGCATAGTGTGCGGACCAGAGATGTCTCCTCTCCCGTCACGTACGAGAGACTTGTTGCCAGTCGTTCAACCACCGCTCCTGGGAAAGCTCAGAGAAGTTACTATGGTATCGAGATACACAGACTTCTAGATGAGGCTGCAAAGGAAACTAAACGCGACACTTCCTTGCAAACATCTAATCGCGACGTTATTCAGCCATCAATCGAGACGCCGCTTCCAGATCGCCATGGGAAAAAGGCGTCTAATTCCATGTGGACAGAGAAGTACCGTGCTCGAAAGTTCGCCGACCTCATTGGCGACGAACGGACTCACAGGGCAGTTCTGCGATGGCTCAAGGGATGGGATCCCATCGTATTTCCTGGTTTAGCCAAGCACAAGCAAGCAAGACAAGGGAACGAAGATAGTGAACGGTCCCATCGAAAGGTTCTATTGTTGACTGGACCCCCAGGCCTTGGAAAGACAACTCTAGCACATGTCTGTGCCAAACAGGCGGGCTATGAGGTCCTGGAGATCAATGCTAGCGACGATAGAAGTAAAGATGTCGTCAAAGGCCGGATTAGAGACGCGGTGGGCACTGAAAATGTGAAAAGCGTGAACTTCGAGGCCGACGGGGAGAAGCTTCGCAAGACAGCTCGCCCTGTGTGCGTAGTCGTGGATGAAGTTGATGGTGTTGTCGGTGGATCTGGGACAAGTGGAGAAGGAGGGTTCATCAAAGCATTAATTGATCTTGTCCAGCTGGACCAGAAGAACTCAAGTCGATCTAGCGGCCAGAGCTCTACAACCCGGCGAAAGAAGAAAGGCGATGATTTTCGGCTGTTACGTCCTCTCATTCTCATATGCAACGACATTTATCATCCCAGTTTACGACCGCTCAGGACCGCGAAAATCGCCGAGATCATCCACGTACGGCAAGTTCCGCTGGAAAACGTAGTCCAGCGCATGAAAAACATACTGGAGAGAGAGGGGATTCCTTACGATGGTGACGGCGTAAGGAGACTGTGCGAAGCAACTTGGGGCTTGAACGGCAGGAAGGACCGCGGGCTACTGAATCGCGGAATTGGAGAAGGAGATATACGAAGCGTTCTTGTTGCGGCCGAATGGGTAGCTCATAAGCTCAGAGCCACTTGCTCTCCCTCGATTCCTCGGCTCACCAAAACTTGGTTGGAACAGAACATATTGGATGATTCTCAAGATGGGTCTTCCAGAGGTCTCGGGAGGGGAGGAGTTCGTGAAATCGTTGATCGGGTCTTTATGGATGGTGCAGGCTTTCCAGATGCCCCCGTGGGTTCTGAATCTTTCCGAGATCCTTTTACCGGGGAGCAAGGAAAGACTCCTGTAGGAGTAGCAGACCTTCGGAAGCGCCATGCTATTAACCGACTGCGGGAAATGGTTGACACCAGCGGCGAGTACGACCGCTGCATTACAGAGTGCTTCGCCGTTTACCCGACTCAGACCTATCAAGATGATACGTTTTTATCCAAACCCAATGCGGCTTACGACTGGCTTCATTTTCACGATATGATATCGTCGAGGGTATTCTCGAACCAAGACTGGGAGTTGAACTCGTATCTCAGCCAGTCAGTTGTGGCATTTCACCACCTTTTCGCCAGTGCTACACAGGATAGGGGCCTCAAGGATAAGAATGACCTTGACGAGGACGAGAATGAGGACGAGCATCCTTTCTCAGGACCGAAGGCGGATTTCGCGGCATTTGAGGCTCAGAAACAGAATCGTTCAATTGTCACTGGCTTTCAGGCGTCCTTTTCTGCCTCTCTGATGAGACTTTTCCGCTCAACGGACTGCGTGGTCACTGAGCTCATTCCTAATCTGGTACGGATGCTGTCGCCAGACGTGAAACCAGTTGTCGTCCGAGGCAGTGGAGAGCAGAACAGTGTAGCCAGTGTTCGAAAGGAAAGTGAGCGTGCCTTGATACGTTCCGCGGTCAGAGTCATGAGCGGACTAGGCGTGACGTTTGAAAAGGCGCGAGTGGAGAACGAAAACGGTGCCCACGGTGGGTGGATCTACAGAATGGAACCGTAAGTATAAGATGCGTGGATTGCAGTGGTACATAGCTGACGTAGTCGTATAACAGGCCTCTTGATGCACTTGTCAGCTTCTCGAAAATCAAGGGCACGGAACTTGAATCTGGTAGCTCCGCGCCGATCCGTTATGCGGTCCGCCAAGTTCTAGACCAGGAGTACCGCAAAGAGGCACTGAAAAAGCAGTCCGAAGCTTCTCAGTCGAAATATGGTGGTGACTCGGGCAAGTCGAGGAAGAAAGGCAACGGCGATGAGGACAAGGATAATGATTCTGCCAAGTCATCGCGGGATGACCATGGGGTCAAACGCGATTTCTTCGGAAGAATCATCAACGAAGCGTCGCCCGCACCGGCAAAAGATGCGGGTAACCGTCCGCAGAAGAGAAAATCCGACGGACAGAAGATTGAACGGAGAGTCTGGGTTACGTATCACGAGGGCTTCTCGAATGCTGTTCGGAAGCCGATCTCCATGAGCGAGTTGCTGGCTGAACTATGACTGCCTTTAAGAGTGCTCTTAATGACTATATGTATATAGCGTGATGAAGTGATGGATTGTCTAGTCTAGTTTTTTACCAAGTCTTTCAGCGAGAGTTTAGGGCTAGTGAGTATATAGTTAATACGATTTACTCAAGTATATGAAATCCTCTAACAGGACGGCTTTATGGGTATTCGCGAAGGAAACTTGTTAAAAAAGACAACCCATTTCGATATCTCACCATAGAGACTTGCATCTTGCATGTAATAATGTCTATACATCACCTCGCAGTAGCTCCAACACAAACCGAAATATTGTTGTCCCTCACTCAACAACAGCAATTGACATTAAATATTCTTTTCTCATTATTCCACTGATCGTCCATTCGATCATGCTAGGTATATACTGCACATATTCAGTCACCTAGACATTAATAGTGTTCTTATTCTCAGTAGTATACCAACTACATGTTCTCCGTACAGACTACTGTACAGTACATACATCGGATATGTTACCTTGAATTTTTTTTCGTCTAAGGTTACTTACTTGCTTACTGTCCGTTTACCTAATATTAAATACATAAATCCATAATAATAATAATAGTAATAATAATAATCCCCTAGAATCCTAGACCGCTCCTTGACGCTGATGGAGCATTGACAGTCGTGCAAATTAGCTAGCCACTCTACTCCATAATAGCTCGGTTAGATTCGGCATCTTATGGAGCAAGTCCACCAAGAACTGGAGCCCGCGTACTCCGTACATATACGGAGTACTTACTTCATAGTTCTGGATGGATCTACGGATACTCCACTCCGTACCGAAGGAGTGGATCTTATTCCGTATACATAAGGTGTGTCTTAGATTTTCATCGACCTGTCACCTTCCAATGTGCAGGTGCACAGACCAGGCCTGGCCAGACTAGGTGGATCGTCAGGTACCTACTACGGTACTACCTTAGCCCTATTGTGTTTTTTTTTGATTAGCTAAAGCATACTACGTTCGATGTACTCTGTACTGTTGTGTAGTATGTAGTGTAGTTAACAGTCAGTGTTTGCTGAGCTGATTGCCAGGATCCTTTGATTGAGACTTAGCAAGTAAGTAAATATCTACTTCTTGAACTGTATAGTCTACTCTACTGCTTCGAAGTTTAGGATCATGAATGAATGAATGACTATAACTAATGTTATCATTAATTGGGGTGTATTTGCAGGCCTGATTAGAACATTAAATACTGTAGCACATCGTTTACAAGAACTACATTTGGAGAAGGTGGAAGCATTAAAGGAGGAAAGAAAGAAAGGAGGAAGGAAAAGGACGACAGGATATCCCAATGACATTATTATATTTATTATATTACTTGTATAATTCCATTCACATCAAATCCAGTCAAGCCAATCCAGTCCATCTCTCTAGTCCCGAATTAATTATTTTCCAACAATGAATACACATAGGATATCATTGTCATTCGCTCGCTCAATCCCACACAATCAATCTCAAGAGAGAAGAGAAAAAGAAAAACACCGCCAACTTTTTTGGTATCGATGCTTTTTTGGTATCAATGACAACAACAAATCAACCGTAACCCAAACTCCGTATCCCAGTCGTCTATCTATCCAGTCGTGAAGGATTGATTGATCGATCGATTTTTGTTCATGAGAAGAAGAGGAAGAGGGAGGAGAAGAGACGAAAATGGTATCTTGCGTAGGCATGTCGTATGGACGGTTCGTTCGATGCTCGTTTTTGTGGTTTGTTTTCTTGTTTGTCGATGATTCGAGAGTATTAATGACTGCTCGCCGGTCGATTCATTCGAAACGAAACGAAACGTGAATTTCAAGTCAGGGTTTCGCATTTATTTCAGAGGAAGAACCGTCGTCAACGCCTCAAAGAAGCGAAGCTTGTCCTTTCGGCCCGTCGTCCCCTTGGACGACAAGTTGAACGGCTTCTTCAGCGTGCTGGCGGTGGACAGGCTGCTGCGAGTGGAGGCGGAGCTGGTGCTGCTGATGCTCTTGTTCCTCTTCTGCTCCTTGCGCTGCTTCGCTGCCAGCTCCATCTGCTTCATCTCGGCGAGGTACTCGCGTCGAGCGGCCGGAGATGCCTCGATGCCCCACATCATGGAAGTGTCTTGAAGTAGACTTTGGCTTTGTTGATGGATTTGGAGGTGAAGGAGGAGGATGTCGAGTTCAGATGAGGGAGGTAGGTCTTAGTTCAAGTCTTGAGAGGTTGCACGGTGTTCGACTCTTTGCAAGTGATTGTGGTGATTGATGTCTCAGTCAACTGATTGATGGTAGCGAAACAGAGAGTCCATCCTCGAGGCTTCACCTCGTTTATATAGACACTCCTGTCTACACATGATGCTCCGTATGGCAATGGCAAAATTGTTCACGACCCACTCTTGTCTAGAGACGTCAAGCACAGCCCAGGCAGCATCTAAGGCCCACGAGCATCCTCGTACAGGGCGTGAAGCCTGCCGGGGTCCCGATTGGGTAGGTGGCATTCCGACCGGTCGGAGTATCGTTGGCTTTCTCGCATGGCTGACTCCGACTAAGAACGCCGAGCCAATAGACGTAGCGAGCAGACGCATTCTGTGATGTTTTGCAGCCTTGCAGCCTTTCGGGATCGGCTCTGCCGTCGATTCTCTGTTCCAGACTTCAGTCCTTTACTCCGACACAAAGTACTCCGTGTCGGCAAGTGGGGATGCCGAAGACATCAAACATCGCGAAAAAAAAATACTCCATACCAAGTACTCCGTACAAGGTGCAAGTCACCGTGCAACGCGTCATTTGTCTCGTCCAATCGAGAGAGCGCGTGACGTCTGCACATAAGAAACAAGGATTGTCTAGAATTTGCATGCAACAAGTCTAATATTAGCTACGTGCTCAGCCCTGCGCGTTCCATTCGAAGACTCGAGCTCATCTCATGACTCAGGCAGTCAGGCTACCAGGTTTGCATGCAAACATGCATGAGTAGTGTCAGACTGTCAGCAGACCTAACTAACATCTACGAGCTCGTACTCAACGTCTTCCTAATGGCTCTCTCTGTACAGAAGATGACTCAATAAGAATAATCCTTGAATACGAGTCTTATTCTCACCATGATTCATCACAGTTAAGCCACAAAAAATAAATCTAAGTTTATTCGATACTAAGCCGATGCTGTAGATCGTCCATCTACTCCGTAGGTAGTTGGCCGTGACAGCTATTCCGAGTCGGAGAGACGCCTTCGGAATAGCTTGCTGTTTACTCCGTACCTAGGCGAAAGTTTGTCCAGTCCGAACTCCGACTCCGAACTCCGACACTCAGCCCTGTGGCTATGTATACAAAATTTTTAGCAACAGTCTACTACTACATCTGCGACATTGAAGAGGCAATAATATGGGTCGATAATTCTAGACACTTCTCCTCTTTTTTTCCTTTTGTTTACAGAGTATACTTGCCACTGAACAGTTACAGTTGCAGTTGCAATTGCAGTCAATCTTCGGAGAGAAGAATTGAAAGATTTTTTTTCGGTCTAGAGAAAAGAAACTATTTCGATTCAAGTATACAAGGGAAGAGATAACTAGTCAGTTACTCAGCCTACTCAGCTAGTCTTTGGATAGTTGCTACTGACGTCACCCATCAACCTGCCAGCCTAGGCACATAGCACATAGTGTATCCCAATCCCACGGGATTGGATAACATCGGCTTCTAAGGTACCTACAGGGATCACTCTTCAACCCTAGGCATCAATAACTTGATAGCCTAGAAGAAAGCTAACAGAGCAAAGATCCCGCACTACGCGAGGAAGGAATGTTTGCTCGGTTTGCTCAGTTTGATTATGTCCATCATGCGCCTAAATTATCTGACAACATGTAGTTCACTGATTGATTGATTGATAATCAAAATCAAATACGAGGACGAGTGACCTCTGCCTGGATCACGTCAAGTCTGTCCTATAGAAATGAGGAGATACCCGTATTGTATGCTTTTGCCTAAATAATAGAAATAAAATCTCCTCATGGCGAAATTGTTCTGATTGGAACAGCACGGGCATCTAGCTCATCAAACACTCAAGGTCCTCCTCTCTCTCTGTCTTCGAAGACGCGCCTCTCCCCACCCCTTCCCCCGCTTTTTACTGAGTCTGACTGAGGTGGAGTGGGGCAGGACATTGATAGATATCAATTGAGACCCAGAGTCATTCATTCATTCATTCATTCATCAATTGAGATAGGTAATCAGTGACAACAGTACTAGTAGAGCTATTAATCAAGGTTCGAAAAGGGTTAAGAAATGAGTCAGTCATTTCTTCGGTATTGACCCTGTCACCTTAGCTATGATGACAAACAACATCGCTGTTATTAATTAGTAAGCTCCAGTCCAGCTGGATAGTATGAAAGACTACATAGGTAGGTAATAGTGACATGCGAGCAGGATCTTGTTCTGCTATCGTATCGATTCTGCTGCGTCTTAGCCCTCATACCCTCTCCTCTTCTACGTATTAATTAATGTGTCCCTGACACTGACACTCCGCTATATTTATTTATATTTATATACATTGTCAACTTTAGTTGAGATAGATGCCTCCTAACCGGTTACTGCGGGTCATTTCGACTCTTCATATAGATAAATATCTATTTAGATAATAGTGAGAGCTCTTTGAGGTATTATTTGTTTGTTAACTCTGTACGTTTGGTACTTGCTTTATTTATTTTTTTTTCTATCTTGTACTATAGTTTTTTTATCCTACTTTAGGTACTTTCTTTTCCATGCTATCGTTTTACCTCTTTCGGTTATTTTTTTTAATTTCAAGTCCGATATTCTAACCCAATACATACCTCCTAAAAGGAACTTCTTGCAAGGAGGCCTTGAAAAAGAATACACAAGGCATTAATGGCAAGAAAGTCACCAGTAAATTTCTAGTCAAAACAATAGTAGGTTATAAGGATATATTATTAGATATCTGGCGAGATTTAGTCTATTACTATTATCTCTTTGGCATACTCAGTCGCTACTACCGGTGCAATGCGACTGATTACGCAATGACAGAACGCAAAAGATATAAAGACACACTGACTGTCCTGTTTCCTAAAGTTTGAAGAGACGTGCTACCACCATAACAATCCATTCATGGTACAAAATGAACAAACGTATATATCTATTATCTATTTCTTCAGCTTTTCCGTCAACTCGGGCACTTTCTCGAACAGATCGCCCACCAGTCCCACATCGGCCACCTGGAAAATAGGCGCCTCGGGGTCCTTGTTGATCGCCGCAATCACCTTGCTGTCCTTCATTCCCGCCAGATGTTGAATGGCCCCCGAGATACCAGCGCACAGGTACAGCTGAGGAGCAACGTTCTTCCCCGTCTGGCCAACCTGCAGACTGTTGTCTGCGAATCCGCTGTCGACGGCGGCACGAGACGCGCCGATCGCTGCGCCCAGGGCATCTGCCAGCGGAGGGATGAGTCGGTCGAAATCCTCCTTCGACTTCAGACCACGACCACCCGACACGACACGGGATGCCGTCGCCAGGTCCGGACGATCCGACTTGGCAAGATCCTCAGATACCCATTCCGTAGGAGAAGGAGCCTGGGGGTCTGCTCCGTCCACAATCTCGGCGGAGCCGCCTTCGGTCTCAGCACCCTGGAAGGCCGTGCCTCGAACGGTGATCACCTTGATGGGGTCCTCTGACTGGACCGTGAGGATGGCATTTCCAGCGTAGATCGGACGCACAAAAGCTGGTTGACTCAATTGTCAGCTCCGCAAATTTTCAACCCGTCTCTAAAACCTCAACATACTGTCTTCGCTCTCAATGGCCGTGATATCCGAGACCTGCTGGACATCCAACAGCGCGGCCACACGGGGCAAAAGGTTCTTCCCGAATGCCGAGTGTCCAGCAATCACATGGGTATAGCCGCCCTTCTTGATGTTTTCGACGAGAAGAGGAGCGAAATTCTCAGGCAGACCCTGTAAAGATGCGACGACAATCCAGTCAGCTTATCAATTCCTTAAACACCCCCTCTCTAAAGCGATACCTTCTCGTATGCGTCATTCTCCACCGCCACGACTTTCTCCAGGCCCTTGATCTTGGCCGCCTCAGCAGCTGCAGTCGCTTTGACGCCGCTGCCTGCAACGAACCCCGTTATCGAGCCGCCGAGCTTCTGTGCCGCCGCAATCGCAGAGAGAGATGATGGCTGGAGCTTGCCATTTCGCTGTTCCAGGACTGCGAGAGTCGACAGGAGTCGCGCGAATGCCGAAAATCGGGTCTCGTGGACAGCCCGCGACGGGTAGAGCTGCGACCGCGCCGCTCGCAGGACCGAAGGTCTCGCAATGGAAATCATGCTGAAAGATAATCAATGTCGCTGCTGCTGCTGTCCGAAATGTCGGCCCTCAATGTGGCCAGGAACAGCAAAACAAACTGTCGCACAAGACGCTTGCTGCAGTCGGATTCGGTCGAGGACCTTGCTCGGTGGTGATGGCGAGGAAGCGGCACCGGTCGTGGTTATCGTCGGATCCGATCACGGCCAGACCCGCCATCCTCGGAAATCGGTTAAGCTTACTCGCGCATCGCGGGGCTCGACAACCCAGCACATGCTTGCTCTTCTACTCGAATATTGAAAGATATCATTATAAATGACTTTTTATGCATTCATAGAGGTATCGGGGATCCTCGTCCCAAGAGAACAACTACTACCTACATACAATGACAAAATCTTTTTGTGCGCCGCCAGACCCAAAAATGTATGCAAAGACAAATAACCACAAACACCAGCAAGAACACCCATTAAGAAGTCGACTTTTTCTTCTTCTTCCCTGATGCTGAGCTCTCCTGCGTTGCTTTCGAGATCGCCTTGGCTGCGGAAGAGTCCCCGTCTTCGAGTGCTTTCGCCTTTTGCTTCTGCAGCTTTTCCTTCCTTGCAGCGATCAAGGCGGACTCGTCGTCATCTTTTACCGTCTTCGATTTCTTGGTCTTTTTGTTTTCCTCCACTGATGGTTTCTCATCCTCAGTAGCCTTCCTCTTCTTTTCGTTTTTGGCGCCTTCAATGGCTTTAGGCTGCTCCTGTTCGGGTTCTTCTATAACATCCGCCTCGTCCACCCACAGCTCGCTGGCCAGCCAGATCGGCATCGCCATGGTGTTTGGTCCCTTGATGTGGATAGCCTTGACATTTCTCCAACCCCTGCTGATAAACTTGTCCGTCAAGCCCTTGACGACGGCTTCCACGTTCTCCGCCAACTGCTGAGGTGTAAAATTGCTGGTTCCTACACGAACCGCTGACGTAGTAGCCGGAGCAAGCTGGACCGGGGCGCAGTTGAGGGCCTTCTCGATCTCCTTCGCGACAACCAGCGGAGATGCGAAAGCGGCCTGGCGCTCCTCCTTGGGCGGTTTTTTCTTCGGATCCTTCTTTACCCGCTTTCCGTCGACCTTCTCAATTGCCTCAATGCGAACAGGAATTGGCCGCTTGCTGGACTTGTAGAACGTCTTTCCCAGAGTGGAGACCAATCGCATGATAATCCGGTCATCAGCCAGGAATACATCATGCTCAGCCAGTAATTGCCGTCTGCTCTCAAAGCTCTTATACCGGGCTTTCAATTTCGAGTAGCCAATGATCTTGTTGATGCGGGAGGAGAGCGAAGTAGGGAAGGAAGGGTCAGCAACGATGTCCTTGACGGAACGCTGGGGATCGGCCGTTATCAGGCAAATGCTGAGCGAAGGCGACGTATTAAGCGAGTGTGGGATACTGATTTTGCCGGGTTTCAAGCGATTCTTGTCCACCACGTGCTTCTTCGTTGTGACAACAAGCCAGACCGGCTCGTTGATGGTAGCAGCGTCTTCGGCGTCGGACGCATCATCATTGTCGCCAATAAGGGTCTTTTTCCCCGATGCCTCTTCCTTCTGCTTCTGTTTCGATTTCATGTGCCGCAGAAGGGCGGTCGAAGCTCGAAGGACCTGTAAAAATTTCCAAATTGATCAGTGGATGCTTTCAAAAGTAGCATTAGAAACGTGATCATACCTGGCCATTTTCCAGCTGATAAGGCGAACCAGACGTCACCTTCGTCGTTACGGCATCCGTTGAGGAGACCATCCTGGCTGGTGGGCACTGGCTATCGAGTTCTTGCGATAGCAAATTCAAATAAAAAAAATATCGCGGAAGGCGGTGGGTGGATTTCGGCCGGTCTTGGCATGCAGGCTGGAGATTGGGCTGCATGACCGCTTAGTCATCAACAGGACACTCCGAGACAAGTTACCACTGGACTACGAATAGCCTTACAGAAATCTAGAGATGATTATGTCTACGGATGCAACAATTCTCTTCCTTGCTTTGTAGAGTTACAAGCAGAGGTCATGATGAACTACCCCACCGTGTGAGGTCCGTATAACATGTGGAGATTGTGAAGATCAGGTGCCAAAAAATCTTTTTATTTGACTTAGATGAGAGCATTCTATTTCTATATGGACAGTGAAGCGAATGAGGGCGCCCTTCCTGGTAGCACACAATTTTACCCTCCCCTGCCAACAGCGCCAAAGGTGGGGGGCTACCAGGATAATGTGAAAACGCCCATGGGTTCAATCAAGAGCGAGGGTGCAGTGGGGACAGTAATCACCAACGTTCCACCAACCTACCATGTGATGTAGCCTCAGTAAGATACAGCCCCTAAAAAGCAGACGAGTCCGGGTTTGCCTAAGAGTATTAGCACTCACTGAGAAACTGAGGCTGGGAGCCCTCTCAGAAAGACGTCACCAATAAAACTTTATGTTGACGTCTCGCGCCGGGTGGTCATCTGCCTACGAAGCCTTTTCGGGGGTGATTCGGTTTCCTTTTTCGTCGAACTCGATTTTCTTGCCTGTGACCAGACTCTCCTGCAGAGCCAAGGCAATGCGCAAAGAGGTTAAAGCGGTGCTGAGCTTCATCGGAAGCTCGGTGTTGTCCAGGACGGCAGCCGTGAACTCGTTGAGTTCGGTGACAAAGGCGCCTGAATACCGGTCAATCCAGCTGGGAAGGGCTTCATGGCGAACCCCATGAACGTCCGAAATTTCGACACGATTCTTCCGTGGGACGGCATTTATGGACAACTTGCCGTTGGTTCCGTAGATTTCGGTGACGTTGTCGTAGCCATGAACGGCTGTTCTGGAGTGATAGTAGTATGCGATCTTGCCACCCCAGAATTCGACAACGCCAACTGCGTTGTCGGCGTCGTGGAACTCCTCGAGCTCCTTGTGCATAGCCGCAGTCCCAGTCGCCCAGAGCGCCTTGGGCTGGATATCGTCACCGAAGAAGGAAAGAGTCAAGTCAATGTCATGGATGGTGGTATCGACAAAGATGCCACCGCTGACCTTGGCGTACTGGACAAAGAAACCGCTCTTGTCCAAGGTCTCACAGCCCTGTGAACGTATCACTATCGGCGTTCCAATGTCACCAGCCTCGACCTTCTTTCGGGCATACTGGTAATCATCGTCGAACCGCCTAGTGAACCCAACCATGACCTTGACATCGGGTCGCGATTCTGCCTTTGCGAGAACCATAGCCAGCTAGTAGATAGGAGCTTTAGCATCAAGCAACTATCACGGAGGAGTGATTACCTTGGAGAGGGGGGGCTAATTCCAAACGGACGCTCTACGCCACACAGGGGACCGGGGCAGAACAGTTTCATGGGGCAAGCCATGAGCATGTACTGTACCTACCTCATCTAGGTCGGTGGTCACGGGCTTTTCGCAAAGAACGTGGATGCCTCTCTCGAGAGATTCGATGGTATGCTTGGTGTGCAGCGCGGTCGCAGAAGCAATGACTACCGCCTCCAGACCAGGGGTTTCAATCATTTCCTCGAACGTCGCGTAGATCTGGACTCCATAGGGCTTCAGATGCTGATCAGCCCATTCGAGATCGCTCTTGGCCGGTGAGCAGACGCACAGCAGATTGGCTCTGGGCACGCGGTGAAGAATATTGAGGGCATGGCGCTGACCCATCCGACCGATGCCAACGACGCCGATGTTGAGTTTCCTCGGTCCAGAGGAGACGCCGTTCGCTGGGGGAATCGCCATGATTAGCCAAGCACCGATATGTAGGCGTTTGGTAAATTGGGCTTTTGCTGTTCCTGTCCTGGGAAGTAAAGGGGAGGAGTTCGTCTGGGGACGGGCAGCAAGAAGTCGTCGATGCTTGGGAAGGAAGAGAGGCTATCTACGTTCTACGAGGCAAAGACCCCGAGGGAAGAGGAAAGAAGCGTCCGAAAGCAGGGTTTACGGCCTATTAATACGATCTTCTGTCGCAGCGGTCCCCACTCGTTTTTGCCGTCGCTTTAAGTCACGTGACTTTTGCCGCAGTTATATTGGGCTCGCTAACCTAGTTTGGTTTCTCTGGCTTGGCAATCCGACTGAAAAAGGAATCCCAGGGATTTATTTTGCAATGGCACTAACGAAAGCAGCGTGTTGGACTAGCCAAAATCATACGAGGGACAGGTAAATCCTACGAAGGAGATGTCCATCCTGTATGGACTGATGGGATGGACTCCGTGTTCACATTACACGGACTGCCGGGCTCACCAGAGAGGCTGGGGGAGGCAAATTCCATGGGATTCGATGAGGGGTTCAGACCAGAGTTTCCGTTTTGGAGCTATGCCCTTTCAAACCGGGAGTCGAGTCGGAGAGGGGTTCCCGGTTACCCATCTAGGCAACCACGTCGCACGCTGATGCTGCCGCTTCAGGATTGATATGCGGCCTGCGATAAGTAACGCATCCACCTCCTCCGTAATAATCCTACAGTGCCCTGTCAAGTCAACCCATCACTTTCCCGCAAAACCCGTATAGCGATGGCGTCATTTCGCCACGAAACTACACATGAACAGTATTGCTAAGTGAGATATTAACAGATTATTTTACAGCTAGAAGATCAAGTAAACTGACTTCTTGATAGGAATTCTTTTAATTAAACTTTATTAATTGTAAGTTTTCCTTAAAGTTTCTTAATTTTTGTCTTTAAAAATCTTTGTTTTTAATAAAAAAATTCTATAGTACATTCTTGCAGTTTAAAGAAGCTTTTTTTTTAATATCCTTATACTGTTGTTGAGAAATCACGTTACCGAATATACACCGTATACGTTGTGCGGGTGGTGGGTTGACACCTACTCCGGAGTACGGAGTAAGTACTCTACTACGGAGTATCCCGCAATTAAACTCAGGGCTTAGACATAACACATAGTGACTATCAATATTTGCATTCACGAGAATCTTCTGCCTTAAAGTCAAAATGAGACCTTTTGTCTAGTTGTATAAATAAGGCACATGAGGCACTTGCAAATGGCATAGCTGACAAGGCAATGTATTTGTCAGCCCTATAAGAATCAAGCCCAGCACCAGCATTGCAATTATTGCTCAGCAGAGCTAAACTACCCGACGACTAGCAGAGTCAAGATTAAGTTATTATCCCTGCAGTCGGGAGCCCGGAGATCGTGCGATCGAGAACGGCGCGTGTCTTATCTGATAAGTGATGCAAGTTCGAGAAACTTGCAGTCAATTGACATCTAGGTACGTAGCATTATTGAATTCCATCATGTCTCTGGATGGGCCCAGATTCCCATGGAACCCTCAGGGCTGTTTAGCCGCAACATACCAATGCTGTCACTGACAGCATGTGATAATTCACCATATGTGCAACATCTACCATGACTTTGGCAGTCGTGGAATGCCACAGGCCTTGCGGTTAGAGTACATCGATGCTAGGTAGCTATGAAGAGCGTACTCCGGAGTAGTGCGTACTTCGCCCCTGGTTTCTACCTGTTGTTTCCAACTGACAGATCTGAAAGCTGGGGTACCGCCACGTTTCTCAAGATACGGTTGCCTGGAAGGCACGAGTCCCGGGTATATGCAGCCATGTTGTGGCGCATGTCGCAAACAAAAAAAATAGACAGTCAGTCCATGATACTCTGTATGTACACTCGGCTGTTTGCAATTCGTTCCTATCAATCACGAGAGATATCCAGAATTATGATTTCCTATAACCAGCAGTAGCTAGTTGAGAAGCGCAAACAAGGAGCCTCCGAATCTTTCCGCGAATGAGTCGAGGTACAGCGTACGCAGTAGGTCACGTGTATTCGTCCGTGGTTAAACGGGCCAAGCCGGCGAGCCAAAGAACCTGAACGGTGAAGCTACGGAGTACGTTAAGTTTTAACAGTGCAAGGAAGTTTCTCATTTAGCAATTGCCCCTTGGTCTTGGCCCTCTTGGGTGAAGTAAGACCAGTGCGACGATCAGCCTCTGAAAAGCGTGGATCTGCTGCGGGGAGCAGTCGATTGCAGAATAATACGATCCACAGGATCCGAATCTTGTTGCAGTCGGTGAGTCCGACTAATTGCACAGTTGCACTCCGTCCTCGGTACCGAGGATGGCGTCTTCGTCGATTAACGCGTCGCCAAGGTGAGTTGGAAGATTCACCCGTACTCTGGATACAGAATAATATTAGCCAGGGTTCTAAGTTTTGTGGTTTCGTGTCCGTGTGTCCCATGCTAATATGATTGCTTACGGAGTACTCTGTATATTCATTTCACAAGGACCGCCCAGTCCCACTCAAGGCGCCCGGTGGACGCCACCATCCGGAGTCCGTATCCCGTACAAAGTATAGCACGAACCACGCAACGTGCGTGTTATCGTCATTCTCGATGCGACCTGTCCGAAGTCTGAACGGACAGGTGGTCGCAGCGAGAGGACGGGAGGCCCGATATCCTCATGCGCGATGAAGTCGAGGTTACTCTGATGATGCAACAGCCGGCCCATCTTCATATGATGGCCAGCAACACACGCCCAGAGTGACCAATGCTGGGCAGACAACGCGCAGGAAGGAGCAATTTATGCGCCTGGGTGACGGTGTGGGCAGGCGCTCCCACGTTCGGGGCGCTGATTGGTGTTCCTGGCTGCGCGTGTTCGATCCGCCGGGCAGCGGCCGCGCTGATTGGCCCGCAGCAGCCGACAGCAATTTCGGGGCGGGCCCGGCACAGGAACAGGAAAGGGCAAAACAGACCAGCGGGCAGCTGAAACTGGGCTGCGCCTTCCCTACAGCGCACGCCGTTGCTGCCCGGCCTGGCACCGGCTGCCCGTTCCACCCGGCTTGCGATGCCCCGTCCAGTTGCCACGCACCCAGCCGCCTCCACGCCGCCAGTCGATCAGCGCCAGCTCGCCCTCCAACGCCTAAGCCCTTGTTTCCACCCACCGCGCTGCCGCTACTAGCTAGCCTGTGCCCGTCGCAGCCCCTGGTTCCTGCCCCCTCCCCCGGGCAGCCGCCTTCTTCATCTCCTCCTGACTCCCCTTCTCCCGCTCTCTTCCTCGACTTTTGCTGGTCCGTCCTTCTTTTGCTGTCTCTTTCATCGAGTTCCCTTCCGACCAGAGAGTCATTGTGCTCTCTACCACGCTCCTTACGGAATCCCTTTCGCTCGTTGAAATCGCGCTTTCTTTCGTTGCCCATAGTTTCCCAATTCCCCAATCCGCTGCAAGTCGGATTGACCCCTGATTGTGCGATCGCGACCATCCCGTTCTCCTTCGTGTACAGTTTTCTGTTGTCAAGTGTGCGACGGCCGTGCCCGTAGGTTCTCAGTATGTGGTGTTCTTTTTCTCCCTTGGTTGATACTCTTCGTGCGGACCCAATTCCGGATTGTTTGTTGGCGTGGTCGCCGTGGTCTGGGTCTGCTGTTGCGATCACCTGCTTGTTTGAGAATTCTGGAGTTGCTTGCGAATTCAGTGTTATTAAGTCAGCCATGCCCACTATCATGGTGCTGCAACAACGTCCTGGACTCTGCCTGCCAACCTTGCCGGGTGCATTGGGATTGGGAAATTGATCCAACTATCAAAGTCTGGAAACCGGGCAATGATCTTACTAACAAACCGCATCTTTCGGTCCAGATTTACCATTTTCCTTCGCGATCCACTAGTCCTCGCTGTGACGGTTTTCGAAGCCAATTGTATAAGAGGTCTTCGACAGATCTCGTACCAGCCCTGACAGCCCGTTCGACGACTTGACGCCAGGTCATTATATAATAGCAAAGGCATCGCTGAGGAAAGCAAATCGCGATGAAAATTACTCCGATTGCTGTTTCCCTCGCCGCTGCGGGTTCGCTCGTGGCGGCCGAGCAACACCACCACGCTCACCGTCACCACCACAAGCGTGAGCCCAACGCGGTCACTGTCGCTGTGCCCGGTCCCACCGTCATTGCCTACCAGCTTGATGGCAAGGAGATCTCCGCCGAGGAGGCCTGCCAGGGTATCGCGGATGGCACTCTGAAGTGGGCTGATGGTGTCGCTCCTCCGGGTGCCTGCGCTTCCAGCTCCAGCTCGAGCCCGACCCCGACCCCAACCCCGACCACGAGCCTTTCCGTCGCTGCGGCCGAGTTCTGGGAGAAGACTTCGAGCTCCCCGACCCCGTCTTCGTCTTCGAGCTCGGTCTACACTCCGCCACCAAGCTCCTCGTCCCCCGCGGCTGCCGCCTCCACTCCCAGCTCCGGTTCTGGTGCCACCGGTATCGATGCTGAATTCCCGGATGGCGTTCTCGACTGCTCCACTTTCCCATCCGATTACGGTGCGGTCGCTCTGGACTATCTCGGCCTCGGTGGTTGGTCTGGTGTTCAGAAGGTTACCTGGGGTCTCCTCGACGAAGTGATTGAATCCATCGTCACTGCCGTCAGCGGCCAGACTTGCACGGAAGGTGACATGTGCTCCTACGCCTGTCCACCGGGCTACCAGAAGTCTCAGTGGCCTACTGCTCAGGGCGCTACGGGCCAGTCTGTTGGTGGTATCCAGTGCAAGAACGGCAAACTGTACAGGACCAACCCCAACTCCACGACGCTCTGCGAGCCAGGCGTTGGCAATGTCTACGTCCAGAATACCCTCGGCCAGCAGGTGGCTGTTTGCCGTACTGACTATCCTGGTAAGTTTTCCGATCAATGTCTTTTTTTTTTTGACATGATTTGCGGTAATACCTAACCCTCTTTTTTGTTCAGGCACTGAATCCGAGACGATTCCTTTGGGCGTTTCCCCTGGCGAAGTTCAGGAACTCACCTGCCCCAATCAGAATACGTACTACCAATGGGAGGGCAAGGCCACTTCGGCTCAGTACTACCTGAACCCGAAGGGTGTTTCGACCCAGGAGGGCTGCCAGTGGGGAGATGGCAGCCAGCCCATTGGCAACTGGGCTCCTCTCAATCTCGGTGTCGGCGCCACTGGTGGCCAGGTTTGGTTCGGTCTCTTCCAAAACGAACCTACCACCAACGCCCCGCTGGACTACAACGTCAAGATCACCGGTGATGGCATCCAAGGGTCCTGCAAGTATGAGAACGGAGTTTTCTATAGCGACTCTGGCAGCAGTAATGGATGCACGGTATGCTTTTTTTTTCCTCGCCTGCTTTATGATCCACTTGACTAACCACCGTGAACCAGGTCTCGGTTCCTATTGGCAACAAAGCCACAGTTATCTTCTACTAGATGGACTGAATACCTTGTCAAGCTATGGTCGGCCAGTCCAGTCTGATCGTTGTAATTAAGTGATTTTCTTTCTCATTGCCGGCCTTCTGTGGAGACTGCGATTACTTTTGGTTTGCATTTACCAATTCATGATATGCGTAGTGTCAGTTGATTTGTCTTCTTTTTTTGTGTAATTTTAATGTGTTGGTTTTTTTTTTCGTGTTGAATTCTTTTCTTTACACCTCCCATGTTTGACTCTGTGGAGACTGTGCGTAGGTGTGTACACGGGTCAGCTGTGATTCCTTTTGCTGCTCCTTGTCTCGGTCGTCCCGCCATCCAAGTCAAGCTGATACTAGCGTCTCATGGGTTGGGAGTTGCAAAAAGTAAATATGTGAACCAAAATGCGAATCTCTTGTCTCCGGGAGACAGGAAGCGGGTGATTAGCCTTATACCCAGTTGTACTTGTACAGCAGGAATAAATATAGTGTGGATAGTGGATAAGATTGCAGTTCAGCTTTTTTTTTCCTTCCTCTTCCTGCCCCATATTTTTTTATTCTGCAGTTCTTTCGTCTTATTTCTAGGAGGACATCTAGATACCTTGTGCCTGTAGGCCCTTTGACTGTTGTGTTAATATCAGCTAAAGTAGCATGCATGTCTGTGTTGTCTGTGTTGTATATATACTCTGTAATATATGCCAGATAAGAACCATCTAAGAACCACTTGTCTGCTTGCTATGGCTTATATATAACCGAGGATCCATGTCTGCTGCTTCCTGATGAGCACGTGCTGTCTTGAATTGCTATATAATTATCTGGGTCAGTATGTAGATTCTCTTCTGTCTATTCTGTTCATCTGCGTATTTAAGCGTCTCTGCAAACTGCCTGTGAGCGTTAATAACTGTACTACGCGTACTATATTGACAAGACCATATTGACTGGATCTAATCTACTGTTCGTCGATCTGGAAGTGTTTTTTTATTTATTTCTTTCTTCTTTTTCTTGAATCAATGAGATTGACGTGGGTATCCAATTGATAAGTAGTTTGGCTATATTACCTAGTTCGAGAAATCCAAACGTATACTCCGTATATATATAACAGTATTTCTACGGATGAAATGCAATGGAATGAAATAATGCTCTTGCTCTCTCCTATTGACTCCCCGCTTCCTTCCAACCCTTTGTTGTCTCTTTCCTCTCTCGCAAGGGACTGGTCGACTGACTCACTGACTGCACAGGATGGATATCTCTAACTCAGAAGCAAGTCTAGCAGACTTAGGACCCATTCTCCGTATTAGAGATAGTCTCGCCGACCACCTGCGACGACTGGCCGTACACGACGTAGAAATCGATGTTATTCGCCGGCGGGCCGTATTCGAACCACGTCGCGCTGATGTAGTACTCGGAGTAGTTCCCCAACCCGCCATCACCATCAGGGTTGATGATGTTCTTGAGCCACTGCTCCTTCTGCGCTGTTGTTGCTGATCCCTGGCTTGAGGTCTGTGTGCCTGTCTCGGCTATGGCGAAGGGCAGGCTATTCGCTGCCGCGTAGGTGTCGTAGAACTTGCCGTAGGCGGTGGCGAAGTCTGGAAAGCCTTCGTCGGCGTTGGGGTAGTAGTCCATGCCTACGATGTCTACCTAAAAAAAAATTTACAGTCAGTATGGTGTCGATATGAATGTGAATGATGCTCATGTTGGATGGATGCTGACCGGCTAGGGTATATGTACTTACATACTCCTTTCCTGGCCACCAGGGCGCTACAGGCTCGCTGGGGGTATCGACATTGGGAGACCAGAACATGTAGATTTTGTCATTGTCGGAAATGGCGTTGTACACGTTTTTCCAGGAAGTCAGGAAAGCGTCGTAGTTTTCTTGTAGACAAGAATTAGAATTGAATCAGTCTGACGAGCAAGGATGGAAAAGAAAAGGATCCGATCTGAACTCACTGCCTCCAGGATATGTCCCCGAATCAGTATAGTAATTCATCTCGTGGGCATAGCGCAGCCAGACCGTGACACCCTTGCTAGTGAAGGTATTCGTGAAGTAGTCCGCGATGGACTGACACAACCCCGGCGTGATATCGGTCCAGTCGACCGTGGGCATCAACGAGGCGATCAGCACGGCGCCGGAGGAGATGATGTCCTCCGTGTCGTACTGGTCGTTGCCGTCGTAGGAGCCGGATTGGACGTTGTCGCTCCTGATCTGGGAGTAGACGTTGTATCTGTAGTATGTGCCCATTCAGCAGATTAAACTGTGTAGAAGCGGAGAGATACCTACGTAGCACCCTTCTGTCCCGTAGCCGTGTTCAACTCTGCCATTGTGACTTTGGGGTCGTAGTTGGGTGCAAACCCAAAGTAGATGCCGGCGTAGCTGATCATCGAGTCTGGTTTGATGCCGTATTTCTCGCCGAGGGTGTTGTTCAACTGTACCAGGTTCTTCTGGTTAGGGTTTGTTTTTTTTTTCTGCGTGTTGAGATGGTGAGTGCGAATGAATATTCATACCCTTTTCTCAATCTTGGAAGGAGAGGCAAGTGATGAAGTCGCGGAGAAGATGAGGCCTAGGATGGCCAGAGTCTTTTTTGACTGGAATATCATCTCGACAGGCTGAACGGAACAGAGGTGCGATCAAGTTGATGAGGATGTTCTTTGCTGTCAAGTACCCCAAGCTCTAGAGCCGTTAGCTCTCTTGAGCTGTCCTTTTAAGTGAACGAGAAAGAGAGCAGCTTGGCAGTGTAGTAGTAGATATACACATACCTAGAAAATACTACTACTACTACTACTACTACTACTACTACTACTACTACTAGTCCAAGAGATGGTAGGCACGAACAGGCTAAGCTTGTGGGATGCTAAGTAGTTAGTGAGAACTATATTTCAGTACATATGTAACGTCAGACAAGGGACTGTCGTGTTTCATCCAGTCGGATGGTTGATAGGCCACACTTTCAGTCTACTCAGAAGGCGAGCTTGAGCCTAGTTTCACAACATGCCTGCAAGTAACAAGTTACATGCGTATGTATGTACTGTACAGTATAGTGCAACTGCACAGTGCCCCCGGTCTTGGCTTTTCAGCTCAGATGCTAATTCTGCCAGGATTATATTAATATGTTAATAACGGTTTGAATCGCAGTTACTGCGGAGAAGATGGTGTGCTGATGATGATTAATGACAGGAATTAAATCGCTCGTATAGGGCGATAAAAATAGTGACAAACTTAATCGCCCGATTCGCCCCCAGACCAGACGAGCTTATTATCATTTTCCAATCTGGGTAATTCCCTGGTCATAAGACCATCCGTCAAAGGAGGACCTATGTAATGTACATATGATCTTGATTGAATTGAGACCTGCGAAAAAAAAAAAATCGAGAGATGAGGCAAGAAGTCGAACCTCGAGCATGTTTGGACAACTCGACGTGCTGCCGAGTTATCCGTTCTAGCGGGACATGTAGCAACTGATCTTGATGCTATAAGTAAAAAGAAAATGATAACTGGTTGCACAGGCTACTGGAATATATCGAGGATACGATAGAATCTTGTGCAGGTTGTATGTACACTATACTGATGTAGATGATTTGGTCCTCCATATATATAGTTGCTCGCCCTCTTATATATTTTCTAGTACTGCCCAGGCAGATGTAGGACGAACAGTGACCCTTCTGCTTTATATTTCGAAATCTGGTTGATCAGGAGTTTTGAAAATCTTAGAACTCGCGATAGAGTTAGCTTGATTTGAACTGATTACCTGGTACCTGGGAAGGTGCCCTAATCTACCCACGGATCGGTATGGACACAGTCCTCGGGAGAGTTCCAAGGATCGAGACTTCAGTACGTCAATCAAGGAGAATTCCTACTGTCTGTAGGACAGACAGGTCTTTGTCTACAAGAATCCTTCCGCCCTACGGTCACTCCTTGTTCGGAATTCTTCGTTTCTCGAGAGTCTTTTTTTTGCCTCTACCCTTGCAACATCTTTTGTAAAAAAAAATAAATAAATAAAATAAAATAAAAAATGGAATTTCGAGTGAAGTTATAATTAAAATATATGGATTTGGACGATGGATTCAAAGAGATACAGAATCGTGGCCTAAATTATGCTGTCGACGATGCAATGACTGACCAAGTTAGGGCTAGTGATAGTGCAATTATATATTTTGCAGGAGATCTATCTACATAGTAAACGTGTATCGGGCCAACACGGCTTCCAGGTCGAAATTCTTGGACACAGGCGATGGAAACTGTTCTTCCAACATACATAGCAGAGAAAAACACACCAGTTCGATATCTTAAATACCTGACCTGGCATGGAAGTCCTTTATGTAGCTGACTTGGCCCCATCCGGTAAGCTGTTGACGCGGGACACGTGACGTATAACCAACGCGGAGCGCGCATCGTCTACGAGATGTCCATCTCGACATGACTGACCGCATTGAACGACCCAATTGAACTGGCATCGCTCCTGCTTCTGATTTTTAGTTCTCGCCTCAATTCCTCATGCACGAGGCTCCGCCCGCGCTGTAATTCGGACGTGTGAGGAGGCGCGAACAGCTAGTGGAGCTCGTTGGCGGGCTGGAGAACGCGTCTCGAGTGGGCAAGCGTGAAGCGCAGCGTGCACATCCGCGGTGCTCGTCGAGACGAGACGCACCGTTCCGGCAAGGCATTCCTGCACCTCCCACGAGCACCCACCTTTTTTCGACTCGACCCTGCAATTCTTTTGGACGCAAAGCATTTTCCCCTCCCAGCCTCCTGTCTTGTTTATAGTAGGCCTTCTTTTTTCTCTTGACCCTCTTCCTCCTTCCTTATCTCCCCAGCTGTTGTCTCTCTCTCCCTCCCTCCCTCATCCTCTGCCTGGGGTCTCCTGCCTTCATCTACTGACCACATTGATTGATACAGCACCTGATTCCTCCTAACTGGAACAGTTTAAACGTCTACGACTTCAATCATCCAGCAACACTTAATTGCCCGGCATGGAGTCATCTCCTCCACGGGACGCATCCACTGCTGCAGGCACGAAGCGTCCCGCGTCCCTGCTGCCGGCTTTCGAGCCATTGAGCTCTTCTCCGTCTCTTCCTCGACCCCAGAAGCGTGTGGCACGCGAGGCCAATGACTATCCCACACCGTTGCCGACGTCTTCAACCCATATCTTGTCGTCCTCGCCGCCTCTAACACGTCCCAAACTGTCGCGTAATGGCTACTCCACGACCTTGGAACGCGCACCTCTCTCGGCCGTTCCCACCCTGATGCTTCCAGAATCCGGGGAGCCTATTTTGATGGGAAGATCGAGCGCGTCATGCCATCATCAGCTTTCGGCGAACCGGTTGATATCCCGTGTCCACGTCAAAGCCACCTACAAGCCGGCGGGCAACCCTTTCGACCGTGACCGCGTCGAGATCATGTGCTTGGGATGGAATGGAATAAAGCTCCATTGCCAGGGAAAGACCTATGACTTGGCCAAGGGCAAGACCTTTACGTCTGATATCAAGGATGCCGATATCATGATTGATGTGCAGGATTCCCGTGTCTTGGTCCAATGGCCCCGAAATGAAAGGAAGGACTCTGCTTCTGCTGACTCGGACCACACATGGGATGAGAGTTCTCCTCGACGGAATCTGCCATCACGGCGTGATATTCACGATAGTCCCTTCCGAGAGCGATCCCGACTGGTCTCGCCCATATCGCCGTCTCCTGCAGTGCGCTCCATCTTTCCCCCATCCTCCCCGTTTACTCCAAGTCGGTCACATAATCCTGTGGTTGTTTATGAAGATGAACCGTCTCCTACACGTGTGCGTGCCGAAGACAGCCAACTCACGGCGTCAAGGACAACGCAGGTTGCTACCCAGCCTGCTGCAGACGGAGCTCACAGTTCACAGAGTAGCTTGAGCGAATTGTCCCAGTCCTATGAAGAATTTTCAGATCATGATGAGGAGAACGACCCGATCGTTCACTCTTTCGGTCCTTTTGGCGACAATATTCTTCCACGCATGGCCTCATTTAATGCCGGAGACTCTCCCGTTCGGACTTCTCGTTCTTCTCGTGCCCAACCCGAACCTCTCAAACCCACCAGGTCTCCCCCGCAACCCTCCGTAGCCAAGACTGATGAGACTGAAAAGAAGGGCGAGGAAAAGAAAGAGGATGTGAGGGAAGATGTGAAAGAGGAAGCGAAAGAAGAAACGAAAGAGGTGACGAAAGAGGTGACGAAAGAGGTGACGAAAGAGGAAGCGAAAGCGGATGATCAGAGGGAATCAGCCATAGCGTCTATTAAGAACCACGCAATCAACCAGCTGGCGTTCTCCCGCCTTTCGTCAACGCCATTTTCAACCATTGTTAATAATCTTCCGCCCAGTCTGTGGAAGGAGGGCAGCCCCGAAACGCGGTTCTCACGACAAGAGATCCTATCCATTCTTGAATCCACTAAATGTATTGGCGAAGTCACCCGGGAGGGTAAAGACGCCGCCGGAAAGCCGCTGGAAAGCGAATTCTACTATATTCCTGATTTCGACGAGGACGAAATGCGTCGCCAGGCCGTTGTCAATGATCTCCGGAAGCCGGGTCTGCGGAACTGCAGAAAACAACACAAGGTTGGCATCTCCTGCTTTATTGTTCGTTTCATCTATGCTAACGTGAGGTCGCAGCAATACTACTGGCGCAAACCCAAATAGAAGCTTATACATGAAGTTCATGAAGACGCCCAGATGCTCAGAATTCTCATGCGATTATAATTCGAAAACTCAAAATACCGATTGCTATTTTCTTCAGTATTTTACCTTCTTGTCACATACTTTGTCCCCTTACATTTGTGTCATGTTTCTCGCATAGCATTGCGCGGGGCGGGGTGTACTGTTGTTTGTGTTTCTTATTTCTTATGTCGACGTTTCGGTGTATTATGACCCCCTAGAGCTCCTTTTGCTTCGCTTTTTACCCATGCAATGTTCTGAATATGTCGTCACCCGAATTCCCATGTATTCCCCTTCCCAGTTATCTCCATCACCTCTATTAACATGACCTGTTTTTTTTTCCTACGCGAGTTCCCCTTCATATATCTCATCCACATTCAAACGATCACCTGCTGTGGGAATATTTTCTTAATTTGATACCCTCAGGTGTGGAAAACTGAATTAATTCGATGTCCCTGAAAGTCACTACCGCTATGGATAAACCGTCTCTGAGAGACGGCCTTATCCATCATCACCTCCAAACCTTTAACACCTGCCAGACATGTGCTGTATGATTGGCGATTTTTTTTTTTAAAAAAAAAAGTTAAAAGAATTGAAAACATATTTGTCGAGTCTTTCACTGAAATGTCAAACATTTTAGCCATTGAAACAGCCCGCAATGACAACCTGGCCGTCTGATATCAAAGAATATGAATGTATTGGAATGGACATTACGAAAGTCTTAGATATGGACGGATTAAAACAAGATTTTGCCAAGTAGCAAGGTATTTTCGATTCATGTCATTTTCTAGATTAGTCGAAGCAAGCGACTCATACAGCTAAGACGATAGGGTATGGATTCGTAACAGACAGACAAAGAAGGGAAAAAATCCTGATGAGTTCGCTCCCTAGCATTTCGGCAAAGAGAACTGTCTGCACAGGATTTTTTTTGTCGTTAAAAAATCGTCTCAAGACCCCCAGGATGTTCTGTAGAAAAACCGAGCTTCCGATTAGATCATCAATCTCTCGACACGGTCCTTCACGGCGCGGATCTGGGGAGTCAGGTCGCTTGCTTCGTTGGTAGTGATGCTGGCCGCGATGACGGGACGGGACACGCCGCATGCACGGCCCAAGGCCAACTTGCTGGGGACGTAGACGTAGGGAACGTTCTTGTCCTCAGCCAGGAGAGGGAGGTGCAGAAGGATCGCCAAAGGAGAGGTGTCTGGAAGGAAAGAAAAATTTACGGGTCAGCTTGGAGATTTCTTTCTTTTGGCAGAAAAAGAGAAGAGAAAAGATAATGACATACCAGCTGCGAGAACGATGAGCTCCGAAGTACCACGGTTCAGAGTCTTGGTGGCTGTTGCGACAGTGGTTAGTTATGTGTCCTCTTATATAGGAAGGGTATTATTGTCAACGCGAAATTCTAGAAAAACCTACCTTCGTTGGCACCCTTCTTGAGCTGACGATAGTGAGATGCCTGCTGGACGAGGTCCAGGATGGTCTGGCTAAGCGCCTCATCAGCGATGGGCCAAGCTGTGCAGACGTCAGCGCAAGAGACTCTTTTGACAGAGAATGTACTATGTAGTCTTAAAAAAAAGAAAAACTTACCGGCCGAGGTCTGGTCCGCCATGGTGTCTGATGGAGTCCGAAGAAGAAGAAAATTCGGTTCGTAGGAATCAGGAATCGCTTGTCTTTGCCGAAGGGTTCACGGCCTCTGCGGTGGCTCGCCCTTTGTGCGACTTTGGAACGAGAGAGGGAAAAGTTGAAGGAAACCGCGCGCGCAATGGAAGGTGAGATCGATACCTAGCCTAGGTCTTTGAAGCTTTTCTAAAAATTATCTCCAGTCAAAATTTCGGGCCGACGTTGGGCCGGGACCAGTGGCTTAGTCATCCATTGATAACATGTGGTCATGTGACCTTGATATTGAAGAGAACTATCGCTCTTTTTTCCTGATTCGAGACTGTCGATGAATAATCTGGTTGCCGGAATTGGGTATATTGGTAGAAGAAGATAATCAGTTATCTTTCAGAGAGACTGAAACTGTGGTGTTTGCGTTCTGACTCTGTGTTTGGTCTCTCGACTAGATTTCACTAGAAGGTATATTCATACGTCAGTGTGCATACGTCGGACAATCAGATCGCCAGTTCGCCACAGCTTGTGCTTTTGTTACCTTTGTGGGTAGTGATAGTTGCTTGTGATGATTAGCTACCTTGGGCAGGAAACTTGATTTCCAAGTTTCTAAGCATGTCTGATTTTAAGTTCGCCCAGATAATTATATTTAGCGATTATCTGCACCGCGCTGATCTCTACACTTGGCTCGTGCCACTCCAGCTAATAACCAAGGCTAATTGCACCGAGTCTTCGTTCCTCTCTGTCTTGGGACTAATCCAACCAAAATGACATCTACTGGCCACGACGGCCCATTCTCCGACGACTCGTCAAATGAGCACACTCTAGTCCTCCCGTCTGAAGGGACTGCGACGCGCTCGAACAGCCGCCCCTCTTCCTCCACCACTAACCCCGCTGACTCCGCACCTTATCCTACCGCTGGCGGAGACGAGCAGAAGCCATGGAAACCATCAGTCGATCGCCAGCAGAGTTGGAGCGCCCAGGACATGAAGCACCAGATGCAGGCCAGGCTTCTTCGGACCGAAAAGGGCAAAGAATCCGGCTTCTCTGAGACGAAACCGTAAGAGGCTGCTAGCAGAGGAAGTTTTGCCCCTATAGGAAAGAGACTGGGGGAGCCGCCTGCTGTCGCGATACCTGCGTCTTGACGCCCTTTGCAACTAGCGATGTTACTGCCTCAGTTCTCCTGTACAACTGCCTTAGGATGCCCACTAATTAACATACGGACGAGAAAAGGAAATGCGGAAAGATGACTCAATAATGCATGGAATCTGGTTTTCTTTTTCTTATTTTTTGACACTTTTCCTCACTTAAAAGTCGCCCCGACTGGTACACTGTATGGAGATCTTTTATTTGGCGGATCGTATAGGTCATCTACTTCATGTTTTGTTGAGCTGGTGAGGATGACACATGGTCTGTACAGACATAGTATGTGTATTTTGTCAATGACAGCCAGGTAATACAAGCAGACATAATTCCATTACATACTTCTTCAATTCCGGCTATCATAAATACAGAAATAAACAAAAGAAAAGAAGTAGGAGACTCCAAATTTGTCTTGCTGTGAATTTTGTCCAGTGTCTGCACTGTGACTGTTCAAGATAGGCTCCGCGGAGAGGCGCCCACCGCCCGTCGCCCTCAACCCCGAGAGGGAACCCACTTCGCCGCCGCAGAGCACCTTCTCCCATTTCCCAAGTACTTTCTCTCCCTCACTCAAAAAAAGCGCTGGAGCTTTAAAGGAGCTCTCAGCTTGCATCGACACAGCTTTCCACGTCCCATCTTCCAAATCCAATGTGGCGTTCGGCTTGTGTCTGGTATTTCCTTTCGGAATCTCTGAAAGGACCTCACCTCGATTGAACTTTGAAGCACTTCTCGCGACAGACAGCGCATGCGACACTGGCAGCAAGCCATGGATCACAAAAGAAAGCGTATGTCGCTCCAGCACCTCTGTTAGCGTTTAGCGTTTTCAGAAAATCATCTTCTGACTTTCCATGTCTTTTAGGGGAGCTCCGCGATTTAAATGAGAGGGCTTGGTCTGGCGAGAGTGGTATGACAAAACCCCTCCACTGCCTCTGGGACCGTGTGTGCAGCCACATCTAATACTGTTTGCATCTCTAGATCTCTTTCCTGTCAACAAGTCTCTCGATTCTTCTCTGAAGAAGAACACTGCATTTATTAAGCGCCTCCGGACGGGAATCACTGCTGCCGCGCTCCCGACCTTCCTCACGGACATCCGTACCCTGTCCCTTCACAAGTACCTCTCTGAAATAATCTCTGCCTGCTACGAAGGTTTCTGCAAGCTCAAAACTCCCGGCGAGATAGCTGCGGGGGTGGAGATCGCTAGCGCCCTCCACCAACGATTCGGACCAAATGAGTTTACGAAGCAGATCGGATGGCTGTTAGGACGGGGGTTGAGTTCGCCCGACAAGTCGCAGTTGAAAAATCTCAGTCAAGAGGTCCGCGAACGGGAGGAAAAGGAACGCCTTTCCAGACATCGGGTGCTGCTTAGGCTCGTTACAGAGCTCTGGCTGGTGGGCTTCTTGAAGACCTTGGATGATATTGAACGTCCGGACGATGTTGGTGGCGTCAAGAACAAAGATGGACCTGCGGGTGTTGGAGGCAAGGCCGTTGATGGACCCTCCAAGTCCAGGGCGCACCCATCCACAGCGAAAGGCGACCAGGAGACTGACCCGTTCCCCTTGGAAGTCTTGAAGGACCTCCTCGGCCACGATAGAGAACACACTAATCTCCCTCTGGCGGTGCTCTTCGCCAAGACATTCAGCTGGGACGTTTTGGGTGTGAAGCCAGTTGAAGAAGGACGGAAGAACGTGGATGCGGACGGAACCACAACCGCTGCAACTACGGAAGCTGCACCTGGAGGCGAACCTGCTGCGAATGGTGAGGTTGTGGAAGATCCACCGATCACGCCGGAGAAGCTGCAGTTACGCTTTAGGAGTATCTTGACCCGCTATCTGGAGGACGTTAAGGCCCATGTTGTTCGCGACCAGAAGGCGTTAGCGGCCCAGAGCCGCCGGAATGCGGAAGCGTACGTCAAGAGCGGTGAGATTTTCGAAGATCGCCAGGCGAACTTCGAGAAACAATCCAAGGCCCATGAGAAACTTGTCTCGAACACTCAGGTCCTGTGTGATATCCTCGGTGTTGAGATGCCAAATCTAGCTGAGAAAGAGGCCGCGGACTCTTCTGTGAGCGGAGGCATCGGTCTTGTCAAAACCGCCGAATACTTAAGAGGTCAAGGAGAAGGTCCTGGCATCTGGGAAGATGAGGAGGAGAGGCGCTTCTACGAGAACCTCGTTGATCTTAAGGGAAAGGTGCCGGCCGTTCTCCTCGAAGATGGCAAGAAAAAGAAAGGCGAGGGCGATGACCAGGCGAAGGCCAAAGCGGACAAAGAACCTGCTCCAGACGGCACAGGAGACAAGCAAGCTCCAACTGAAGCGCCCAGTACGGAACCCAAGCCATCCACCGAGGCAGATGATCAATCTACTGCTGTCGTGAACAAGAGTATTGGTGCCCAGGTGGATGCACTGCTAGTGAGGCTTCCAGAGCTGCAAACAAAAGACCAAGTCGACCAACTAGCGTTGGATTTCTGTTTCTTGAACTCGAAAGCTTCTCGGAACAGATTGATCAAAGCTGTGCAGGACGTTCCCAAGGGTCGCACCGATCTCCTGCCTCTCTACGCGCGTCTGGTTGCGACACTGGGCCAGTACATGCCTGACATTCCTCAGGGGGTCATTTCGTATCTCGATGAGGAGTTCAGAAGCCTGCAGCGTCGCAAGCAGAAGGACTTCTTGGGCCAGGTTCGAATGATCAATGTCCGCTACCTTGCAGAACTGACCAAGTTTGGCGTTGTACCGGAACATGTCATTTTCCACTGCCTCAAGGTCTGCCTTGATGATTTCTCGCGCACGAATATTGAAATCATGGGCAATCTGCTGGAAAACTGCGGACGCTATCTTTTGAGAAATCCAGAAACCTGCCCAAGAATGGCTTCATTCTTGGAGACTTTGACTCGAAAGAAGACCGCAACGCATCTGGCACAGCAGGAACGGATGATTATTGAGAATGCAATTTATTATGTCGACCCTCCCGAGAGACCGGCAATTCAGCAGAAGGAACGCACTCCGATGGAGTTGTATATCCGGAAACTGATCTACTTGGACATGAACAAGCGCAACTACACCAAGATATTGAAAGCTATCAGGAAACTTCATTGGGAAGAGCCAGAGGTATTACCTTCATTTCATGAATTGGCGAATTCCTGCTAACCTCATGCAAGGTCGTCGAAATCTTAGAACGCGTCTTCAGCAGGCCTGGAAAGGTCAAGTATGGCAACATACACCTGTTGGCGATTCTTGCAAGCGCCCTGTATCGGTATCACCAGGAGTTTGTGATCGGCATTGTGGACAATGTCTTGGAGTCGATCACTCTCGGACTAGAACAGAACGACTTCAAGTTTAACCAGAAACGCATAGCCGAGGTGAAGTATCTTGGTGAGCTTTACAACTACAAGATAATCGACTCTCCGGTGATCTTCGATGCGCTTTATCGCATTGTCGCGTTTGGTCATGGTAGGTGTATTCGGTCATTGCGAATTATCGGCTTCTACTAATACAGATTTAAGAAAATGGTACACCAACGCCTGGCAAATAAACCCGCTTGATATGCCGGACGATTTCTTCCGTATTCGCTTGGTGTGCACGCTTCTCGATACGTGTGGCGTCTGCTTTGATCGCGGCTCTGCGAAGAAGAAGCTAGACTTCTTCCTGACTTTCTTCCAGGTATATTTGTGTTATGACTTTGTTATTCTTGCGACAAGTATTGACTGACATGACGCGAAGTATTACATTTATACAAAGGATCCGCTGCCGATGGATGTCGAGTTCCTTGTTCAGGACACTTATTCGTTGTTACGTCCGCAGTGGAAGATAGCCAGTAATTTGGAAGAGGCTGCGCGTCTGTTCAGTGAAGCGATCGCCCAAAACTATAATCTTCAGGACGGCGAGAAGGCGGCAGAGCCCGAAGAAGATGAAGTGGAGAGCATGTTATCGGATGATGGAAATGCGGAAGAGGGTCTTGAAGAGGACATGGTGCCGGAGATAGATGAACAGCAGTCGTCGACCGAGGATGCTGAGGTAAGTGTTGGGTTAGTTTTCATCACTGAATAGGGTCCTGACGAGAATTCAGGCATCTGGCACCAATGCAGAGCAAGATGGCGACAGCGACTCGGAAGAGGAACAGATATTCGTGGCTCGTCAGGAAGAAGAACGCGATCCAGAAGCGGAAGCAGAGTTTGATCGGGCGTTCCATGAACTGATGGCCGAAAGCCTGGAATCGAGAAGATTCGAGCGGAAAACACTGTTTGATGTGCCTCTGCCCATGAGACCATCTCGTCGAGACGCAGCTGGTACCGAGGACAACGCTGGCGAAAATAAATCGTCGAATACAATGGCATTCTCGTTGATGACCAAGAAAGGCAACAAGCAACAGGTTGGATTGACTGAACTAAAGATTGGATTTATTAGGTGCTGACTTCTGTATAGACTCGCACTATTGAGCTGCCATCTGACTCGAGCTTCGCCATTGCCATGAGGAACCAGCAGCAGGCAGACCGTGAAGAGCAGCAACGGATCAAGAACCTGGTTTTGAACTATGACCTATCAAACGACAATGAATCTAACGATGGTGAGGATGACCCTTCTTCCCTGGACCCCTTTTCTCAGAGGAACCCAAATGTGAACCCAAGTACTAAGACACGTCAAGGTTTTGAGAAGCGAAGCTCTCAACGGGAGTCGAAAATCGACAAATCGGCCTCCAACCGCGCTGGATACCGTGCAAGAAGGCTCCAGCTGAGCGATGTCGACTGGTATGATTGATCCCGGACAACCCGAAAAACCCCATATGGATACAGAAGGACGGAAAAGCTGATGCGCGTGCTGCAACCTTGCGGCGGTTTTTATCGATACAGGACCTGAAACTACTTGACGTTGATATCAGTGTCTCCAATTTCGATAGCACGATCGATGTTATTCTTGATAATCGGACAGTCCCGCGGACTCGCAGGGGTCTTGAGAGATTGTTCAAGAATGGACTTTATCTCCGGTGATTGGAACAAGTGATTCCACAAGACAGTTCGTCGGCGACATCAAAATTTCCACCGGTGGCAATGACCGCGCGCTCTGACGCCGCTCGAAAGCCAGCTTAGATTTGTGAAATGCGAGACGATGCAACATGGCTGGTGATGCAGCAGACGATGAGATGCGCAGGTCGCTATGAATTTTTTCTTGAGGTTGAATGTATGCTGCTGGTGGGTTTGGACCGTGAGGTCGTATCTCTATGACAGTAGAAGGAAGCCCCGGCGGATGTCTTAGGAAACCAGCGAAGCAGATCGCGGGACGACAGGACGGCTCCGAATGGGATTCAACTCACCTATTTATTATCTTTAAAAAAAAGCCATCATCGAGTGTCTCTACTTCAATTGCCTCGAGATGGAAATACGTTAGTTTACCACTCACGTATTAATTTCCAGACCGTGTTGTTTGAATATTCATTATCTCTTGATTTTCTTCTGCTAGGTAAATTAAATTGATTAGCTTGGGCATTTCCCTGCTCATGCAGAGATCTGTCCAAGCTTGATTGATATCGAATATCGATCTGCTAGTATCATCTATCTATCTCCATTGTAGAGTTGTAGAGTTACCTAGCTACTCCATATTCAAGGTCTCAAACCCAATTAAATTCGATCAGATAGATATGCTGACTTAATTCTGGAACGATACGTACCTGGTACATAGTAAGAAGTACTAGTACAGAGCATATGTGCGTAAATAGATAGGTAGATAGTGTACATACATTGTCTAGCAGCTTTTTCTTTGTCTATCGTCTTTTTTCTTTTCTTTTCTTTCTTTTAATACAATAGTAAGTAGTAGTTAACAAGAATGGTGGTATACATGGATGCTTAAAAAAAATCCAAAAGAAAAAAAGGAAATTGAAAAGACGACGTCATAAGTGAGTGGAAATTAAATTGATTCGACCGATCCATCCGTCTATCATTGATTGCATTTGTGTTGCGTTTGCATTTGCATTTGCACAATGTTCGTCCACCCACCCATGCATGCTTTTTTCCTTCATGTCTATTTCTTTCGGTCGGATCGATCGGCTTGTCTCGTCTGGCTAGCTGGCTGGCTTGTCGGACGTCGTCTGTCCTGAAGGAATGTTTCGCACAAGGTTCATTCTCGACTTTTGACTTTATTTCTCGGTCTTGGTGCTCTTGGTGCCAGTTTTCCGCTCTGCCGTATCGATCTCAGCCTTGGGCACCAGTTTCTCGCTCTCGCTCAGCTCCTGCTGCTGAGATTGTTGGCTCTCGACTTGTTCCGTGGCTTCCTTTGCCTCTGCCTGTTTCTCGGATGGGGTCGTGGAGGCATCGACCTGGCGGGCTGAGGCAGCGTCGCGGACTGCTGTTGGGTCTGATGCTGACTTCTCGTCGGAAGAGGTGCTGGCGATGTGCTCCTGCAGCTGCTCGTCTACTTCGTCCTCTTCGAGCTCGGAGCCGTAGACGTCAGGGTGCTGGCGGAAGCAGTCTTGCATGGCCCTGTTGCAAATGTTAGTTCCGGCCGGAGATTCACGTTGCTGCAACATACTTGAACTTGTCAATGCAGTCCATTCCCTTGGGCTCTTCCGTCGAGTAGACGAAGCAGCTAAACGCCGCCTTGAACTCCTCTCCACATGGTCCATGGGCCATGCCGCCTAGGCATGGGCAGTCCCAGTTGATCTCGCCAGTCTCGGGATTGAAGGCGCCTTGCTGATCCGCCTCCTGCTCCAGGTCTTCTGGCGAAGCGTAGCCATCAGAAGATTGCTCGGCCTGAGGTTCTGCGACGGCGGCGGGCTGGGAGGCAGCAGGCGCGGACTGTTGACGTTGTTTCCTCTGGGAGCTGATGGATTCGATGGTAGGGGCGTTCTCATCTTCTAAGGGCTGAGGTCGGAGAGAGACTGCAATGCAACCGCATCAATGTGTCAGCCTAGACAAATACTCTATCTCCCTCTGCAAGACCTTCGCAGACGGTCAAGCTTTTTTTTTGCTTCAAGCGCTTCTAGAGAAAATTCACATACAGGTTGGCTCCTCCGCAAAGACGCTGCTTGTGTTGTAGTAATACACCACGCCGACCGCCAGACCCAGCCTCACCAGCCAGTTGCTCCAACTCCTCGACTTCTGCGCCGGCGGAGCGGTGCTGATCAATCGGCTCGTTGTTGTCGGTACTCGGATGCGACTCGGTGCGGCGACCCTGCTGGGTGCGCGGAGGAGGGCTCTCGACGCGGGCCGGAACATGATGAGAAAAAAATGTGCTATAAAAACAGGAATTGAGGCATGAAAAAAAACAAGAACACGAAGGAAGAAAGAAGAGAGAGTGGGATTGGAACTGGATTAGCAAGCAAGGTCGAGCTCGGAGATCGCGAAGCGGACGGAATCGGATCCACGCGAAGCAAATCAAATCCGCCTAGTTTGAGTTCTGACATAAGCCTCCGCCATGATTCAATGATGGCATACATATGCACATACATGTATGGATCCTGTGCAGATGAACGATGTTGGCGATATTGTCGCAAGGTTCTTAATTGACACTGTACATTATATCGCGGCAATTAACATTACATCCCTGGCCAGATCGCGAGATCCCCGTCGCACAGCATGGAGTGGGATCCGACCCAGTTCTTCCGGAGCGACAAGGACCGCCCCCCGCGGATTCCCTACGCAATCCTGGTGCTGAACCAGCCCATCAACCAGCGCGCCTTTGTTGCCATCAGAAGGCACGGTATGTACTCGAAACCTATACTGGTTGAATGAACCTATGTCCTATCAGCTGCTCTGCTTGATTGACATGAGTCTTCAGATTCTTTTATATATATATTTCCGTAGTTCTGGCAGTTTCATTTATGGATCTTGAGATAATGACACTTTTCTTCCCATCTAGCTTGCTTTATCGTGTGCGCTGACGGTGGTGCCAATCGATACTATGATTTGATGAAGGCTCGGGGGAAGTTGGATACAGATGTAAGCGTTGTTGTCGATTAGCAGAACAAATGCCCTTGTAGTCCAATTCTTTTGTCCTTCTTTCTTTTTCCCTTGTATTACTGGGCATGTATACTTGTCGAGCGATAATTGCTCTGGCATATACGACTTCCTTTGAATTCCTTGCAAGACCAGACTGAACTGATTTGACAAGCTAGCTACCGTCCGCCATCGTGGGAGACCTCGATTCTATCCAACCTCACGTCCGCAAACACTACGAAGACCGGGGCGTCCCGGTCGTGCATGACCCAGATCAGGACTCGACCGATTTCACCAAATGCCTCAAGTATCTCCGAGCTCATGCAGCTGAGATCGTCATAAAATGCAGACCCCCAGCCCAGGGTGGTGATATGTCCCTGAAAGAAGGGCAACAGCAGCAAGGGCAACAGCAGCAACGAAAACGCGCCCGTCTCGACGTGCTCATCCTCGGCGGTCTCGGGGGACGCGTCGACCAGGCCTTCTCCCAGATCCATCACCTGTACGCCATGACGCAGAATCAACAACAAGGAGAAGAAGACGGAGAACCCAGCCAGGAGGAAGAAGACGAGGACAACAGCCGGAAGCAAAATGACCTATACCTGATCTCGGAAGAAAGCATCTCCTTCGTCCTGCAACCAGGGAAAAACACCATCTACACGCCGGGGACGAATCGCCCGGGTGTGGAAGTCCCTCCCCCGACAGCCGGCGGATCACCACCTCCACCACCGCCGCCGCATCAGGCCCTGCCAGAGGAAGAATCCACCACGCCGGCGAACAAGATCTGCGCGTACGACGACTACTACCTCGAGGAGAACGTGGGCATCATCCCGCTCTGCGGACCCAGCGAGATCACCCTGCGCGGCTTCGAGTGGGATGTCACCAACTGGCGCACCGAGATCGGAGGGCAGATCAGCACGAGCAACCACATCCGCGCGGACGTCGTGCAGGTCGAGACTAACCGGCCGGTGCTGTTTACCGTGGAGTTGGCGAGTCGGTTTAAAGTGGGTGGGAGAGCGAGATAAATTCTATAAAAATAAAAATTAAAAATAGAATTCGATAGCTTGATTTTAAACAATAGAAAATGACCCTCGCTGGACACACTACGAAATAATTACTAAGTTTGAATGAATTCAAGTATCTTCTACAATACTTATCTCGTAGTAATTTTCCTTATGAGATGGATGGGCTTTGGGATTACTTTATTTGTTACACGCCATTGGATTTGGAGTAGATAGATAGATAGATCAAGCTAAACAAAACAGTTCAGATTACTCACTCACTACTACCACGCAGAATAAATACTAAAATATAGGAAAAAAATTAAATAAAAACCCTTAGCGTCCTGACTAACCACCCAGGAAAGAAATCCCAAAAAGTCGAAATATCCCAAAAACAACAAACAAACAAAAAATTTCCATAATAAATAATCAAATACCAAATAACAACAAAAACAAACACTTACCCATCAAATCAACCAACTAACCGGCAAACACAACACAACAGGCAAAGCAGGCAAGGGTGCAGGGGAAAAGGGATAGATACACGATTTCGCCGGACGAGTGCGTCCTTCTCGTTTACCTGGATATGTGATTGGGGAGGTGAAACAAACGCACAAAAAACAACATCAAACGACCCTGCAGGCAAAAACTAGAATAGAAGGACCGAACAGGATCTACCTAGTCTGGCCTTCTTTAAACGACACCTGGTACCAAAAAAAAACGAGTCACACGACTCGACACTCTCCAAAAAAAATGTGTATAATATCGTAGAAACGAGGGGATATCCGAAGAATGTTAAAAAAAAAGAAGTAATAAATAAAATAGATAGCAAGAAAATTGACCGTCATCAACTCCTGCCGAGAGAATTTTTTTTCTTAAAAAAAAGACAAAGACTAGGGAACCCTTCCCTTTCTGGGTTTTCTGCAATTCCACAGACAACTTACTTCAACTTCGGCTTGCTGTTCGTCAGTTCGTCAAACCCAAAGAGCCAGACGCCCGTAACATGCTTCGCAGAAGAGAAAACGGAGCCGAAGGGAACCCAGGAAACGAGAGTAGTGAGAAGAAAACTGAGAATAAATCCAAACCAGATTAGATATTGTAAAAAGAAAAAAGATGGGCATCCAAATTCGCGCGACAACATAGCGCAATTACTCCAACACAGACATACCAAACTTTCGCTGTCTCAACCTTCATATCGTATCTCATACAGCGGGATATTGTCATCACACCAAATCGCCCCTTGGTCGGGCGAGGATCCGGCCATCACCAGGAGATACTGGTTTATTTCTTCAAGATGGCCTCATACAGGCTGGCAACGACGCCAATAACGGCGCCGGTGACGAGACCTGGCCACTGCCCGGGAATCGCCACGTTCACCCTTTCAACAGACAAGGGGCTGTAGATGTCCCAGAAGGTGAAGTTGTTGGCGTACACCAGGTACGCGACGAGTGCTTTGGCAATATTGTACACGAGCGGGTCAAAGCTCGTTGCAGCGGCCGTCGCCGAAGTCGAACGGCGAGTGCCGTAGGCATGTGTGCCGGCTTGGGCTCGGTGGCTCAGGTTGAAGAAGTACGCGAACGTCAGAGGCAGGACGAGACTGGTGAGCGCCCACAACGAGGCCGGTGCCCAGAATGAGCCGCTCAGCAGCACGAACAGATCGGGGACTTTGATGCCGAACTCGGGCAAGCGCAACGCGTCGAGCGCGGGCACTGTCGTCAGGAAACGCAGCGGCACCAGCTCGCGAAGCAACCCGAGCCCTTCCAGGGCGATAATCACAGTGTCGATCGACTTGACACTGCTCAGTGTCGCGCGCAGCGCATCGGAACGCTCCGACACTCCGGACGCCGTCCATGCGTCGGAGAGGCTCTTGCGGACAATGGTGGTCTGACGATCAATGGCTTCGGTGACGATGGCCGGTGACGGCGGCAGGGAGCTCGCAAACGACAGCGGGGAGCGAGCAGGGGTGCGCGACGGGGCCACCGATGTCGACGCGGGGGTCTTGTCGGCCGTGTCGGAATCGTCTCTATTGTCACGGTGGTCAGCTATCAGGCATATCTGTTCCACAGCCTTGCGAAAGAGGCGACGCGACGCGTCAGGGTCAAGGTAAGGCTTGGCGCAGAGGTGACAACAAAGGAAAAGATGGGTACACACGTCGCATCAGTTTCTGCCTTGGTCTGTCGTCGGCGCGAGGGCCTTTTCGTCTCGTCTCCAGGCGCGGTCGTGTCGGTCTTGGGCTCCTTCTTCACGGGCGACGAGACACGACCGGGCTGCGATAGGCGCCGGTAGTATTCAGCAAGTCTCTTGTCTCCCGAAAAGATGGAGCTGTTGGCACGCAGATGCTCGTCCAAGGCGACTTCGAGATCTGCCTTCTTCAGGTCCTCGTAACTGGATAGCACCGGGTTAGTCAACAGGCCGAGTAGCGATCGCGCGCACGTACTCCTTGAGGTCAGACACCTCCGCAAGCGTGACTAAGTCGACCTTGCGCAGGCTGCGCAGATAGGGCATAGCAGCAGACATGATGGGCGAGCAAAGAGGAGCTTCTGGATCGCGTGGACCATGCGACTGAGCGCGTCAAAGCGGAAGAAAAATCTCGAGGATAGCAGCGGAGAGCAGCAGGACACGGAGGCGGCGGAGGGGATACAAGACGCGATGCTATCAGGGGGGTGATGTGATGGTTATGGTTCGTGGAGGAGGGCAGCGAGAACAAAGTCCGGCGACGGCAGAGAGCTCGTGGGGCTAGGGGGGATCAGCCAACCGGAGCCGGCGCCTGCGGACGGCTTGTTTACATGCTGCTTAGCGTGTTTTCCTCCGCGCCGCAACGCCCGCCTCGTGAAGACGTGGAGTAAACAGAAGAAGTGTCTTACGGAGTATTCATCAAATATGGCATATAGTCATTACCTATGTGGTTGCTATTGTACGCTGAATGACCAGCTAAACAATGGACTCGCTCCAGCTCAATTAATCGATACATTCAAGTAATGCCAATGGGAGATCTATGAATGCCCCTATTCAGCCCTATAGTACAGACCAAGAAAGAGAATCTACAACTCTATTCCCGTAACTGGACGGTGCAAAAATGATGGCCGATTGCTGGCAGAAATGACCATCCCCTTCCCGGAACGCCCAAGTATGCCTCCACCGTGCGCGAAGTGTACGTGCCTCTCGGCTGCAGGTAGGTGGTGGGTAAGGTCCAGTCAAAAAAGCCCATGCGAAAGGTTACGTAAGTATACAGCTGCCGCCGCCAAGTCCGGTTGCAGATCGAGAGTTCCTCTGCTGCATACGCAGAGTCCTTATAGCAGGCTCAAGTCCTTCAAGCTTTGAAGTGACTCGAGCTTTTTCAGTAGATATTGATACAACACCAGCATTGTCCCACTCTGGACGCTGGTCCACAAGGCGCGCGGCCCGACTCCACGGAACCAGCCCAAGACGCCTTCGGTCTTGTAGATGAGTTTGAGACCGGTGATCACAGACGACGTGTCTAGTATGGCAGCGCCAGGCTTGACCGTCGCGGTTGACGGAGACGAAGTCGAAATAGGTCGCGAAGGAGTACGCACTGTGGAAGGACTTGATGAAGAGGAGGAGGAGGAGTGGGACGAAGGCGGTTTCGTTGATGTCTCCTTGGCTGGGGACGACACCGGCTTGGGAGTAACCGGGTTCTGCTGGGTCTGGATCCTGGTCTTGACCACATCCAGCGGACAGGTCAAGACCCCTGCCATGCCACCGGCCGTGGTCGCGGTCAGAATTTCCAGACCAAGACCGATATCCCGGTGGCCGACCCATTGTTTGGCCCATTTCTGTTCCTGCTCGTAGAAGGCGAACTGTAGGGCTGAGAAAGGCAGATCTCGGAAGAGAGTCGCCTTATAGCCGTAGAACATGGCCCCGAATCCTTCCTCACGAACAATGGTCCGGAACGCGTCGGCTGTCGACCGGTAATTGTACCCGGAATTGAAATAGGGGTTGTTGTACCTCCCCTGAAGCTGAAGACGTGTTTTCAACACCTCAGAAGGGACGTAGATGACTGAGGCAGCCAAATCGGCAACAAAACCTATAATGAAACAAATGATTGACGTCAGGAATCGCCATCACTGTTAACTCATGTCTCCCCCCTTCAACACCCCAACGATGGAGAAACCTTACCACTAGTCAAATACGATATGCTCGGTGCAATCCCCACGTCGATCATATGTCTCTTGGTGTACTCATAGACCCCAAAGAAAATCACCGTCCCGGGAAACGAGCCCAGCAACGCAGGAGTCACTCCGCTGTATAGTCCTCGCCGGATTCCTTCTTGTCGGAAAATGGTCATGTACGAGGATGACATCGAGGTATACTTGGGCGGGATATGGGGATCGCCCTGCTGTCGCGTCTTCACGGTATCGAGGGAATGCATCAACATATCCCCGCTGGTGCCGCCGATGCCGCCAGCCAGCATGGACTGTAGTCACCAAGTTGAGGCAGTCAGCCATGACAAACTTTTTTTTTTTTGAGAGAGACACGAAACATCCACAAGGGGGGCAGCAGACAAAAAAGGTGCTAGCAGGGTAATAATCGATCAAGGTGTAGTTGAATTCTGGCGACTGAGGAGAGGCAGAGCAATCGCCCGTCTCAGGTTACGGACGGGATGGACATACATGTAAATATGGCGGACGATGGTCATCTTCCACGTCCTCTATTTTCACCTTCCTTCGCAGTGTCCTGTCGCTTCCATCGTGAGCCCCAGAATGCGGTCCATGGCCTCGAACAACATCGTGTGACGTCTGTCTTGTCGTCGTCGACGGCGTCAATTGCGTGACATGACTGCGATCGCCGTCCGGAGAGGGGAGCGGCCCGGACGAATCCGCCGATGTCGAAGGAGGCTTCGATGTAGTCAGGAAATTAGTCGTCGGCCGCGAATCGAGGCTCATGGCAAGAGAGCGTCGCGGCCCGTGCCCGTTTCACGGTGCGTACGGGGGCACCAAGGCGAGTGCGACTGTGATTTTCGGAATGAAGCGGCGTGCCTGGTGACTGAGTAGGCGCCACCGGCGGAGGTGGATTGGAGTGGATGAGAGGGATATAAACAAGGGAAATGGAGAAAATAACAACTAGTGAAAGCCGGAAGAGAAATTAGATAACATCGTATTGACAAAGATCGGACAGAAAGACAGAAGAAAGGGTCTATTCGCATCACACGCGAGCGCCGTTTTGGCTCATCTTCAAAGTCTTTTTTCGAGAATTTTGGTCGACCTCCGGCTCGGCACGGCGATCGATTTTCTCCGACGGCTCCTTGACCCTGGGCCCTCTTGCCCAATCAGACAAGAGCTATGATGGCATTTGTCACCTATCTATCGACTTACGATGGCAGCTTCTGCCGACCAAAGCCATCTATCTCGTTTTTCTCTATGGCTCTGATCACTCCAGAGAGACGCGCAGAATTGCACAAGCACAAAAGTTTCTGTACAGCACGCGCCCAACGGACGTGGCACGAGGATTTCGAACAATCGTATACGAAACCGCAAACCACAAGGTCAAGCCAAACCCTCACACACGCAATCAACACGCCGACCCTTCTCTGAAACAAAACATGAAGTAGCAGACCAGCTCAGGAAGAACTGTTCTTTGACAGGACACAATGACAACTAAGTATGACGCTTCGATTCCAAACTCCAACTGCGAGAAGGTTTTCCTTCATAAAACATAAGCCATTTGTAGTAGCAAGTACAAAAGTGACGAAGTAGCCCCCCAATTTTCATCGCAAAGGTAGTGTCAGCCATTTTGATGCTCCTTGCAAAATGACCATCCTCTTCAATCCCCTTTGGAAGTCTTTCCAATCACGGAGACTAGATTGATTGATTGATATTATATTCGTTGGCCGTTATTAATTTCGTCAAGAATTGCTTAAGATTGTCCAGGCGGGAGGTTGAAGCTGCGCGCAAGATAAAAGCCGGACACAGATCGTGTTCAGCCGTCAACCCCCACCTACGTGGCGAGCACTCTACTGGGGCTTCTTGCCGGCAGGCGAACCATAGCCTCCAACATAGCGTTTCACCTCTGTGGCCTCATATGCCTGGCGCACAATGCCCTTGAATGTTTCCCATCCCTGACGAACCTGCGGAGGCGTGCTTTGGTGGGAGATCGAAGTGTCAATCCTCGCAGTGGTGTGCGCGACAGCACTCTGGACGAAAGTGCTCTGAGAGTATCTCGCACGGAAGAAAGACAGGTAGATCAGGAGCAGAACCCAGCTTCCCCTGGAGAAGGTGAGTGCCGACAGGACGAGGCGGAGCAGAAGACCGAGCTCGAGTGATGCAACGAGGTACATGCTGCTGTCATAGTACTGCTTGACGAATTTTCCAATGGTATCGGCAAGAGGAGACTGCTTGGCAGCGGCTCTGGGAGAAGTGGGGGAGGCTGGACCGGCGGCATCCTGCTTTGGTGGCTGCAGAGTGGGAAGCAAGTAGGTCCGGGTATACGTAGCGACGTGGAAGACCGAGTACACGCTGAAGGGCAGGAGAGCCAGAGGAATCTGGCGGGAGTACAGCCACACGAGGGCCATTCCTGTTGAGCGTTCATGAGCTAAGGGCACTTGCCAGTTGCTTGGAGCCAGATTTGGGGGTACCTACCGAGGTACTGCACATTTTCATCGCCCAGCAACTTGAAAACGATGTTGGGAATACCTCCCGTAAGCTTCCCTCGGGCGATATACTGTTTGTAGACGACGATACCGTAGGTCACCGCCGCAGCAATAAACGCCAAGCGATACGAGATCTTCGTCGAGTTGGAGTAGTAATTGAAGGTGAGGTAGGACAGGGAGTAGCGCAAGACCGAGAGAAGCAAGGTCAAGTGGCTGTAGATAGGTCATCAGCGATCTCTTGCATTTCAATCGGCAAGCTACTTGACGAGACTTCGAAGTAGGGAATTGGCTACCCGACTCAGAAGCCTTCAAGGTATGGCAAAAAACGAGTGCGGAACTGGAAGCAAAGACATACCCTACAAACCAACCGAATCTGGTGTCATATTGGTCAGTTTCTGGGACAACAAATGCAAAGATTATGAGGATTATGGTAGGAACATACTGCAATGTCTGAGCCAAGGCCTTGAGTCTCTCGCCCAAAGGCAAGCTGGCTGGAGGTGGAGGAGCCATGATGAAGGTGACACACGGATGGACAGCTTTACAAAGTGAGGACAGCCAAGGACAAGGGAAGAAGAACCACCAAGAAAAAACGACTGGGGAGGAACAATGGAATTATTGACTGAGGACAAAGGACACAGAGCGACAGAGAGGAGCAGACGGGGCAGAAACTTGGGTGGTGTCTGCTTGTGGGCTTCCTCGTTCGCTTTGCTGTGCTGAGCTGTGCGATGCGGTGCGGAAGAGAGAGGCTGGCAACATGGTTATGGATGCATCGGGGAAGGTGGCCCTTCCGGTCTTCAGCAGACGCGGCTGAGCTGGGCACCAGCAGCAGCGCTGATTCGCTACCGACAAACCTACATGAAATCTGGCTGATGCGCACGGCACTCCAGCCACAGATGCGGCGATGATGCAACCACTCCGATCTGCTCATGCTGCAGCAGAAGTGTCCATTATACTCCACATGAGCTCTTTTCTCTGCAGGACTAATCGACTTGCAATCTTCTGCCAGTCTGTGTCATACAATCTATGTAAGATAATTAAGCCGGGATTAAGGTTCAACGATGGAGTATCATAGGATTAATGATAGCATCAGAACCTCTCCTGAGTCTCCTCGTTTTCAAACCAATGAAAACCGTAACAGCGAGAATTATAGCAAACTAGCTTCCTATTAATTAAGTTTGGTGTGGCCTCGATCTGCAGAACGGTCCTCGAAGCCCATTCGTCACAATTTGAAATCACAAGCCCAAGTACCTAACACACATCTATCTTGCCAAGGTTCGAACAAGGTAGATATAGATACTAGGCAAGGTGACAGTAAAATGCGTACGTGGACTCAACTGGCACCAAAGGATAAAACATAACTACGCAAATACTAATGATAGCACGAGACAAGGACGGTCACGAGGGTGAGGATCAAAAATGATGTACTAACACCTTAAGAACACAGCAGGAAAAAAAAAGGAGAAAAAAAAGGACCAGACAGAGGAATAGAGGTATAACATAGGCCAAAAGTACATGACAAGAAGAAAAAAAGGTGATCGGACGTCGGGCTTGAATAGAGTCTGCAGCAGTATCTCCCTGGGGATCGAGACCGCCCACCACGCATAAGATATGCAGAAACGACTCTGAAATGTCCAGCTCGTCTCATATTGACAACCCTAGTATTAAAATCTTTTCTCTTCGAAAGACGTTCTTTTTCTTCGGTCAGCCCGATTCAGAAACAGTCATTACCGGAAAGAGATACGAGGAAAAGGAGAGGCGAATGAGCGTAAGTGACAAGGAAAAAGAAAAAAAACGAAAAGGGAAAACGATTGACAAGGAGTGGTCGATCAATCGACAGATGGGAAGAATCAGGCTGTAAGCTCCCTGGCGAGTTCCATCCGTAGCAATAATCCACACCCTCGGTTTGCTCGTCGCATTGCAGGCATGGTTTTCGGAGGTCCGGCGGTTCGGCCTCTAACGGAGCGAGAAACCCTTCCTCTTGCCCTTTTCTTCGAGGGGTCTTCCGCTCTCGAGACGAGCCTTCTTCTCTTCCAGTTCCTGTCGCTGCCGTTCTAGCTGTTCCTTCATCTCGCGGTGGCGAGCGTACAACTCGTCCTCGCTCTGTTTCAGCTTGCTTTCCTTTTCGCGGACCTTCTGTTCGAAGACCGCCTTCATCTCGGCCTCCATCTTGGCAAGCTTCTGTTCGTGCAGAGCACGCTCTTCTTCCTGCTTGACCGCCGGGTTGACCTCCTTGAACACGCTCGGGTCCTGGGCAACACCCATCTGGGTGAGCTTGTCCGAACGGTAGTTCTCGTACAGAACGTTGTTGGTGTGCTCCTTGAGCTCCTCCATGTGGGTACGGATGAGCATCTGGCGCAGCTTGACGAAGTCGCAGTGTTCCTCGTTGTCGACCTCGATGACACCCCATGGGTAACTACGACCACGAACCTTGCGGCCATCGGGGGTAGTGACTTCGGTGTTGGCACCAACCACGGCGAAGGGCACTTTAGACATGATCTCCTGGTTCTCGGCAATCGTCTCTTCATCGTCGAGTTCGTAACGAGGGCCCTCAAAGATCTGGATGTTGTGGTGCTGGATATCGGCCAGAATCTATAGTAGAGGTTAAAAAAAAAGTCAGTTTGAGCACCACAGATTGCAGACAAAAAGGGGAAACAGGGCCGTACTCTCTGCTTGAACAGAGCAACCTCCTCATCCGTCAGGGTATCAGCCTTGGCAATGACGGGGATCAGGTTCACTTTGGTGTGCAGACGACGCATCACCTCGATGTCGAGCGGCTTCAAAGAGTGGCCCGTGGGCTGGATGAAGTAGACACAGGCATGCACACGGTTGTCAACAATGTTCATCCGGTTGACCCTGTTCTCCGCCTCGAGATAAGCATCGAAGCGCTGCTCAATGTTCTCGACAATCGGGCGCCAGGAGTCATCGTTGTTGACGAAGTCACCGAAGCCAGGAGTGTCCACCACGGTCAAGCGGAGACGGACACCATTCTCTTCGATGTCGGCGCTGATGGACTGAATCGACACGGTCTTGGGAATGATGTCGTGGCTGGGGCCCTTGCGTTCCTTAGGAGGGTAGAGAGACGTATTGAACAGCGTGTTGATCAGAGTCGACTTTCCCAGTCCAGACTCACCTACGGAGAGAAAGACGGAGTCAGCTAAACAGCCAAGGCGCCCTTAGAACCGACCTCCTACTTACCAACAACCATGACATTAAAGTTGAATCCCTTGCGGACACTCTTGCGGTGCCACTGGTTGGGCAGGTTCGCGAAACCGACGTAGCCGGTCAACTTACGGCGGACGACATTGCGCATGTCGGTAGCGGCCTGAGCGACGGCCTTCGGATCTTTGGAGCTCACCGTCTGGGCGTTGCCTGCACCACCCATAGGGTTGCTTCGTTCGACATAGGGCGAAGTGGGCTTGCTAGAGGTGCTGGAGGCCTTGTCGGCCTGCGCCGTGGAGGAGCCGTTTGCAGTGGTAGCTGTCTCGACGTCAGCATATTGATCCATGTCGCTCTCATCAGTATCCAGCAACGTCGGAGATGGGAGAAGAGGCGCAGATCCGCAAGAAGATGATCTGTTCAGTCTGGGGATCCGAGAGCGGGGACTGTGATGACTATGGCTTCCACCGTCTGCGTTTGAGCGGATCTCTACGACGACACGGTATTTGGAACGGCCCATCGTCCTCCAATCACGCAACAGGAGAGCTCCCCCAGACGGGCGGTATACAGCAGCAGACAGACAACAAAATCACCGACAATCGCAAGGGGCACAATAGGTGGATAACCGAAACAATGGTGGTTAGGAAATATTTCGCAGGCTTACCCATGACTGTAAGGGAAGTAACCTAGGTCAGCTGGAAAACGAGCGTCGGGAAGGCGAAAGTGCGGAGTGCAAAGTGAGATCCCCTGAATCGCAGCTTCTCCGTTAGCCACGAGTCTGCAGCAGATATATTTGGAAACGGATGAAGAAAGTGTGTTCTGACAAACACAGTGGAATGCCCGTTCTGAGACAGAGGAAATTTCTAAATGAGGTAGGAATGATGTTGAGACTGCTGGGGGTGAAGAAGCATACGTCAACGCCTGACGACTTACCGTGATGGAGAGAACACGGAGTTCTAAGACACGATGCACTCAACAGGGGACGAAAGTTAAAAAAAGTAAAGTCCGGACAAAATCTCACGCACCGTGTGTTGAGAGATTATTCTCCAACGGTGCTGTTGACTGTCTAAACGGACAAACAGGTAGAACGAAAGGGGGGGGAGGGGAACGGAAGAGAAAGAGAGACGGGCACGACTCAGGAGAGCGAGGGAGTGCGTGTAGGAGTTGTCAAGAACAGGAGCGTTCTGTTGTGAAGAAACCGGGCGCCTTAGTTCGATTCCTGGACGGCGCTGGACCGCGGGTGCTCTAGACAAGAGGGAGGGCGAGAGAAAGGGGCTGCGTCTGCTGCGGGTGCGCGAAGCCGCTTGACCTTGAGGGGTAGGAAGGAAGGAAAGGGAAAGGCGCTAAGGGCCTGCCACCAGCTCCAATGGAGATTGGCGGAGCTGGCAGCTTGCAGAGCTAACAAGTGACCGTCTCCAGAGTCATCCAAGTCACGGGGTGGGTTTGGACAGGATGCAGGTTTCAGTGCATATGGACTACAGCAAGTAAAACCCAACCGCATGCGATTTTTAGTACCCAAGCATATGTCGACATCATCGATTCTGTCCACTGGCCCAGGACTGAGCCCAGCATCTTAGCTTTGCTACTTGCAGCTGTCAACAGCTGTGTAACGCCAACAAATCCATTGTTTTCTCCCCTTGGGAGACCATAATTAACTAGATAGGTAACACCTGTCAAAATCCATGGATATACAAGCACTGTTGAGGCTATAGCATACTGTGTACCTTATGCCTCTCAGTGGACGTGGGAGGGTTAAGAACTCACCTGCCTCCAGGATATCAAGGGTCCACTGGGTGAGGCTCTCGTGGAACTGGAATGCAGCGTGGAGACACAGCATGGCCATTGCCATCTTGACCATGATTCTTGATACTCAGCATCTACAAGATCATTTTTTACTGGTGCTAGAATAATACTACAACTGAGCAAGAATATTACTTTCCTTCTATTCCCTCTCCTCTGCTGAGTTGTTTCTCTCTCACTTCCAATTTTTTTTTTACTTTTTTCCTAACTCTCGAACAATAAGAATTACCCCGACTCAGGGGAAGGTTGAAACGTAGAGTTTCCGATCGTAGCTTTTTTTAATTAGCACTTGCGTTCTCGGGTAGAAGCGTTCAAAGCCAGGGGGTGAAAATCATAGAAAAAATACCTCCAGAAATTCGGGTCTGGAAGCTTCTGGCCCAATCAGCAGGAGGTCACGGGCTCAGACGGTTCAGGCCGCCCGCTTGGTGGGCGGAGATCACGCGTTGGCCCAGCGGCCAGCGACCAGAGAGGAATGGGCTGGGGCGTGTTGGCCAGTGAGGAAGCAGCCTCTAGGCCAGCCGGGAATAATAATAGGTCTATCATCTTTTGCCTTACCTATCTCTACTAAACTCCAAAGGCTAATTTGAATCCTGACCCTCCCCGTGTTCTGAGTACTTGATGTATTTATGACGGAATATATACTCCGTACGGAGTACTCTGTCCAGATGTACTGGACATAGTGAAATCAACCCTATGGACAACTATCAGCTATCAACGGCACACTTGATAATTCACTACAGACTTCTTGATTAATTCTGGCTGTAGATTTTCATCCTGCCGTCCTATATACATAACCGTATGAATGGGGTTTTTACATACGTGTCCTGCCATTTCGAATCATTTACAACAAATCTGATTCATCCACTACATCTGCAGTGTAGCCTGCAGCTTGCCGCTTTCTTCTCCCTCTTTCTCATTTTTTCTGTGAAGGGTCAGGTGCCAGTGCCACCAACCCCACTCGAGCGCTATTGACAAGAATGTTTCAGATTATTTTGCGAGGCTGTCATTTTTGTTTGACACTTGACGATCTATATGGAATGCGCTTTGATAAATACGTACATTCATGCAGGTTGACATATATAGAAAAAGGTATCTGTGTTCGCGATAAGTGAGAAACGCAGCAACCTCTCGTGAAGGAGTCGAGAAATATAGGCAAGGGAAAAAAAAAGGTAAACACCAAGTTGGGAAATTTCATGAAAATCGTTTCAGTTTCGTTCCTCATTTCAGCAGCCGTTCCCAGAACCAGTGGTAGAGTCTGCGCCATTCTTCCGCTTCATCCTCGACATATTCGCCCACCATCTCGGCCAGCTCATTCGTGTCTTCTGGTGAATAGGAAGATCCACCATCCGTGGTGATATCCACTGACACAGTCGGGACCGTTTCGCTCTCTGTGACAGTGACTACTAGATCTTTGGCCCCTTCTCGAGCTACGTCTGCGTACTCCTCTGCCTGCTCGTGGACTCGCTGCAGGAGCTCCTCTGGAGTAGGGTAGCGGCGTAGGAGAACAAGAAGGGCGTAGTAGGTGTTAACGATAGCGGAGTGCACCACGTCCTTGGTCAGCATAGTAATACCGTGAGAGAAGAAGCCCTTTAGAACTTCGCCCAACAACCCGTCATAGAGAGCCCCAACGCCTTCCTCAAGAGCGATGGTGTGAAGGGTCGAGAAAATGGTAGGAGAAACGGACGACCGAACTCCATCTCGTCCATTATCTTGAGTCGCTGTGTCGTCTCTAGAACGGGAATCACTGCCATCGGTCTGTGCTCGCGTCTTCGCCAGTGAGAATGGATATGTGATGGCTGAGGCAATCGCCTTGCTCACTGCCGCCAGTAAAAAGGTTACTGCGGCAGACGGCTTACGACGCCGGTGACGTGGGAGCAACAAATACTTCAGCGTTTCATTGAGGAAGAAGGTGATCGATGGGTTGAGGGTCAGGATCAGTGATGCCGAATATCCAGACCAGAATCCAGCGAGTCCCTTCTCCGCACGGATCTGAGCTGCTATCTCCCTAGTGGACGCTGACGACGACCTGGAATCTCCGATCACTGCTGCCGTCTGCTTCCTCGTGACGATATTTGCGAGCGGAGTCGTCCACAATTTCGCGAACGCGCCCGCGATGATCCCTATAGCCAGCTCATCCAAGACAGGCAGAACCGCGCTCCTTTTACCTGCCGCGCGAGCCCTCGACTTGAGCCTCCGCTGTCGCAGGAAAGTATACGCAAGGAAGAACAAGAAGGAGTCTGCGATGGTCTTGCCCATATCTTGGCCAACACCGGTATAGAAGCCCGCAATCCCTCCTTCATTGGCATAGATCTTGCGTGCAGCATCCAAGAGGCTCGAGTATTTTTCTCCTTGACCATTATCCGCACCCGCACGTTCAGCTTCGGCTCTCCTTTTCTTTGCCGCCATCCGCTGCGCCTGCATTCTAGCCACAATCAGGCTCAGCGGATACGTCGCCAAGTTCGATACTGCTGCCCCCGCGGCACCAGCAAGGGCATGTCCCAATGCAGGGAGGGCTGGACCGCGGAGGGCTGCAGCTTTCCAGTCTCCATTCCGTTTTGGGCGCTCTGGATATCGGTAGTAGAACTCAAAGACATCCTGTTCCCAAAGGACAGAAGGATAAAGTCAGTCATGTTGCGCTTGCCAACCGCACAAAACGCAGAAATTGCTTGAAGACATACAATCCGTGTTCCGTAAATCGACTTATCGTCCGCCATTGTTGTTGTGTTCTGAGTAGACTCTTACCAAGCAGGTAACAACCAGCAACACGTGCGTTGTGAAAATCGATAACGAAAATGCCGAGGATGTAGCTCGACAAGCGAGGTGGATCCGAAAATTGCTGACAGCACACTCACTCGCAAAAATGAGCTCAGCTGCAAATGAATTCCACACGACAATAGGCGATGAGGGGGATGCGATGGCAATGACAAATGATGCCGGTTCAGTAGCGTACTACCGAGGAGCTAAAAGTGGATGCTTGCCTTCAGCAATAACATCCTCTTTTCGCGTTCGATGTCAGGTCGAACAGCAGTGCAGGGCTAATTAGCTAATTATTAGCCAGTCCAGAGCAAGAGAGAAGGTCATATCAATCACACCCACTTAGAAGGGGATCAAACGGTCGACGACTGTGTTGTCAAGCTCAAGGGAAGCTGGGAAGGTGGAGCGGTAAATAACGTCATTTGCGGGTGGAGGTGGCCTGTGCACAATCAGCAAGCTTCTGGGGAAACAACACCGAGACAAAGAAGTGCTTCTAGAGTCTAGACCAGACCACTATACAATTTTCATAATCACACAACCATCGATGTTTACCTCTTGAATTTCCAAAACAGAGAATCCTTTATCAATTGAAGCTAACTGATGATGATAAAAGTAATAAATATTAATAACTGGGCAGCCATTGTTTCGATGACCACCCGGAGATGATGCTTATGGTATCCTGGTACCGGATCCTACCGTAGAGCAAAGAAACAAAATAAGCGAAACCGGAGGAAATGAAATAAAATAAATAAAATAAACAATAAAAAAGGTAAGAAAAATGAAAAGAGCTCTAATTCAAGATCAACTGCGAAAGATTGCAATATATGGCAAAATAGAGAGATTCGTCAAATCAGGATTCCCGTCCAATTGAAAGAATTCTATTGAGGACAAAGGCAGGCAACCCTCATATATTGGCGATCATGTCGTGTCCAGCATGATCTCCAATCTTGAATGTGAAATGGGTGGTCAGGTCCATTGAGAGTAGCATTTATCGTGAACATGGGCGTTTTCGTCTCTAAGTCTTATCCGCAGTAAGACCGATGTAGATCGTTTCCAGGAAGGAGATAGATTGCATCCGCTCTCACACCGTCTCCATCATCTCGCTCCCTGTTCTTCGCGATGACTTGTTAAATGTCGGATTGACATGTCTGCATTAGTTGCGCACAGTTCGTGCATAGCAGAAGTCCACAACCCACGGCAGACGGTGAAGATGGACAAACAGGTTCCTGGAATTTATCGACGGACTGGATAGTGGTGCAGCCGAAGAAGGCCGGATTCGGACACAGCATGCACCAGGGGTTGATCTGTTTTGGCCCTTGAGGCCTGCTTTTGTCGCCGCTGTTACCGCTGTCCGGAAGAAGTGGAGCTAAACTGTCGAATGCCGCGTCGTAGTCGAAGTTCAGCGGATCGTATCCTTGCAGCGCAGAAATAGTGTGTTCGCGGCAGTTGACGATATGAATTCGCTCCAGGGCACAGATGGCGCACATTCGGCTGGGTTCGTGGCCCTGGCCCACATGCCCTCCCTCAATTTCGACGAGTCCATCCTGATCCTCGTATTCGATCACTTCAACTTTGACCTCTCCCAGACCAAAAATGCCGTACGTGAAATCATTGCACCAATGGCAAGGTTTCGAGTCGTCATCGTCCGGAGGCTCGTAGGCAAAGTTGATAGGGTGTGCAAAAGACATCGTGATGACGCGGGTCCTGCCTTGCTTACCTTTGGGTGTGTTGGTGACATGTGGAGGCTGTAACTGAATCTTCTCCGGTGGCTGCTGCGGTGGTTCTGGAGTGGCTTTGATCAGATTGTTAGGATCCCATGGCTTTGAGAGCATAGACTCTAGCCGCGCTCGACTCTCTTTGAGGCGATGACTCGGAGTCTTAAAAAGGCAACTGGTTGGCTGAAACCCTTTGACACCGGGCAAATTTGCACAAACCGAGAGCGAATGTAGTGAATTGATCGAATTCGTCTCGGAGAGAGATGACTGCGAAGATTGCGGCAGTAGGGAAACGGAGGAAAAGGGCGAACATGGCGATTCTTTGTCTGATGCGTCCACAGTCGATGGATCAGACTGGTGCCTATCGTCTGCCGGTCCAGCAATACATTGCAATTTGGCCTTCTGACATTGCTGACAAGGAAGACGGTGATCTTCCTGTTCCTCGTCATAGGAACAGACGAGCCCCTTTCTTTTGCAATTTTCGCAACCACGCTTCTGTCCTGGAGGAATGATGAGGTCACAGTCCACTTGATCTTCTCTACATACTTGGCAACGGTAGAACAGAGGTCGATCTAGAAGCGAACACTCCTGATTGAATTCCCAACAATTCTTACATCCTCGAGCTGCGGGATGGTCGGGATCTAGACTCAGTAGACTCCGCGTACTTCGAGGCTCAGATCCGCTTCGGGCGTTCCGGGGAATGGGAATATTGTCACGACTGCGAAGTGAGTGCCGTCCTGACGACAACGTCGTTGGGAGATAGGGTTGACTACCGGCAGAGAAATGACCATCATCGTTGTCCAGACCGCGGTTGATGGGAAAGGCGATTTTGGAGAGAAGAGACCTGCCTGTAGCGGATGACAGCTTTAATGTGATTGGAAGAGTGTCACGTTGTCTGGTGGACGACAAGCCATTTTCTTTCCGTCTTTTCGCGGGTCTCTCTTGTGCCGAATTGGTAGGCGCAGGTCGCTTCTTGCGCAATGCTTGACGAGGGTCATAATCGACGTCGGAATCGTTATTATCAGTTTCATCAAGCAAATCTAGCACCTTGTCGTGATATGGTTCTCTAATACGCAAGTCGTACTTGGATTTGATGCAGTCCTCGAGATGCTTATGCGGCAAACCGCACTTGCTCAGCCTTCGTTTAGACTTGCGGAAAAGTCTCAAGGCTTGTTCGAGTCTCTCCATTGTATAAGCCATTGCACAGTGGTGACCCCGAGTGAACATGGTGGGATTCAAAGCGCGGAGTGCAAGAAGTTCAGTTGATAGTAGACTGATCGTAAGATGAGTGGCAAGGGTAGGGCGAGTCGACAATCGTCCTTCTCACAGCGCATCAAGTGGAAGTGTGAGAGCTGCCTCAATCGAAACTGAATTACTGACTCAAATGTCTCGTCTCTCTCACACATCTCTGTGTTCTGCTTGGACATTAGGCGTTGTAGCTCTTACTTTCCAAACCTAGTCTGATACTACTGGTGGCCAGAACTGATCACTTGGTTGAGAATTCTGTGGGAAAGATGGCATTTTTCATTGATTTAAACTAGAATTGTGACTAGAGGTCTTGAAAGTAGGATCGGACAGAAACCTAGTGAGTCTTCCTATAGTTCCAATCGTACCTCGACCCAGAAAGACTATAACCCAAGACCGACCATCCAAAACCCCCGTACCCATTGCGGAAAAGCCAACCCAAGAAAGGAATAATCAAAGCCGAACGTTAACCCATAGGAAATCAAGCCGTCGACCAAGAACTGAGAAAATACGTGAAAAGAACGCCATAGCCATGTTATACGTTGACAAAAACCAAGACTAGGCGCAGAAACGAACAAATTTCGGGAGGCAACGCGTTTAGCCACCGAAACCGTACAGAGTACGGCCCTGGCGCTTCAGAGCGTAGACGACATCGAGGGAAGTGACGGTCTTGCGCTTAGCGTGCTCAGTGTAGGTGACAGCGTCACGGATGACAGACTCAAGGAAGGACTTGAGGACACCACGAGTCTCCTCATAGATCACTGAATTCAAGTTAGTTAAGAGTAGGCTAAACGAGAATGGATCGCGAGTCTACATACTGGCAGAGATACGCTTGACACCACCACGACGAGCGAGACGACGAATGGCGGGCTTGGTGATACCCTGGATGTTGTCGCGCAAGATCTTGCGGTGGCGCTTGGCACCACCCTTACCAAGGCCCTTTCCGCCCTTGCCACCTGTTAAGAAAAGAAAAGGGTTAGCTTAAGAAACTACACGACAGCACGCTTTGGCTATAATCATCTCCCGTAACAACATCATCGTCGTGATGAGTGGTCACACATGTATGGGCATTGAGGTGGACAGGAGAGCGCGTGTAGAGATGATTATGTAATCAAGAGCGCCGTGGCGTCGCTCTCCCGACACGCCTCATTTGGGAAAGCTTCAGGGACAACGACCACAACCATCGACGACAACGACGCGTAGAGGACAACGATAAGGGATAAAAGTAGATACTTACGTCCAGTCATGATGAGAGATGTCTAAGCTGAAAAAATCTAATGGAAAATGTGATGGAAAGATGGTAGATCTGATGATTTGACGCGTTTCCCGGATTGGCTGTTGCAGGTGTCGCGATATGCGGGAGGTAGAAAGAGGGAAGAGAAAAGGTGAGAGAATTAGGAGGGGCGATAGCTTTAAATATGTTTTCCGGGCGGCAAAGGGGAAAGAGGTGATTTGGACGGGCGGGAGGAATGACTAAGCGTACCTAGTTGAGGCGCGAGGAGGAAGTTAAATGGAATGAAATGATTGGCGGGAAGGGACGAGAAAAAAGGGTGTTATGAAGAGCTGCTTTCCAGCCTGTGTTTAGGCATGTTAAGTTAGGCGGCCGCCTGTTCACGCGTGGGCGGGTATCCATGTCTGACAGCCGTGGATTCGGGTCACCTGGCACTAGCCTTGTTGGGTTAGGGGGACTTGGCGCCACCCCATCAAATCTGCAGATCACTTTATCTGTACCTCGTCGGAGTAGAGTGAACACCTATAGAGTGAATATCATTCAACATTATTCTTTTGTATTTTAGGGCTGGTTTTATCTGCTTTTGATCCACCATCAGATCCGCGACCAAGAGCAACACTACCCCTGGCCTGCTCAAGTCATATCCATGCCCGATCACACATGCCCTTTTGGCAGAAACTGTGTACATACATAGATCCTTTGTACATGATTTCACTGCCCGTATGGAAAACCATGACACTGGGACACAGACTGCGTGGCATCTCCTGGTGTGCCTCTGTACAGCATCCGAGTCGTCAAAAATTGGCGAACAAGTTGCTAGGATAGTGACAGGAACCCAACAACGGGTTGTCAGAAACACCCAACGCCAGAACGCCTCAAGGCAGAAAAGTTATCAACTCAGGACAGAGGATGGAGTGCATGCCATAAAATATAGAGCACAATATAACTTTTGACCTCGACTCCGGAAAACTAGAATGAAGTACTGCTGAAGAATAATGCAATCATGTGAACTGCTAAAGAGGAAAGAAGAAAAACTAGCACAAGAGTAACGCACAAAAAGAAACTGAATAAGGAGAATAAGCACGACAAACAACTCAAGCCGCCGAACCACTATACTAGACCAGCTGGAAAAAAAATTATTAAACAATAGATGACTGGAATGCATAGCAGTCATAGTGAAGTCCCACTGTACTTCCCATATAATCTGGAAAGAGGGACCATTAATAAAAATAGGGTTGCGCAGTCTAATGGGTGCATTGCATGATGCAACCAAAGTCTTCACTCACAACAAGTCCAGAGCGGAAATGAATCGACGCGTCCAGTTTGAGGTGAGTCGGGATTAAGCCATTCTGGGATCAAGCGCATCCTTTTGGACACTGGCAATGAGCCCCTTGATTAGGAAAACATGAAAATAAGACAAAAAAAAGAACTCAGCATGGACATCGGTAATTCAGAATCATCCACGGATAACATCTGGAGTTTGCGGCTCGGATAAGAATCCATTACACATAGGCTGATGGTAGGGGAAGGAGAAGATAACGGGTGAGGATGCGTCACTGGATGATGCTGATGAAGCGCCCAAGCGTGGCGAAGACTCGATGGAAATAGCGGAATCCACTTGCGAGGTAGATTCGTCACAATTCTGCCCCGCCACGGAGGAAGAGGATGACAAATGAGGGCCCTCATGATAGAAACGGGAGGGTTTCATCTCTCGAGTGGGCACGGTCCTATCTGAAATAAGCGCGCTTTTGGCAGAGCCGTACTACGATCAGTCAGTTGGCGGGGAAAAGGCTTGGGAGAGAGGAGCGGGAACACGTACAAAGCAATATTTGTCCACCAGTTCCTTATACACAGACGATTCAAGGTGTGGTTTGCTCGAAACAATGGTAGAGGGTTTCAAAGACTCAGGATGCGTCGTGTCTTTGGAGTTCCCATCCATCACTGTGGTGGGGTCTGAAGAGAGCTCGCTGCTGTCCTGCCCCGCTCCATCATCATTATGACCATTCGATCCAGACTTCGCCTTCTCAGAAAGCGTTGTCCGGTCGATAGTATTTTTACTCTGCATCACTGCAGACAATGAGACCCCAAAGTCATACCGATTTCCGAATGCCTGTCGAGTCGGCTTTTCTCTCCGTCTAGGAGCTTCCGGGAGCAAGTCATGCGAATCGGCTTGTGTCAGGTGCAATGGTGACTCGGTATAGTTTTCGCTAGTGCCTTGGGCTAAGGACGGGAATGTAGGATCGATCTCTGACGCAAAGCCGTCAAAGGACGGAGGCATCGATCGAGGTCGAGCAGCACTAGAGGTAGGTAGACTTCTGCTTCGCGGAAGCGGATGCCCATGGCGACCACTGGTGGGAGAAACTCCATGTTTTCCAGAAATGTTCTTGTATTTCTTCGCGAAATCAACTTGATAGTTCATGGAAGCATTGTTGTCCCAGAACTCCTGGCCACTGACATTGTAGCGGATGCAGACGAACATCGTCTTAGACTCTAGATTTGCCTGGTCCGCTAGTTTGATAGTGAAGTTGAACCGATCGTATCCATCCTGAGCGTGCTTGCGACGAACGTCATGGTTGTATTCCGCCGCCACTTCAGATACTGTCTTCCAATAATCAAAGGTGAACCGTGCCGCAACCTGCTTATGAAATGCAATGTTGGCAACGGCAACCACGCCCACCAGATTCTTATTGTCGGACGAAAGAAAAATGCGCTCCAGCCGAACCGGCATATGGTCTCGCGACGTCGTGTCTTTGGGGAAGTTGGCTAATCGTAACTCCCACTCGAAGGCTGGAGCTTTCGATCCACCCTCCAAGTCACCGCTACTGAATGGGAACTCCGAACCCCCACTGTAGGTCTCGACCGGGGACGTATCTGCACTCACTGCCAACGGTTTGTCAAGTTGGAGGAAGTGTTTGATGTGCTCTAGTTGAGTATCAAAGTGCACGTTTTTGGCATAGGTTGGAGTGCCTGGCATGCTCGACGGGCGTCGCCTCCTGGACGCTGGACGCAAGGCCGGCCGAACGAGCTCGCCAGACCTCTTGCAGACCATGGGAGGTTTCGGGAGCAGCTCTTCTTCCTCATCAGAAGCGCTAAGGGACTCTCCGAGCTTTGAGATGGAAGACTCTGTAGAAGACCGTGAATGGGAGATATTATGGGCCTCCACCGTGAGTGAAGGCTGGACATTGTGCGACTTATTCGGCAATTTCTCTGAAGATGAGGTCGCTGCCGTCTTTCCCACAGATCCTCTCTTATGCGGTTGCTCTGCAGTAGGAGACTGATGCACTTGTTGACAGGACCCTATCACTGTATTCAGAACCTGCCCGCTTGTGAGCTGTGACGTTGTTCCCTCTTCATCACTAGAGTTCGCGCCAGAATCCGGCGGAGAAATGACGGCTCCAGTTGGGATCATTGCATTGTTGACTGGGGATGGCGACTGCCGTAGACTCGCATGACGATTGACAGTGCTTTGGAACGGTGAAACCGCACGTTCGGTGCTTTCCAGAACTGACGGAGGGACTGGCAGGCTCACAGAGGGGCTTCTCCGGTGTCGGCGGACATAAGATGTAGAGGAGAAGGAGCAGGGACGAGGAGGAAGCCCTGACGAGGCTGAGATCGACACCGATAAGTCTTCTCGGAGAGAATGAGGATGCGGACGATCGAGGCGGGACGCGGGAAGCGACAGCTGAGCTGGCGCAGTGTAGGGCATCCGGCCAGCTTGTGGTTTAAGAAGACAGGAGCTTGTTGATACCCCTGCCGTGGAAGGAATCGAATCGGTTGCAGACAAGATGAACTTAAGAATCAGAGAAAAACTGGCAAGGAAGGCAATGTCATCACAGCCTAGGTCCAAGTTAGTGGGGTTTGTTCCCATTTCAGAGTGAAGTGAAATGTTTGTCGATATCGGATTGTTGATATCGGACAGACGAAATGTTCCATGGTGAAGGGGCGAGTACATGTAGTCAAAGAGCCAGGGGGTCACGGCGCGGACGACTGCTATGCTCTAGCGACAAAAACGGGGAACGAAACGAGGCAGGAAGATGGTTCTTATAAGGAGGAGAAAGGCAAGTATAGGGATGGTGAATTGACGGATTTGACTACCCAGATCATACGATCGGCAGGCTTGTTCCTACCCAGTTCGTACGAGAGTAACTAAAAGCAGAGCTCTTCCACGCCAAACACATGGCACAAAAGACGTAGCTGATGCGTTGATGTGGAATTTATTTCAACAAAGGACGGAAAATATCGGCGAGGGCTGTGGTGAAAGGACCCATATGGTAATGCTCCACAAAGGAACAAAGGGATAAAAGCAACAAAGAGCAATTCAATTACCTCATAACTCTGCCAGATACATAAAGGGCCTCACTTTCCAGGAGAGAGATGGAAGATGAACAGAATTGAAGGCCAACCACCCACAGACAGAGGGTGTGCGGCATTGAGCTGCTTTTGAGGCGAGCAAGTTGGGGATGAGGCGACCAGGATAAGTGATCGCCGTGCAGAGGCGGGAGGCAGGTGCTGCTTCCATGGCGGGCATCATGCGATGCACTGTGACTACAACCCAGCTACCAAGTCACTACAGAAGCTAAACTGCCCATGAAGGACCTCGATGCACCATCGATCTGGGAGCTTGGATCTTCCCTCCAGGACCGTGCGTTTCGCAGGTGGGACGCACGACTTGGTTCGCCTCCCCAGGATGAAGAAACTTGCGTGCAGCGTGGCGGGGTATCTGCGACCCGCTGCAAAGGCTGGTAAGGTAGGAGCTTTTCTTACCAGGTAACCTGTCCAGAGCCCTAAGGCAGCTGCTACCAGCAGGAGCATCCAGTTCCGGACGACCCGCCCAGCAGGTATCCGTGATACGCTCTTTCCTGCTCTGCCTCTGACCGCCAAAGACGCTTCCTGCCAATCCCGAACCAATTAATCGCCATCGTCGCCGTTCCATGAAACGGCAGCGCCTCCTCTCCTGCCAGCTGGGTTGAGGGACCCTTGGCACTTGAACATCTTCCATAGTAGCTGAGATTATTTCCCAGTATTCGCACCTGCTCTCCGCATGCAACTTCGTATAGTGAAGTTCTATACCTATATTAGGTATAGAGTCATTGCTACTAGCGATGTAGCTGCGGAGTTGCGCCATCACATCATGCTCTGGATTCTACTATCACGGCAGATTCCAAGGATCTGCCGTTTCTCGCAAACTCTCCAGCCATTTGCAGGAAAGACTTTTTTTAGCCCCCGGCCTGCGTTCGCCACACCCCAGCAGAAATCTGGACTCCGGACGGTTCGACAGGGCCTGGACGTTTGGGGGCGCTTTTACAGTTTACCTACTCGCCAGTAGGTAGTACTGTGTGGTTGTTTTCTGACAGCACACGGCATGTGAGTTTCGGCGCCCGTTATTCCTGTATTGTCTTCGGTAGCATCCCAACAGCTCTGCCGGTTCACCGTGTTTCCCGACAAGGCAAAAGCCGGCCGAAGCCGGAGATGCAATCTCGGGTCGGAACGAGATGAGCTTGGATGAGAGAAGAGGATTAGCATAGAATTTGTGGCGTCGACAGTTCTTAGCACTTGCGTCGAGATGTGCAATCTGATTAGCATACTGATGGGGATCAAGAATGCCTCCCGAGCGCCTGTGCTGCAAGGTAAACGCTCTCCACGCTGAATGGCCAGGGTCTCGGGAAAAAAAGACTAGTTTTTCTCACTATGAACAGTTGGAAACCTTCGCAAACAGCTGTTATAGGCATTTCAACCTGCACCTGTCCTTGTTTCTAATAGGAGACCCAGGAAGCCTGACTACTAGTACATAGCAAAAATATCAATCGCTCCTTATTTTTTTCCCTGTCAAGTTGTGAGGCGATTGATATAGGGCTTGTTGCATGAGATCAGGCGAAAAGAAGGACTCGTGTTGCAAGGTCTCAAGGCTTGTTTGTCTTCTATCACTACGGTTACTATAATAAGCAAGTGAGAGTCTCGTAAACCCGAGGGAGGATCAGCAAACAGGTGCAGATAGGAGTGGCGGTTTCTATTTGAGTTATCAGCACGTCACAGTGGTGACTTCGGATAGGTCAGCTTAATAGGGCTTCTTTAAGATTTTCCACTGCTGGGATGATTTGTTGGCTGGCATTACTTGCATCACTTGACTTGCTGAGAGCGAGCGTGTTGCCAAGGCAGGTGCCGCCAAAATATTCCCGGTCGCGACACCGACAACATGCAATGGATCCATCATTTGCAGGCATGCCAGGCTCAGTACTGGAGAAAGCTGTCAGCCGCCCTTTGAATAAGATCTTCGATAGCTTGGCCCCACTTAACGATTTCTTCAACGGCCATGTCGGGGAGCTTTGACAGGCCAGCTCCACTATCTGGAGTTCGCACGAGCCGTCTCTCGGTTGTCGTATCTGTTATCTTCGGCGAATTAAAATCAGTGGCTGCAGGAGAGATGTCGATCCCTGTGCTGACTGCCGTTGGATGCTGCCAACCACCAGCACAGCCGCACATTCGACATGGTCCGGCTCTCTAAAACAAGGCATACAGAAAGTTTTTCACAGAACACTGTATGGAGATTCCGATGGGGATTCAACTAGATCATTTTTGATTTTCGGTGAGAGAAACCTGATGTCAACTGGTCTCTTCTAAGGTTCTTTTACAGAGGTTAATTGTTGTGATCTTGGATCTTTGACAGGAAATCAATCGATCAATCCGCAAAAGCACGGAAGCGAAGGGGAGTGGGAAAAAAATTCTAATTTGCCTCTATTATCGGAAATAGGCACTGTTCTGAGGATAGTCGCAGTGGAATGAGCTACAATCATTTACTGTTCTCGCCACTCTGAACGATGTAAGTTTATGAGACGTCCTTTCTTGATACTTTTGCTAGGCTCTAGCGCTCAATACGGCCGAGATCCATGCTCATTATTCCGAGACGCTTGTTATGCATGGCCCTCGAGAGAATGTAATTGTCTCGGCTTCTACAGACATCAGGACGTATCACAGCGTGCGACTTGGCCAAGACCAAGACCGGCATTCAGTTGTTGCCTACCACCCTGTCAAGGACTCAGGGTGTACAGGGGACAGAGAGCATGTTTGCTCATTTCCTTCTGCGAATAAGCCAACTTGCTCATTTTCGTTCCTCGGTTCGAACTAACGTGCACTACAGAATATAGACCCAGTCTATCTTTGGTGATCAGCCCTGGAGTAGATCGGCAAAACCATCTCCCATCTTCATTTCAGTGGATTCTAGCCCCGGTTAGATCTCGCTGGTTAGTGCGGAGGTGGGGCTGGTGCCGCCTTAGCGCGACAGCCTGTTAGCCCGTTGCTGCCATGATGGAATCGTGATTAAAACAATAAGGGATCAATGAAGAGATGGGGAAGGATGTGCGATTGCGAGTTCAGAAGTCCGAGATAGGAAGGACAGGCAACTGACTGCTACGAGCTTTGGTCTTGGTCCACTTTTCTCAAACACGATATTTTAAATCGGACCTACACACAGTACATACCACTGCTCGGTTAGCCATGAGGTTTGAGCTGCTGACATGGTTCATGCTTGCTCGTCGAGAGAGCAGTTGCAAATCTGCCCAGAGGAGCAAATCATCGCGCCAAGAGAACCTTAATAGAGGAGATGCCTCGACTGGCCCTTGGCGCTGCTAAATCAAGGAACGCCGTGGTCGAATGCCTTGATTCCTTGACAGCTTCCCTGCAAGGAAAGTTCTCACCATGCGTCTTTCTGCGTGCTCAACTTAGGGTGGACGCCTGTTCGCGGCCTAGTTTGCCAGGATTCGGCTCTGGACAGAGTGCGACGCGTCGAATCAGACCCGGTTTGCAACACGGGTGTGACTGACAACGTGTACCGAGCGAGGAGTACAAGCAGTTGCTGTGTATACAGTATTACCGCGGTGAATAGGATCTCCATTTACTATCAAATCATTATTCACCTTGGCTTTTTAGGGAGCTCATTGACCACCTTGTCGTTTACCGATCCATCCATTCCGAGACGACCATATTCAACCTCTGTTAGAAGTCATCTGCATACTGGTCGCATCATCATGATCCTCAGCGGACATAACGGCTGGTTTGCATGGCACGCCCACCTGGTCAACTGAGAAGGGCTTTGTTGAGCTTTGAAACCACGCGTCCAGCAAGGCTTAGCATGCTACAGTCTCCAGGCGGAGCATATACTTGTGTCCCGAGTAGGAGGTGCGGAGTCGGGTGGCAGACTCCGAAGCACGGTTAATAATCAATGGTAATCAGGTGATCGGCAATTTGCTTTCTTCGTTTCACTACTTCAGACGTTCACTGCTCTGCAGAATTGTCATGGACTCCGAAAACGAGGGCTGGTTGGTTTCTTCATAACTCTGTCAGACACGAGGGCATGCATTATGCTGGGACAAAAAGGCTATCAAATGCCCTGTGCTTACTTTCTACATGTGACTAACTGCTTCGGCTGTCAGAAAATGGCCTTTTCGTACCTCTGACCTGCATACAGTTCTGCGAGTCTTACCGACTTAATTTCCATTCAGACATCTCCCCAATTTCAATTCCGGCTTGCCAAGCTTCACAAGCGCATGTTAAGTCGACAATTTTCTAACCATCCTCCCTCCGAATCTAAGCGCTAGTTCTGCTATCTATCAGGGAGCTCCTGAAATGTTTGCGGACCCCGGTATGCTATCTCTGCGGGGTACAGGTATCCCCCTTGTCCCTGCCAACTCAACAATGGCTATGCGACACTGAGAAGAGGTTGATAGAGGGGCTCTCCGCGGAGGAACTCTGCAATGTCAGCACGGCCATTGCCAACTGGACTGAGCCTATTGTCTTCCTCGCCGTTATTCGCTGTCCCTATAAGGCGGGGTAACTGAGTTAGCATACCATGTATATGCTTTACGGAGAATTATATTGATTGCAACATGAGAAAAGAGAGGTTCCGGGGTTTCCATCTGACGATATCGCCTATTTTTGCTCAAAAAGAGTGGGCCGAATGGTTGCAGTCAGAAAAAATGGTAAGATTTGGTCTACATCCATCCAGCATACCCTGCAAATTCTTTATCCTGTTGACTGATCGTAATCAATCTATGCAGTATACAGCACAGCTTATTGTACCACTGCCTCCATGTGCAAAAACTCTAACTCAAGACCCGGAAGTTGACCGTATCCTATGTATCCTCGGATCTGCAGTATGTATCCCGGCTGTGCCTCTGTTACCTACCTACCTACATACCTCATAACACTAGCTTGCGGAATTCCCCGCACCACCTACATACAGTAGTAGTCCCAAGTTTCGGAAGACTCTGTTCGAGAACAGGGTAATCCCATCCATCCATTCATCCATTATCAATCCATCCCTAGATAAGATACTATTAGGCGAATCGACTCATCCCTGAAATGAATAGGCGAGGCTGACATGCGGCAGAACTACTCAAGGCTCACTCTCCCCACAATTCAAACAACTTGATCACAGCGCAGTCAGGTGGAATGCATCGATATTACGAATCAAAGTGATCTACCACCATAGCATCATGACTCCCAATATTCCCGCCTTGACGTTGCGGGATGGAACCTCGATCCCAATGGTATTTGACCTGATTGTATTATCTACAAAAAGAACATGGACTAACTCCGCTAGATGGGATTCGGCACAGGAACAGCATGGTATAAGGACGACATGAACGGTTCTTTTGTGCCGGAGCTGGTTGAAATGGTGAAGAGTGCAATCCGTCAGGGATACCGACACGTTGATTGCGCCGAAGCCTACGGGACCGAGGCAGAAGTCGGAGTAGCTATCAAAGAATGCGGAGTCCCCCGCGAGGAGCTTTTCATCACGACAAAGGTCGTCGAGACCATTGACGATGTGCCCCGAGCCATCGACACCAGTCTGAAGAAGCTCCAGCTCGATTATGTTGATCTGTAGGTTCTCTGACAACGGGCACTGACATTGCACCCCCATTTCTTTTTTTCTAACAATGTGTGTGCAGCTATCTGATTCACAGTCCCTATTTTGCCCAAAATGACGCCGATCTGCAAACAGCCTGGAAGGCAATGGAGGAAGTGCAATGCTCAGGCAAGGCCAAAGCCATCGGCGTATCCAGCTTCCTTTGTCCTCATCTCGAAGCCATTCTCAAAGTAGCCACGATCAAGCCGCTCGTCAATCAGATCGAGTTCCACCCTTATCTGCAACGAGCCAACAACTACGTCCCGTGGCTGCAGAGCAAGGGATCGTGGTCCAGAGGATTTTCGGCCTGCGCCGATACGCATGCAAAGTAGCGGGCCTCTGGATGGGCCGCTGCCGCTATCGCAAAAGCATGGAGTCGAGCCGAGCGCCATCTTGTTCAGTGGCAGCTAGATCAAACATTATTTCGATCTCGACCTCAAAGATCCCAAGCAACTGCCACAGTACTTTGCAGCCTTGGACTTGGAATTGACAGAGGAGGAGA